TGAACATAAGAACAACATGTGAAAAACAGGTGAAAGTAATGGAAGAACATGGACTATGGGTGTCGCAAGGGGGGGGGGGAGGCTTCTCCGGAAAAGCAAAAACAAAGAAAAAGGCATAATACTGTTAATGTAATGCACATTTAACATGGGCGTCCGCAGGGGTGTCAACTGGGGTGGGGGTGGGGAAATGTCCCCCCCCCCCCCGCCCAACCTCGAAAAAATGATAGAGAATATGCTAGAGAAAGTACAAGGATTTGTAGAGCTTGCCCCCGGCCCCCCTAATAAAAATCCTGGCGACGCCCATGGCCTGGACTTGGAGCTTCCAATTCTGAGCATTTAGGATACAATTGGGTCCGGAAGTGGCGGTGTTTAGCCCTGCAGTGGAGGGATCCTTTTGGCTACTCCAGTTTGGGAAACATCATTCGTTTAAGGGGTGGTCTTCTTTGGGTGAGAATTTCTCCAAAAAGTCATTGGCCAAACTCACAAAAAAAATGTAAGCAAATGAAACACGACATTTAGATCAATTTTTCTGTGCAGCCTGAACACGTGTGAGAAAAGAATTTCGAAGTGCACTGGTATCACATTTGCACAGAACTCTTTATTGAGTAATGGAAAGTTGTACCAGCCAGTGTATTTGTTGTCACATTTAATTACGTAACTTTCATTTAAGTGTCTTTCTTTACCGTTATAATTTTTTCTGGAAACTGACACCGACATTTCAAAGTTAACACAATCAACGAGCACTTATTCCCCGAGCCAGACGGGTTAGAATTACATGTAGGCCTATAGGGCATTATTTTGTCATAAAATATTCGGGCCTAATCGTCAAGGCAATCAACCGCAACTTCAAATGGCAGCTAGGACTCTCTCGGGCGCGGGAAACACCTGCCAACCAGATCTCCAACATCTGGTGAAATATTACACACGAACTACACTACAGGTCGGCCACGACGTAGTATATTCTTTAGGTAATCCAAGTGATAAGCCTTTTGGTTAACTTGCAACTTGGCGACTGGCTAATTAGCCTGGTAATCAAGCAGGTGGTTTGGGTATTACATAAAGCTTTATGCAATGATGCAAAAACAAGGATACATAAGTGACTTCAAAAAAAGGCCTTATATATTAGGCCGTATTTCGCTATTAGGAACAACCAAAAAATTGACAATCATAACTGTTGTTTACACATGTATAAACTTGAAGCCTTTGGTCACTCGTTTTGTCAAACTTTACTATTGATTAAAGAACTAAAATATGAAGCAGTTTGGGGAAACATGTACATGTACTTCCTTCAAGTTTCATCTAAGAAAGTGTCCTTATGATTTCCAACTTCCATTTTTACATTGTAGGCACACATTGTACATTATGTACTATGTAGGCTATATTTCAAACAGATGGAAAACCGCTAACTGGCCTAATGATGCTGCACTTCATTGTATCTCTTTACTTCTAGACTCATTACAAGTCGCACGCGATCGGGTCTGATCACCACGCAATAACAATAAAGCCCCACTGTCTAATGGGCGAAGGGCGCGTTGAGCCTGGATGAATTTGCTGTCACCAGTGGCATGAAGGGCGGGGCATGGTGTATTTGGGGGTGGGGAATTGGTGCCGCCACCCCCCCCCCCCCTAAAAAAAATAATATAATATAAAAATAGGTGTTTCATAGTTTTGTTTACCTAGCAGTGTCTGCAAAATTGTTTTTCTCTATATTAACCAAGTTATTATTATGACTGAAGAGAATGTTACCAAAGCAACAATTCCACCGGGTTCGTTGCGAAACAATGTGTGACATATGACCATACATGTACATGTATTATGAAAAGCATGAATATCTTGCTAGCAGTTGCTCTGCATAATAATTGTTATTGGGTGTTTCACTACGCCAGAAAGTTTCAAATCATTTCAATGTATTTTGCCAAAAATATGAGCCAAAAATGTCATTTCGGACGTAACATTGACACCGTGTCAATGTTAAGTCCAAATATGACATTTGTACCTTTTTTTAAATTTCTGTGTAACATTTCCCAAATTCACTTTACGTACTTCTTACTATACATGCAACACAATAAGAAAAGCTTTTGTTTTGGTAGTCATGTATCAAATGGAGCAGATATGATAGCTTTATTACGTACTTCTTACTATACATGCAACACAATAAGAAAAGCTTTTGTTTTGGTAGTCAGGTATCAAATGGAGCATAAATGAAATGACACGGTGTCAATGTTACGTCCCAATTCCTACATTTTTGCTCGTATATTTGTCAAATTACATTCAAATGATTTCCAACTTTCACAAGTATGGAAACACATTAAGACGAATATTATGTTGAGCAATTGTTTAGAATGCATGGATACTTTTAATAATTTAACCAAATATATGGATGTAACATGCACTGCTTCCCATCAACCCTGTGAAATGACCCATATACAAAATGTATGTACAAACGAGTGGATTCAAACAGCAGAGCAAGTAACAAGGCATTTGTGTAGCGTGTCTCTTTTAATTTTCTCGTAAACACCTCAAACCTCATGAAGCACAGGTACATGTATCTATGCTTCATGCTCAGTAGTGACATTTTCCATACTGAAACTAAAAAAAGAAATACATGCAAGTAAAAGAAAAAATGTTAAACACAAATACAGATACATGTATGTACATTTATACAATACCACATAATGCTCATCAAACAATTTTAACTAAATGTGGCCAAACTAAATACATGTGGTTTCAAACATTGAACGGGCCAAAATGATAGTTTAATCGTCTTACAAATGTATAGATTAACCTGTGATATACTCTACAATGAGCAATAAACCTGAGAGTTGGGAGTACAGCTGAACTGTGTGATCTTTTGTGTGACCTCCTTAAATGTATCTGTTTTTTCCCATTATTTTTTAGAACTTTGGCAGAGTTTTTCCATTCCCAGAAATAAATAGTCTTTTTTTCTCAGTTATTTCACATTTTTTTCAGCAATATGTTTAAGTACAACAAAATATTAAATGTCTTTTTGCTGATTACAAAAACTATTTGTATAAAAGTTACTTCATACGCGGTTACAATTGAGGGAGAATTGCATGAATAAAATGCATGCTATGCAGCTTTATCAAGAAAATATACTTCAAAATAGTTTGAAACTGCTTTTTTTTTAATTTAATGAACAAATACTGATACTTTTCTTTTTCCAAAAATCTGTTATAAGTTGCCTTTAATAGAGTACATCATTTGCAACTATCCAAAAATTAACTTGATGAAATTATTTATGAAAGGAAAATACTTGGTGTAAAGATAGTAATGGGACTAAACTCTGTGTGCAATTATTTTTTCTGACATGCTATCATTTTAAAGAAAACAATAAAAGAAGGTCATTTCCAAAGATGCATCTTTGGAAATTTCTGTTAGTAGTTCGTTATTAATTCAGAGAATGGGTGTGCGAAAGTGTTGAGATAACGCACACGCGTGCGCGCAGTTGCTATAATTTGTCACTTCAATGCGTGACATCGCGTAGCTGGAATGGGCTGAATGCGAACATGTCATTCACTGAGCTAAAAGTTCATCGGGTTTGTTGTTAAGCACCCTTCTTTAGATTTTGAGCACTTTTGTTGCTTCAAAGGAAAAAAAGATGCACAAATGACAAATGATGTACTCTACCTTCAACAGAGTCTTTTCAACTATAAATTAGTCATCTGCAATGTACAAAAATACAATGCCAATAATGGAACTAAACTACATGTAAATTACCTCTGAAATAATGGCAATCAAATGTTTGCTTTCTTGCAGGAATTACACTTGCTGGTCCAATGGGAAATAAAATACAAACTTACATGCATACTTATGTACATGTATAATTACTTTTCGTAATAGAATAATACAAAGGCATAATGCCATTTAATAGCAGTGCTTGCAATGAAAGTGAGTTTTCAGAATTCTTTATCACTAACGCTCAGAAGCAAAATTGTAAAAAATCGGATATAGATACTTCCCATTTCTACTCAAAAAGTTCGTTATTAAATTATAATTCCAAAAACAGCAAATTGAAAATTATGCATTCTGTGCTCTGTGTCCGTTCATGAATGTCTTATGTGCGGGATATATTCATGTGCAAACACATATAAATTAGAGAAATCGCACCGAACACCTCTTCAATTTAAGCCAAGGTAGAAAGCTTGTATTCTATAATAGAATGCACTACAAATGTACGTGTTAAAAAAAATGTCCTACTTTGATCCTAAATAACTCAAATGGAATTATACCAATGGAATTATATAAAAATTTCAGATCATGTAAACAAGGCAAAACACATTTTTGGAGCGACTTTCAACAGATTTGTGCAAAACGGTGAGATTTAAACGCCATATAAAAAAAATAATAACTTTCAGAATCTGTCACTTTCAACTTCCCATCCTCAAATGTTGAAACAGTGCTGGAGATGCATGCTGCGGCCAAAAGCTTCTGAAGGAATGCAGGATCACTCCTGATGTCATTGCACACCTCCTCAATCATTTAGCACAACACACAACGGAGGAGGTTGTGCAATGACATCAGGGGTGACCCTGCATTCCTTCAGAAGCTTTCTGCCGCAGGACGCACCTTCCGCCTCCAGCAATGTATTGAAATTTGAAAGTGAGTAGTGTTTTTTGTATGGCATTTAAATCTCACCCTCTTGTACAAAGCTGATGAAAGTTGCTCCATAAAAGTTGTCATGCCTTGTTTACATCATCTGAAATTTTGGTTTAATTCCATTGGTGAAGATCAGAGTTATTTTGGATCAAAAGTAGGACGTTTTTCTTTACACTTAGTACATGTAGTACAATGAACATGTATAGCATAACGCAATTCATAAATATTGTTAATTTAATTCATAGACAACATTATGTAGTGTTGAGTACATGTGTACATTTATAACCACTTTGAAAATACTGTTAATGTGACAGTAAATTTGTGGGCCTCTTTAGTGCGTTTCATGTCACTATAAACACTAAACCACCTGCATTTTATTTCTCACCATATTCCAGGCTCATCTTTAGTCAAACTAATCATCATCAAATTTCACCAATGGATATATCTTCAGTCTAATAACAGCTCAAAGGTTTTCCATACACACCTCGTTGGTTGCACCACCAAGTGACGTACCATCTGTGGACTTTGTGCACACCATACGTCACTTCGTGGTGCGACCGGCGACCTGTATGACACTCTGTGCTGAAACTTCTCACGTGTTAAATGCACATCACTGTTGTTTTTTCACAAGGTTCAAGAATTGACCATACAATCTGCTGTGTATAATGCGATGCTTAACTTTTGTTGCAAATATCTCCATTTGCTTCTAATCAGTCACTGTACGGTAGGCTGCAAAGCTGGTACAGGGCCCACTGTACGTCTACTGCACCTTTAAAGTATGCCACTTGTCATGCCTCAATGGTGAGTTCATGCATTTCAATGTCTTCAAATTCCTCCGCCATTTGTGCCGCCCACTCCTGTGCTTTACACAACTTCTGTGAATTCTGTGAATGTAAAAAACATTGGTTTTGTTAATAGTTTTATATGTAGATCGTCTGAGGACATCAACATATTCCACAGAATGCTTTTCTGCTTTGTCTAAGCCCTTGATTTAAGAACGTCATTACACAATGCACAACTAACAAACCAACGAAGAAAATACGGTTCTTTACCGCCTGTTCTACTGATAGTGGGTGTGCAAAATCGTATTAAAATTGGAGGATTCAGGACTGTTAGGGTACATGTACATGCAAGAACATCCATGTTCTTTCTTCAATGTATACAATAACCCTCACTGGTTGTATCATAACAATCGAGAATCTGTCAAATCCAACAACATGCAAGAACCGAATGGTACGTATGATGCACCTTACAGGGTTCTCCCCACGTACAAACGTGCGTATCGGCCCGATACGCTGGAATTGTGGCCCGATACGCCGACAAAAATGCCGATCACATTTTTCAGCCCCCGATACGCACAATATAATTTATTACACAAGCCATTAAAATGCACAACATTATCGTTTCATACGCCATTATTTCATCTTGACATTCAAAATCTTGACAAAAATCCCGTATTTCTGATGCTGCATGTGTGATCAAAATGCACACGATGACAGGTCTTCCGCGACGACCGCCAGCACCCAGCTATATATTAGCGCATTCAGCATGGTACACTGGTTCCCTTCGCGTGCTAACAGTATCAATGCTATGATGAAGGACCGGAACCAGTGACTACTGCCTTGTACGTGCATACATGATGATTTCGGCCGAAGTTGGATCGTCAAAACACCAAACAAACATCGATGGAGAAAGAGAATTTCTGCAAATTAATTCACAGAACGTGATCTCTATTTTCTGTGTATGTATTTTCCATTAAAATGACGAGATTGCAAAGCTCGAACGTATGGCGAAACATCGTACGCGTAGCATGCTTCTTAGAAGCAGTGGTGCAAAATTTTCAGCCACATGGGATGGGCCGTACACAGTTCAGTAATGCACACTGATGCTGCGCCGTGAGCACAGCGCCATGTACAGCCGGCCAGACTGAATGTTGACGGCGCCAGGGGCCATGATGTACGTTAAACATATTGTGGAATCAACTACCTCAAATATATTTTTAATTAGGTGAGGCAAGTTTTAATCACTTTTGATGGTCAGTCTTGATAATTTTCGTGGTGCAAAGGAAAATAATCCAGGCACAAAACTACATGATTCCTTGTTCAATATGCTCCATTCAATCAAGTGTTTTTATTCCTCCATGATTCAATCAGCAGCCCAAAAAATTGGCGAAATAATTTTTCCGACTTACCGACGCTATTTTGAAAGGCATGTAATCGGAAGCAAAAGTGATATTTTTCTTCACCTTAATTTCTTAATTTGAAACTTGCTTGTTAATATAATTCATACTTTCTAGATCAGGAAGTTTTAACACAGGTTTTGAAATATTGATTTTTTTTTTTAAGTTAAAAATTTTGATATATTTTTTTCTTTTAATTACAAAAAATATCACATGATCTCCTCTAAATTTTAAGGGAAAATCTTCCTCAAAGACTCCCCAGATTTGCTCTAAAATGCACCAGAGAGCCTCTAAAGTTCAAAATTTTTCGGGGCCCTTAAGCGGGCCCCGAACCCCACGCCATGGCTTCGCAGGTTGGTGAATCACAACAAAACTTCCCCCACAGGTTTGAAAAAATCCTGGGGAGAACCCTGCCTTATCATAACTGGCACATCAAACCTAATGTACAGTTAAAGTGGCCTGACTTGACACAACTGCACAACTGTAGCAGGCCATTAAAATACCGAAAACCTGGGTGTTGAGTTTGATAAATTAGGGTAGCTACATAGGTAGTTAGAGAGACAACAAGCACGACAAGGCAAAAATACTAAAAACCTAATTTTTGTGTTTGTTAATAATCAGAACCAACAAACAATAGATGACAGTTTGTCTTGGTGTCTGCCTCTTTTCATGTACAGTAATCAACCTTTGGAAGCAGGATTCAAACCAATGGTGTCTCCCTTGTATAATTAGCAAGACTTTGAAATTGGTTTAAAGTTTGAAAAATGGGAACCGTATTAGCTTTGCCAGTATTTTCAAGTACAGAGATCTGAGCATACTACTCACATGCACAACTGCATCACGCTTGAACTGTCTCTTCTGTTTCTTGACAGGCTGGGGCTTCTCCTGAACAAGGCTTGTCACATCCATGGCTGCAGACACCTTCCGCTTCACTGGCTTAACGACGGAATACGAAGTGGATGCACTACTGTTTCCTGTCAATGAAACATCGCTGAGGGCAGATCGTGAACGAGAAACGTGACTGGGCGGCGACACGGGGTCCACGGGCGAGATTGGAGCCAGGGGATCTGGAGCCATCAGGCTGTCGAAGCCAAAGCACGAGTCATTCAGGTCTGATCGGATGTCGCCGCACGCGGATGTGGGTGTGGATGTGTCGGACGCGTTCATCTTGGGCAAGCAGTGTCGGGGCAGGCTTGTGAACGGGGAGACAAACAGCCCACTGTCACTCTCGAGTGAGTGATGCTGTTCCTTTGGGGTGCGGACTGGGGCAGTTTTCTCTGGTGTGGCCGATGGTCTTCTAGAGTCATGCCGATGGCTAGGCAGAGTCTTGGCAGAACTTGGATGAACTTGCCTTGCCGAGGGTTGGACTGGTTGTTGAAGTTTCCGGTTTGACTTGGAAGGGTTTGCTAAGTAAAGCAATTCAATGATATAATACAGATAACAAACATGATCATGTCATTAGAGTAATGCATCCCGCAGTTAAATCATGTCTTGAAAGCCTACTTGTCCAGTTTGTAACAATGACTGTTTACTTCATAAACACTGTGTGCCTTATATTATCTCATATCCATCGGGGTTGCATGTATTGCTCGGGCATGACGGATGCATGTGTAGGGCCCACACGCCTCACAACAGAGAACTGCAACCTCTCAAACGCATGTCCGGCAGGAAAGCTCACAGTAATCAAAACCGTTATCTTTTTACTTATTCGCACGATTCAGGGTAAATTCCCCTATTTTGCAGCCAGTCCCATGACAATTGTGGTGAGTTGCCACGGTGGTAGAGGTCTCTATCAACAAGATGAATCAAAGCCAGTCTTGGCAATATTGGCAGCGCTAACTGGGAAATTCTGAACATACCTCACGCGCATGCATTGGGCCAAAAAAAAAAAGTCTCCGGTTTCTGGTATGCGCGCGCGTCGCTGTAGCCATCCGCGTCGGCAACATGAAAAAGTTTTTTTTCAATGAAAGATGATGTCTCAAAACCGCCAAACTCACTGGTTTGACTGGAATCCTGCTGCTGCACAATTTTAACGTGTTTTTAGATTGGGTTATGGTCGAGAATAAGCTTTATGTGGCCTCTCTGGACTCCCATACATTTGCACTAAGTTTAGTCGGGCACCATTTGCAGTCATCAGCCGACATTTGAAGCAAAAAAATCAGGTAAAAAAACAAAAAAGCCGCGTCGCCGCACCACTTTTTGGGCAAGCTCCATACCAGAAACCGGAGACTTTTTTTTTTTGGCCTTAGCTTGAATACAGCATGCTTGAGGTACGCTCAGAATTTCCTGGGTAGGGCTGCCAATATTGCCAATACTGGATTTGATTCATCTTGTTGATAGAAACCTCGTTTGTCACGGACTGGCTGCATATTAAAGGGGGATAAAATTCAAATCCAGTCTTTGACGGACCAAGACTACTGTGAAACACCAACGCCAGTACATGGGTTACCAAACAAGCCCTTTACTATTTCCCCAATACATGTATATATATAACCCAGCGATTGTTAAATAATTAATTTAATAAATTGATACAAGTGAAATATCTCCCCACATCTTTACAATAGCATAATCAAAGTTGTTAAAGCTATAGTCCATCATTTGCAGCCATCCGAAAAGTAACTGGCGTAATTATTGTTGAAAAACAAACTTGGTTGAAAGATAGTAAGGAAACTAAACTCCCTGTGAAATTATTCTTTCTGGGAAGCTGTCATTTTGAAGTAATTAACGAAAGAAGGCAGTTCCAACAGTGATTCTTAAGAAGCACCGTAGGAAAATTTAAATTAGTAGTTCGTTTTGTTATTCAGTGCAGCGCGCACAAGTATTGGAACGACGCACACGCGCGCGCGGTTGTTATAATTCGTCGGATCAGTGCGCTACGTCGCGTATAACTGCAATTCAAAACAATTCAAAACATGATTCAGTAACTTTTGATTTGAAATTGAGATCTTAGAATGCTGTTTTTCTCGGAATGTACAGCTGAAGCTGAGCTGAAATTTCATCAGGTTAGTTGCTTAGTGTCCTTCATTAGATTTTGAACTCTTTTGTTGCTTCAAACGAACAAAATGCTCAAATTACAAATGATGGACTGTAGCTTTAATAATCAAGGCCCAACAGACCTTTATCATGCTGCCACCATTTCAGTCATGTTCCCTGTATGCAATAACAGTACTGAATGGCAATGTTTTTGTGCCAAAGGAAACAGACTATTTTTCCTTCCAGCCTCGCTGTGGTTACGTTAATTTGAAGGGCAAAAAATCAAGATAGCCGCAACATGATAATGGTTTATTTCATGAAGCTTAAAATATTGCGAAAGAATTTATGAAGCAAGGACAAACATCAGCTGAAAAAGTTACATGAAGTCAAAAGACTAATTCGGCGACAGCCATTTTCTGAGGTGGCACTGTCGTGGCACCAGACTCGCGTGAGTCGCGCTCAGGTAGTACGCACGCACTCCGGGCTCATTCGACCAATAGTGTTACCAGAATGCATGCACGCCTTGTCTTTAAGAACGCATGCGGTGTGTGTTAAACCACCTCAAAAAATGGCTTCTAAGTTTCTTTGCTGGACTGCACCTCCACTGCACATCACATGGCATTTTGATTGGTAACCCATTCTTGCTAAGCAAATGATTTCTGTGCTGAGCAAAATTCCATGCTTAGCATCTCTATGAAAACAGTCCCAGCAAATATCAGTTGCCTTTACCATGTTTACTTGTGACTGTGCGGGTTGACGGCACATTAGGTCGTCTGGAAGGAGACAGAATACGAGGCACAAGCTGTGCCTCCTGGCACTCCATATCGCTGGCTGTATCTACAGACGCAGCCGTGTCTACGTCACTCAAGTCTGCATCGTAAGGATCGCCCACCTTCAGGATAAACACGCGGGAGGAACAAAGAGAAAAAAGAACAACAATTACACTTAAATAAATGAATACATTTGGGAGGCTTATCGTCCTTACTTGCAGCAGAAGCTGGATTGTGAAGGACGCAGCCATAGTTAAAAGGCACATAAAGGCACCTTGGGCAGCGCCATTCGACCCATGTCTTACCATGGTGCCAAATCGAAAATGATGATTTTTGCAGAGGTAAGGCCAGTTCGAACTCGGAGCGAAAGCGATCGCGAATGTGAATTTGTGATGGCAGGGAATGTTTTTGTGCTGCAAATTCGCAAATATTGAACACATTTTAACTCCGGTGAATTTCGCAGCAAATGCTTCCTGGCGTCAAAATCACATCGTATTCACAGTCGTATGAAGTATGACCCGGCCTGAAGGAAAACCCGAGAAAAAACCCTCTGGCAAAGGAGCGAATCAACAAGCAACTCTACTCACACAATGACCCGAGTCGGGAATCGAACCCAGGCCATAATGGTGAGAGGCGAGCGCTTTACGCACTGCGCCATTGATTTTATGTGATAACCTAACCCTAATTGTCTCAGACATTTCAAAAATTCCCCCGAGAGGCTTTGGAGGATTTTAAAAGACTGTGTATGATGGAGCCAAGCCAGTGGCTGATTTACTTTGGACTCGATACCCTGATCAAGAGCTGACACACACAGTAGAGCCGACATACACAAGAAACAGAAGAGTATGCCACTTGTTTCCTGCGTGGTAGAGGATACCTACATGTAGTACAAGGTGTCCTGAAAATAATGGTGCATGTAAACCCCACCATTTTCACCAATTTACAACCGGAATTTACTGCAAATGTTTACACGGTCTTCAAGGTTACAGATTTAGCTTGAGAATACCGTTTGTTAAATTAAGATTGCTTTTGTAAATCCAGAGATATGTTTGAATAACCGCAAAGCCAAAAAACCCCATTCTGTGCCACTTTTAGGAAGCGAGTGCTTCAAAGATCAGACAATGCCAGTATGGCTCTTTTGATAAGATTATCCCTATGGGTGTGAGACAAACATTCCATTTACATGACAATATAGGGTTTTGTTCTTATGTTGAAACAACTTAATAGTACAGACAGGTTCACTTCTTTAAAACTTCAATGAAAGAGTTCAATTAAGTAAAAATAAACATTGCACACTCTGCTTAAAAATGTTAAAATCACTAATAGTAAAGTGATTTGGTTTTAGACTAGGACTATACTGATTTTCACTGCTTCACAGAAAGTGGCACAAAATGGGTTTCATGGCTTTGCCGTTATTCAAACATATCTTTGGATTTACAGAAGCAATCTCAATGAAACAAACGGTATTCTCAAGTTAAATCTATTACCTTGAAAATGGTGTAAACATCCGCAAAAATGGAGGGGTTCACATGCACCATTTTTTTCAGGACGCCCCGTATAGCTACAATTTAAAAATACGGAAAGATTTCCATACCTGGACATCACTTGTCAGTTGTCACCCTATGCACAAACCCTATAAGGCTGGTCTGAAAATTTCCAAGTGTTTTCTCAGTAAATGCTTTCTAGCATTTTCCCAGCTAAATTTGACTTTTAAGACACACATGTATCACTTTCTAATGGTGGATAGGTCATTGCAGGGAAAAAGTAGTGACGGCCAGGTATGGGAATCTTTCTAAAAATACCTCCGTGGAATTTGGACATTTATACTCACCCTGGTAGCAGCTTTTTCATTTTCCTTATGGTCTGACTGTTCTGTGTCTGTGCTGGATTTCTAGTTAACAACAGATGAGGAAAGTTATACATTTGAAATGATATTAGTACCTGTAGGGCAAATTGAATATTGAGAAGAGTGCTATTCCAAATAGTGCTAAATATACATGTAGCACAAGTACAAATGTTTACGTTCAAGAACAATGCATTTAGTACATGCACCATGTTCATGATGTTCAAGTGCTACATATGCATGTGTACAAAACAAAATGTACATGTACATGTACAATGTCAAACCAATACATGTACATGTAATTTGCAAAAATGCATTCCAGCTTTTCAAATAAATCCAAGCTTTAACCATGGCACTTCAGGTACGTACATGTACATTGTTCTGTTAGGAAACATTGAAACCTACATCCGCCAGTTAAGTGGAATACGGAATACCACCCGGTAGGCTACTTTTCAACTGAATTGGAATGCAAGGTGACTAGGTGAGTACCGGTACATGTAATTTACAAGCAACTAAAATCCAGTGACCAACTTTTAGAGAGCCCAAGCTGAATCATGAATTACAGGTACTTAATGTGTGATTGTGTGCTCACTTGAATAAAAGACCAGGCTTAGTACAAATGTTTACATGTAGTAATAAAAAAAGAACAAATAGCTTGGCCAGCTAGTGGAATTCCCAAAATACGTTTTCAGCTGGCAAGATTACCAATATGACAACAAATTAAAGTAGTTTTTGTACAATACTTTTATAGATAATACATGTATTTCTACAGGTTTGAATTCACATACATACATGTACAGAACAGACATATAAAAAGTTCAAAGTGTTTAACCGTCATTCCTCTCCCATGTAAGCCTACAGTGAGAATGCAGATGTTTACAGATGCTATCTACTATACTGGTATGTGCAGCATCACTACTACCAAGTAATACGTATGTTCAATGCGAGACATCACTCACCAATAAGTACTTTTTAGCCAGTCGCTTGGCAATATCTTCTGCTGTACATTGCTCTGCATCTTCTGAGGATGATTCTAAAATGTGAAATTGAACACAGATTACAGTACCTGCAAGTGAAAATGTGTGGACCATTTAACTGTTTAAGGACAGGTACATGTACAATGTAAGTACAGTACATGTATTAGGCCAAGTAAAAAAACAACAACATGCGTTACTAAGGCAATTAGGGTTATCCTTACTGTACCTTAAGGACCCCGTTCCTATGTAAGGTTAAAGACTCACCAAAACAGCTGACTAAATGACACTCAAAAGTGGCATTCTGATATTTTTAAACACACATCAGAACAGATGGCAATGACAGTTGGCGATGACCCCAAAGCTGTGACATCGCGCTTATGCAAATCGATCTTGTCCCTCAGGCACGCAATTTGCAATGCGACGGCTGTTTCCTGTAAAATCTCACAACCGACGGTATTATAGCGAGCAGCAACACAATACAGGGCGAATCAAGAAACAGCCGTCGCATCGCAACTCACGCGCCTGAGCGACAAGATCAATTTGCATAAGCGCTACATTACAGTTTTGGGGTCATCGCTTTTTATATTCAAATTGGCTGCCATCAACAGACGATTTTCGTGTGCATATGGGCTCCAGAAAGATTAAAAAAATTCTTGGAAAATTTGATATTAGGACAAATATAATATATACCCATATACAAATGCTTATCGCATGCGATAGGCATTTAGAGCTGGAGTAATACAACCAATGAACCATATGTAATTTGTAAGAAAATTTGCGTAATTTTTTGAGAAACCCCTCACTGTAGGTAGGGAGAACCTGGCGTGCGGCCAGAGATACATGTACAGCGCAGCAATATCGTGGCCACATCACTAGTGGGGCTAGCTTGGACCCTACTACGCAAGACCATGTCCGAATGTTGAGGCGATAAGTTGGGTCCAAGTTAATCGGACTAGTCATGCTACTGCTAGTCCGAATGTAATAAAAAGGCGATAAGTTGGGTCCAACTCCAGAGTCCAAGTTACTCGGACTAGTCGTGCTACTGCTACTGCTAGTCCGAATGTAATAAAAAGGCGATAAGTTGGGTCCAAGTTACTTGGAGTTGGACCAATTTGGGACTGAGAAACATTTCCAATTTTGTTAGGAAATACTTAGAAATTTGTTTAGACTCTTCATAGACTTTGTATCCTCGACTCACCATATTCGGCGCAGGTAATGTTTGCAACGCGCGCGCGTTGTCCAACGCTAATTGAAGGTAGTGTATATTTTGCCGGAGGTAACGCCGGCAAACTAACGTTTACTAAAGGTTTGCCGGCAGCAATCCATATCAACAGAGGGCGCTGTACTCTTTAAGATAGGGCTGAATTATAACATGTATTAAATTCCCACCAAAGTTGTGTAGCACAGTCGGTGCAGTGGCAAAGCTCTAGTGAGTGGGATGTCCCGAGTTCGAATCCTGACCCCCGCCACAATTTTAAGGTTTTTTTTCCAATCCCCAAATAAATAAGAATATTCTTCTTTTATTATTTTAATATGTCTCAAACATTTTATTGCAGAGTAATTCTTTTTCTTTTTCAGATTTGTGGCTCTGGAGGATTTTTTTTTAAAGGGAAATAAAGTCCGAAATTATATATGATTCCCATCTTGTTAATACGGGGGTCAGACAAGTCGACCGTTGAGACAACTCGACTCGGGACGAGTCGACCGTTGAGACAACTCGACCGTTGAGACAACTCGACCGTGTGTGCGATATGGAAAGACAAGTCGACCGTTGAGACAGCTGAGTCGCCTCGCATGTTTTTGGGCCTAGTTTTGGGGATAGTACCGGGGATTTTTGACGGCGGCTGATCGCCGTTTGGGAGTGATGACACATGAGTTTTTTTGTTGCATACAGAGCTGATATAGCGCAGCGTGATTGTCCGTGCACATCGTTCGTTTTTTCCGGGCCTGTGCGGCGACTTGCCGCGCCGGTCGACGTGCCCGCGTGCCGGGCCAGGCGCCCGGTCCTCGCGGGCGGGGCGCGCCAGCCCGACGCGACAGCCACCGGATCGGAGCGCCCTCTGTGCATCGAGTATGCCCGCGCCGCGCCCGGGACCGGTCCTGCCACAGATTTTTGCAACTTTTTCCGCTCCACGTGTATACATTTCCATTAAGTCCGTCGAGCTGTCTCAACGGTCGACTTGTCCCGAGTCGAGTTGTCTCAACGGTCGACTTGTCTCAACGGTCGAGTTGTCTCAACGGTCGACTTGTCCCGAGTCGAGTTGTCTCAACGGTCGACTTGTCTGACATTCGTTAATACAAAAATACAACGATAATATTGGCATGGAGCCAGACTAAAATTTGTCACCGGAAAATGTTTTAAGTACAAAAAAACAGTAACTGCGCATGTTCAGTGCATATCCGGCAAACTAACGTTTACTGAAGGTTTGCCGTCTCCGGCAAAATATCCACTGCCAGTGCGTCCGTTTTCCTTGCTCCATGGTCGAAATTAGCCCCATAAATGTGGCCTATTTACTGGACTGCCTCCGTAAACATAGGCATGATAGGCCACACATCCACATGTACAAAAATCGTGTCGACGGAGCCAAATTTTGATTTTCACATTGAGGCTTAGTTTGTAGGGTTTTTTTGCTTAAATAGGGTAACAGGTCATCTCGTACCTTGGGCAACTCGTACCTTGGACAACTCGTACCTTCAACTCGACGTCATTATACCGAGTCGTACCTTGGACAACTCGTACCTTCGGCAAGTCGTACCTTTAGTTAAGACGACTCGTACCATCACGCGTAAGTCAAGTCGTACCGTCAGTCAGGATAATGATCCGAGGCTGAATAAAGTGGACCGTAACTCATTGAAAGTGGACTGCTTATTAAAATAAAGGCGAATCTCTTTTTGGTATGGGCTCTCTTTCCCCCCAAAAGAGGAATTTATTTAGCGCGAAGCCGGCCGCGGCAGCTAGGTTACACGCACTGTGTGCGCGGCATGCACAGGCCCACGCGGTACGTTTGCGGTCAACCTACGGTAGCCATCCGTGCAAAGTGACACGGTTCTTGCGCCGCGCTGACCGGTTAATATGGACGTCTGTGCACGGTGACATTTTTTTTTAAATTAACTTGCAAAACATCGTATCGTGTGGGAGTCAAGGAACCACACACTAAAAGAATAAACTGTCGATGTCATCTGGTCCTTGCCAAATCCAGAACCTAAAAAAAAAAAAAAAAGGATATTAAAATTTATTTCACAAATTATCTTAGCTACCGAATCAAACGTTGAATATGCACATGGAATGTACAAGTACATGTAATTCCATTAAAAACAGAATGGCAGTGCCGCGCGCGCCGCGCCGGCCGGCCGCTTCCGAGTCACCGGCATCGGTACCGCGCACGACCGACCGGCCCGGCCCGGCAGTCAAATTTCATTGCCCTGCGGCAGGCCCAACGCGGAAAATCACGCTGCCTGGCAAAGCCATTAGATCTAGAATGTGGTTCTGTGGGATAAAAATTAACTTTAACTTGAAAAGAATCGTATCGTTTCAGAGTCAAGGAAGCGAACCACACACTGTGCACACTAAGTCACGTACTCCTAGAACTATGAGGCTCCACGTAGTGGAGCCTCATAGGTTCAGAAGCCCGCAAAATTGTTGTCAGCACAAAACACTAATTAAGTACAAAAACGTCCATCCCAAGCAGGCCGTTTTCCACAGAACCGCTGCACAGTTTGCCCCTAAACTCCATACAATACCTCATGACATACTCACGTTATGTGCACCCAACAAACATCGGTGGATTCTGTCTGTTTTTCGGCAAAAATGATGAAAAATATGCCCTTTCTGCACTGAGCCAACCTAACACTTGAAACGAGCACGCGTGCAGAATGATCGCAGTTATTTTCGGTTCGATCGCTCGGAGCGCGCCGCGGGGGGTATGGTGTAGGAGCGGAACGATAGTATGCACATGCGTACAAGTGCAAGTACGAACCGAAAATAACTGCGATCATTCTGCACGCGTGCTCGTTTCAAGTGTTAGGTTGGCTCAGTGCAGAAAGGGCATATTTTTCATCATTTTTGCCGAAAAACAGACAGAATCCACCGATGTTTGTTGGGTGCACATAACGTGAGTATGTCATGAGGTATTGTATGGAGTTTAGGGGCAAACTGTGCAGCGGTTCTGTGGAAAACGGCCTGCTTGGGATGGACGTTTTTGTACTTAATTAGTGTTTTGTGCTGACAACAATTTTGCGGGCTTCTGAACCTATGAGGCTCCACTACGTGGAGCCTCATAGTTCTAGGAGTATAAGTCACGCACGTACTCTACTTTTTATTCTGATGGTACGAGTCGTCTTAATTGAAGGTACGAGTCGTCCAAGGTACGAGTTGTCCAAGGTACGAGATGTCCAAGGTACGAGTTGTCCAAGGTACGAGTTGTCCAAGGTACGAGTTGCCCAAGGTACGAGTTGACTCGAAAGCCCCTTTAGAAGCATACTCACCCTCTTTATAGGCTAATCAGAAAGTGCTGCCTTTTTCAGATGTATATTTTTCGTTAAATTTCCAGATTCATTTTTACACGTTTGCGTATCAAAATTTCAACATGAAATTTCACAAAAATTAGACATCTGAAAAAGGCAGCACTTTCTGATTAGCCTATAAAGAGGGTGAGTATGCTTCTAAAGCAAAAAAAACCCTACAAACTAAGCCTAAATGTGAAAATCAAAAATTGGTTCCGTCGACACGATTTTTGTACATGTGGATGTGTGGCCTATGTTTACGGAGGCAGTCCAGTAAATAGGCCACATTTATGGGGCTAGGTCGAAATAGGACCACGTCGTTTGGAGTCTGACGAAACAACCGCTGAATTTCTGAAGGCGTCAGCCTCCAAAAGTGAGTCCAAGCCTACCTTTTGATTTGGAAGATTTCTGCTTTCCCTGAGCTTTTACTCGTGTCCGCCGCTTGGGTGGCATTTTGGATGTATGTAAGTTACATTTCACACTCCTGACAAAAAGAACAGCAATTCAGAAATATTTTCGTTGTTCATTTGACCTTTTTGAATTGACGCGCTCACGTACCGTACACATGCCGTATGTATTGTGTTCAGTGCAGTGGTCCTCTAACGTTACGTTTGCGTTCGATATAACGCCGGGTACCAGTGTAGTTGGAGCTAAACTTGTTCAAGTCCTTTTGTATTTTGAAGTTCAAAATTTTTTTTCTCATCTCCAAAGGCGAAAACGGATTTTCCTGAGTTCTGATGACGAAGAATGTTCAAAGTCCATTTTTGCTTCATTTTTGTATTTTTTTGGAAGAAATAATTAATAACTATAGGTCCGTGGATGTTTTCGTTCGATATCTCAAATAAAAAGTGAAATTGTTGTTAGGAATAATTATACTACTGGGCTACCGTTGTTGGTTATACCATGGTTATACCATGGTTGTACCATGGTTATACATGTACCATGGTTATACCATTCCTTCATAGCTACATACCAAAGAGCTAAATATTGTAATTTAATATAGCTCTATGGTTATACCATACTGACCACCTTCTTTTGTTTTCGGAATTAGTGTTTTGTCCGTTCTAGTATATCTGTCTGTGGTGTTTTGGTCTTGTCCTTGTCATCCTGTTTTGTGTTTTGTCTGTTGTACATGGTTAAAATAATACACATGTAATTGTTAATGTTCTTATATAAAAAAGCATTTCTGAACAAGCCTCGGCCGCTTTTAAAGTGCCTCCGTGCGCTATGCCTTCATCTTGTACAGATCATGCAATTTATATTTATCATGTATTTATCCTCTGTACGTCTTTTTGTGACATTCATTTCGCATTACATGAAGAGTTTACATAATTTTATTACTCTTGTGTCATTATTACTGTTGAATTAAGGTATGGAAATAAATGTTATGTTGAACTGCATTGATAACCCTTCGCTTGTGCCCCGCCCTGCAAATCAGGACGGGATACACTGATGAGCTTCACAGAATCTTGTGTAGGAAGTGGCCTATAACCTATGTATACAGCATTTGGCTGCAGCTGTTCAAGACCGCAGTTAGACAATGTGCGCAAATGCTATCCGAAAACCTCCCATAGAAATGCACACGTTCCATACCGGATGTGATTTCTGTTTCATTGCGGACTATGCGGACAAAATTTTGAGCGTTGCATAATACAATCCGACCGTTCGTGATTCGAAACGGAGCCTGAGCAAGTGACGGGAATTGTAAATTTACAAAACAGATAAGTTTTACAGAATTTCCTATATTATTACGCTTTTCAACGAAAAAAATCTCTAAACTGGAATAAAAGAGTAATGAGTCTAATTAACGGCCGTTTTAAACCCTGCAGAGTCATGACCGTGATGACGCGCAGCTAGGCCACAGGTCACGCAAAATCCAACCAATCAGAGCGTGAATTCATCAGAGTATCCCAGCGTCCTGTTTGCAGGGCGGGGTTACGAGCAAATATGCCGCCGTTTCTGTTAAGACCGCAGTTAGACAATGCGCGCAAATGCTATCCGAAAACCTCTCACAGAAATGCACCGGATGTGATTTCTTTTTCATTGCGGACCATGAGAAATTTTGAGCGTCGCATTTTCCTTGCTCTATGCATAATGCAATCGTTGACCCTTCGTGACTTCGAAACGGAGCCTTAGCAAGTGACGGGAATTGCAAATTTACAACACAGATAATTTCTACATTATAACGTTTTTTCGATGAAAACAAAAGCATATATGAATTGGAATAAAAGAGTAATAAATCAGTCTTAACGGCCGTTCACGAGCCGTTTGAAACCTTGCAGGGGTCGTGGCCGTAATGACTTGCAGGTCTTACCTGCGTCATAGGTCACGCAAAATCTATCCAATCAGAGCGTGAATTCATCAGAGTATCCCATCCTGTTTGCAGGGCGGGGGTCGGGGGGGGGGGGGGTCGCTCGTACCCCCGCCCTGCAAACAGGGCGCTGGGATACTCTGATGAGCTTTACAGAATCTTGTGAAGGAAGTGCCCTGAGTATTAAGCATCTGGCTGCAGCTGTTCAAGACCGCAGTTAGACAATGTGCGCAAATGCTATACGAAAACTCACCGTAGAATTGCGCACATTCCATTCCGGATGTGATTTCTGTTTCATTGCGGACCATGTGGACAACATTTTGAGCGTCGCATAATGCAATCCGACCGTTCGTGATTTGAAACGGAGCCTGAGCGAGTGACGGGAATTGTAAATTTACAACACAGATAAGTCTTAACGGCCGTTTCAAACCTTGCAGAGTCATGACCTTGATGACACGCAGGTCACTGGTCACGCAAAATCCAACCAATCAGAGCGTGAATTCATCAGAGTATCCCAGCGTCCTGTTTGCAGGGCGGGGGGTACGAGCGAACGTCTAGGACATCTCCTAAAATCCCCCCCCCCCCAAAAAAAAGGGGGAAACTAGTGCGCATGCGCGACTTCAGCAGGCAATTACCGTCCATTTTCAGTCCTACATAATACTACACGTACACCCCAACAGAGCTGAAGTTGCACGAAAGTCTTGTTGCATCTTTTATATAGTACTGGAAGCAGGGGCGGCGGAACCGGGGGGGGGGGCTGGGGGGGGGGGGGGGGGTTTGCCCCCCCCTCCCCCAGATTTTCCCAAGTGCCCCTTTTGCGGCCATAAATGTGCCCCCTCGAGCATTAAAGTGTCCCCTCGAGATAAATCAAAAATGCCCTTAAAGTATCTTACTATTTCTTAGAAGTAACCATTTCCCAATAATGGTAGAGATATTTTTGATATAAACGAGGAATATGAAAACCAAGTCCCAAAACCCATACAAGACGCCCTGAAAATGGGCACATAATGTATGTTTAGCATATAATCATTGGTTTTGAAGAGCGCCCCCTATGTTTGAAGATGGTCCCCCCTATACCCTGCCCCAGAGGCGGCGGAACCGGGGGGGGGCACCCCCCCCCCCCCTTCCACTTTCCCAGGCCAACAAAAGTCTCTTGCGTCTCCCGGTTATAAATGTGCCCCTCGAGATGAAAACAAAATCTGCATGCCCCTTAAACGCACACAATTATTATTCATGAACGCATAATGATAGCGCTAAAAATAAAATTGTCTCCTCTTTTGTAATGGAAGTTGAACTGCCCCTCAAAAAACAAGTGCCCATCTCGCATTATAATTAACAAGATTATGCACCTTCTTGATGGAAAACTAGCCCTGGAAAGCATAGATACCCCTCTTGCAATAATAAAATTGTGCCCCTCTCGAGATGGACAATAATTGGCCATCAAAATAATAGTGCTCATCTCGCGATACATTTTCAAAATATAAAACTGCCCCTCGAAAGCACAGTTTCATTATAATGTTCTGCTCGCAACAACACTGAATGTGTGCCCCCTCTCATGGAAAACTGGACTTAAAACTGACTCACGCGAATAAAATGGTCATTGAACTGGCCATCAAAAGCAACAGTGCCCCTCTCGCAAAAAAAAAACATCTCTCTATAGTCAAATCATGGGAGGACCCGGAGCGGTTATTACTGCCGGGGCGGAAGTTGTGCGGTGTGCCGAAGGCCCAAGAGCGGATCCAAGGGTGGGGAGGGGGCACTCATGCCTTAGAGTCCTCCACCCCCCCCCCCCCCCCCAAAAAAGAAATAACCAAAAGAATTTGAGGGGGCCAAAGCACATTCACTCCCCCCCCCCCCCCCCCAAATACGACTATTCCAGTATAATTATTCTCGATCAAAATAACAAAAATATGACTTTGCGCCTCTATGATTCTATAATTTTTCTCCTTTTTCAGTTTCTTTTTTTTTCCGGGGGGGGGGTGAGCGCACCGTACTCAGAAGTCCCCCCCCCCCCCCCCGTGACGCCCATGCTCACTTTCACACTGACGCCGGTGCCCCTTTTTTCTGGATAAGTTCCCCTTTTATTTTGGTGTTTCCCCCAGTTGGAAAAGAGTTCCGCCGCCCCTGCTTCTGTCCCGTGCTAGATCGGCCGTATGGCCTTGTAATGTGTATTGCTAGAAAAAAAGCAATTTGAAACAAGAGCAGTTTTGCAGGATAAAGACAAAAATAGCGCAGAGATAACACATTTTATCATGACGACCGTGACAATGAAGCCTATGGGCCTTTTATGTTTTAAAGCCATAATAAAAAAAAAATGACAGTACAATAAGGCTGCATTGTGCCTGCATAAATAGTCTGGCGCCATCCCATTCAACAGTTTAACAATTAATGAAATACATTCAGGGAACTCGACAAAAATGGCCAACTCGTGAATAAGGTCGACCGGATCGCCGCTTTAATTTGCCGATGAAAGAGAAACAGCGCCCTTTATCGTCACTCTGTGAGGAGTCTAGTTCGGGTGCGAAGTTCGAGTAGCTCACCCGGATCGACCCGGGTAAAGGCAGACAAGACGGCTTGACCACGACAGCCGGGCTAATAATCGAACGCTAAACTTGACCGCGGGCTATCATGATCCTCACTTGTTACCCACAGCCACAGTCGCAGCCACTGAAAAAAACGCCCGTTTTTCGGACTGGGTGTTTAGTTTGATATATTCTGTTTTTCAGTCAGTTGCAAAACTTTAAAAAAAAATTGGGCTGGAGTAAAATTGTAGCTTCTAATGTCACTATGAACCCAATAATATAAGTACCTTTAAACTTCAAATTATGTTGATTTTTGGGTCCACTTGAAAGTTCCTCTATCCGGCCGCAGGTCGGTGGTGGCTGATGACGTGACGGCAAGGGGCTAACCCGAGTCGACCAATGGGTTTGTGAACAAACTTAATCGAATAGAAATTTAGTCTTCACCGTCGTGAACGCCGTGTGCACGGGCGCCTTATAAGACGTTTAGAGCTTAGATGGCATTAAATATCGAAAGTATACGACTAATATAATATTAACCCAGTCATAGCTTCATTGAGGGGCCAGTTCTATCAGAGACTCATTATGACTTTTAAGCTCTGGCAGGAGCTTCCAAGGGCGGATCCAGAACACAATTTTTTTTTTTGGGGGGGCCACAAAAAATTTTGGTTCCCCAAAAAAGTGGGTCAAAAAAATTACGGCGTGGGGTTCGGAGCCCGCTTAAGGGCCCCGAACATTTTTTGGATTCTAGATGCTCTGTGGTGCGATCTCAGGCAATTTCTGACCACTTTAACCAATATTTTTTTTTTGAGGAAAAGATGGTGGTGTACTCATTGCCTGCCTTTATTGCGATGTCACATAAAAACAAAAATTGTTTCGTGGGGGGGGGGGGGGGGGGGGGCATGGCCCCCTTTGCCCCCCCCCCCTGGATCCGCCCTTTGGAGCTTCGAGGCGTACATGAAACGTGGTGGTCGGTCGGTCGGTCGGTTGGTCTGTCGGGCGGTCCGTCCCCGAAGATTGACCCCCAAATGACCAAAAATATCACGGACCAAACGCCGTGGTCTTAAATGCACTCTGACTAACGTTTTTTTTCTCAGAACAGCGGTTTTGTTTCGATCAATGCGCATGCGCGTTTATTTTGCATATGTCTGTCCCCGATACCGAAAATTGACAAAATCGAGCCCCATAAGTTTCCCACAAAATATTAATACCAAATTTAAATTTTTTTCAACAGAAAGCAATAAAATCAACTAAATTCTTAACAACAATTGTTTGTTACAATTCGAAAAGATGTTCATGAAACGTCAAATGGCCGCAGAGGCAAATGATGTGTAGTAACTAATCGTCACGCAGGTATATCATCACTAATCGCTATAAATCTAGGTAACATCTGAAATTTTGTGTTAGTGCCATCGGCGTCGCATTTTTGGGTGTCACATTTTTAAGCTCTGGCAGGGATGAAAATGATAGGTTTGTGTGCTTATAGTCTATGGGAGTGTGGTATATTACAGGGACAAAGGAAAACACAAAGCATTGTCCTCGGGAGTATAGTAAAACAAGACGGTGTGTGCGTTTGCCTGCAATCGGGGACCCCCTATATTGTCCCTCTTTTGTTTGTATTTTAAGTTATTAGGACGACCTTCCATAAACATGATATATATGTTTTGTACACGAATCCAAACAGGGGATCGGGACCTCTTAAGAATTGGGGACTCTATTATCCTCTATTTTTCAACGCCCCCTAAATGAATGCAGAAACAAACTCAGTTCCCGCACACCCAATAATAAATTCAAAAAAAAAAGAAAAAAAACTCTATTCAGAAATAAACAAAAATTAATATGCCTATAGTCGACTTCGAACCAAAAGACTCAGTTTGTGACATTATGCTCGGCGACTGGGTAGCGGCGTCAAATTCTTCGCTATTTGAGCATATTGTGGGCCGTGAACTTGAGGGTTTGTAAAACCTATGGGTAGAAGCCGTGCATATGAATGTGAGCTTGTACTTCTGTGCAATTTAGATGAAATTGGAGCCCTATAAAAGCGCTCTATTTTGCATTGGAGTGTAGGCGTCGTTTTTCAAAATGGCGATGGGCTTCAGGACCGTTTTAAGGGTGATCATCTTCGGATGGAAGATGATAATAGCTTTAATTTGATGTGTGTCTGGAATACCTTGGAGAGTTGTGAGTATTTTCCTTGAATTTTTGAAGTGGGGGCATTTATCATTGGGGTCTATGACAGTTTATTTACTGGTCTGCAACCTGAGCTCAGTCAGTCACTGACTCATGGATGGACTTGAAGAAGTTTATTTATTTTCAAATCTTCGGCATCACCCCAGCTGTGACTTTGAGAGATTTTCGGTAATTCGGTACCTGACGTGGGGCACTCAAGTTCAAAATGGGCTAATAGCCTACTCCAGGAACGTCGAACCATAATATTTAAAACCACAATTTGGAGCATTTTCGTTTGGTTCGGACATTAATGGCTTCTGAATTATTCTGAAGTCAGGTATTAATCCGATACTAGAACATAACCGGGATTAAACAAAAACCATGGTGACCTCTGACCCTTTGTAAAGGAAGTAGTCTGGTACATCCAACACCCAGACCACACGTTATCGAGTGGCATCAGGAACAATACCTTATGTTGGCCTTGATTGTTGATGGAGAATATTGACAGCTCACGTTCTCAGTTTTCTGCTAAATCCTGACAAGTGAAAAGTTGTTTGGTTCGTTTATGTAACGCAGCAATTACACCTCTTTTGTGCCCACCCATCATGCCCATGGATGGTGGAACATTGTGATTAGAATGTTGGAAAGTGAAATTGTTTTGACTTCAAAATTAATGTGATCATGTTGAGTTTACGTGTCGTTTGACGTTCGTCAGATTTGCCACATCCGTCATCTGGTCATCATGGAAGCCCCTGGCACATCAGGGGATGAAACGCTTCAAGTTCGACGGTATGAACTTACAAACGGTAAGCCAAAACTGTGCATCACCGTGCCACATACTGACATAGGGAGTGGGGCATAGACTGGGCCCAGGCATTCCTGATAATCGTATAGTTTAGGACGCTTTTTAAAAAAAAATCAGTTCAAACATGTCAAAATAACTTCATCAGATTCAGAGTCTCAGACGGTCATTGTTGACAAAATGACAGTCAGACAGTCAGTTCCTAAAATTTATATGTTTGCTGTTTGCAGTCGCAAGCAGTCTTTTTCTTCAGAGCAACTCATGTTTTTTGTTGTAATTTTAAAATGTAATAAACAACATGATAAATCAAGTTAGTCGAGTAACTTGGACCCAACTTATCGCCTTTTTAACATTCGGACATGGTCTGGCATTAGTAGGGTCCAAGCTAATCCTTATATGCCGAGTAACACAATTTTGTCCTTGACCCAGAAACCCAACATTGCCCTAGTCCGAGTAACTTGGACCCAACTTTTCGCCTTTTTAACGTTCGGACATGGTCTGGCGATAGTGGGGTCCAAGCTAAAAGTTATATGCCGAGCAACACAATTCTGTCATTGACCCAAAAACCCAACATTGCCCTGATTTCACCCTCAAAATGGCCTCCAAATTACTAGATATGCCACCTGAGGTACAAGTAGACATCTATGATTAAGATGGTTGTACTGAAGTTTACTTACGATCCGGATGAAAAGTGGAATTTCCCGTTCAATTCCAAGAGCTCCCCTCGCGATCGTGAACACGTTAAATTTCCGACTCGTGCTTGAATTGCAATGTGGTTTTCATGTCCAGCGTTCATTCGATGGTCCCCGTATCCTGAGTGCAATTCCGTTACCGGGCGCGCGCGATGCAACCGAGCACGCGCGGTGCATCGATTATGATAATGAGTAGACTGGATCACGTTTGTAAACACAGGTCCCTATTAAACTAATAGGGAGTCAGGAACTACGGCAGATTTTATGGACGGAAACTGGTTCAAGCTAGTTCCCGACTCGCTTTCATCGATCTCTCCTTGTACCTCAGGTGGCGTATCTACATGTAGTAATTTGGAGGCCGTTTTGAGGTAAATCTGATGTTTTTGTTGGCCAATGTTGGTTTTTTTTTTGGGTCAACGGCAGTCGGCAGAATAGTGTCGCGCGACGTTTTCTCATGGTTCCTGGAGAATCGCCACCAAAATCATTGAAAAAGTTCATATTTTAGTCTTCGTTGTTTTATTTGAAGTCAATTATTAGCTTCATGAATGTCTGCTGCATCGTATGAGGTACCGGTATGAATTATGGAATCTGGGTCAGGATTATATGGGGAAAATGGACCGTTTTTGTAATGCACTGGGGATACACAGTCCGGAATTTCTTGATTCTTACGACCCGGTTCTTGTAAGTTGTGACTCCAGCTGTAATGCGATGAGCATTAGAGCTGGAGTTACTCAAGCTAATACATGTAATATTAAGTACTTTTGGAGAAAATGCGACATTCTTACCATTTTTGCACTCCGAGACGTGCTTTGTTAAAGAAGTTCTCGCTGTTTTACCCCATAATGCCCCTCATATAAGTCATAAATCAAATCACTGCCCCCTTTCCACAAAGTTAAGCTCGGTGATATTCAACATGGTATTTTAGCGAACAATTTAGATGATTCCAAACTACTGGCTTCTCCACGCATCAAAGACGAACTACTAGGGCTTCAATAGCACTCAAGATATTTTTTTGAGCTGCAAATCAATTGAATTTTACCAGTTTGACGGAGCAAATGCACAGCATAACACACTGCCTTCTCACTGTGTTTTCCAATCACGTTGGAAAAGACACTGATGTCATTGTCCTTATTCGTGTTGTTCCATGTTCAGTGTCCGCCCTGAAATGATCGCGGACTGAAACAAAATGTTTGGGATTGAGCGCGATGCTAAATTTCCTAAAAATACAAAGAAAGACCAGTATTTGAGCTCCGTGCGCTACCAAAAGAGGGCGCCCTTTCACCTACATGTAACAACGACATTCCATGGGCGGGACATTTCGCTGGTTGACGCGCACCGTTCCTTGTGTGTGATGCACGTACATTTACACTAGGGGGTTTGTACTATTTACACGCAGTGGCTGCGCCTCACGGCAAATGAATTGCAGTCAGGCAAGATGGCGTCGGTCGGTCACCCCCAACTGTACTTCCTTTGCCGGTGAGGGGGTGCTTGTGAACAGAGCAGATAGGCCCTAAAACTAGCTATTTTTGGCTCAATGGATATAATTACATTTATTCATCACAGTCAGGAGATCAGTGTATACATGTACATGTAGGCCCTCATGTTAAGAGATGTTAACATAAAACATTAAGAAAATATGTGAATATACTCTGTGACTGACATTACTGTGACTGACGTTACAGTTTGCCCCCCATCTTTGTTTATATGTTAAAACATATCAGGGAAATAATACACTTAAAACATACATTTTATTTAACGTGTACAAAACCAGTGGATATAAACAAATGATCGATGTTGAGGAACAATAGAAAATCCTTGATTTACACCATAAACAAACCTGTACCCTATACGACTCACTCACTCACTTTTTTTGTCTTTTCTCGGGAACGGTAAGACATTAGGTTGGTTTCCTTTCAACCAGATGTTTGAAATTGGATTTATAAGTAAACAATCCAAAACATGAAATTTTGGGGGGATTTCAGGACCTAGTACCCCTTTAATATGTTGTAATGACAGTGAGTTTTTAAGAATTCATTTTTACATGTAAACCACAAATTGACTCACAACAAGAAAAGTTCCAATTGGCCTCTGGTCTTTCGTAATACTTGGTCAGTCCTGTCGCTTGAGGACGAGTACATATTAACGCTACATGTACACGTATGTACCGGTACATGTATGTTGTACGTGTACATCACACAATAAAATAAGTATACTATGTATATGTACAAATGTATGATCCTATACCTGCTCAAAAATCTTAAGTTACTGACCCATTACAAAGTTACACATGTGCAAGTTACAATTTTCAAACTTTAATTTTGAAATTTGCATATTAGTCCTACAACTGTGCCCAACAATTTCAAAAATAATTTCCTGATGAAAATGCATAGTATCCAGAGAACACTCTGAGAACACTCTACGGTATGTTGAAATGTGAGCCTCGGCATGTATACAATTGGTTTCCAAATGTGTCATCTTCAAAGAAGTTCTTAGATGTTCACTTGGGATTTGTATTCAAGTTATGAAAAGTTAGGGGGAAAGTGAGAGTCACAAGTAACTTGGATCTCACTATAAAAATACCACTTGGCATTTGCTTTTGCATTCTTTCAAGAATATTATTCTAGTGGAAACTAATACATACATGATAATAGCCTATAAATACATGTAGGCCTTAGCAGGAGAGTGACCTGTCACGTGTGGGAGATTAACCAATAATAGGGAAAAGGAGTCTGACTTTCATAGGAGTCGGATTTTCATATGACAGGATGTACGTGTATGTTTATATTACTTCGATAGCTACCATGGCTACTTGTAGCGTAGTTGTTGTTGTATAAAAACCTCACAAATTTTTCCTTCATTGATCACATTCAAAATCAAATAAGTACATGTATGTAAAGTGTATGTTAAGAACGGTCCTGCTGTTTAAACGGTCACAAACGGTCAAAATTTCCTTCCACTTCCCCTGGCATACTTTAACAAACCAATGGGTCGCTTGACCAATATATTGACTTGTAGGCCTATATGTACATGTATGTACGGTACATGTAACAGCTTGGCTCAGAATGCAAGTTTCCATAGGAGGGTTTCACATGTTAAGCACTGTCTGAACAGAACTTTGTACAGTCACTGTATGTACCGTACCGTACAATCTATCATACATGTTCAGTACATGTTCAGTGTAATATGGCACATGTGGAATTATGATTTGAATACCAGTGCTATTGTGTGTAGTGTAGGCCTATTCAGTACAAACTCAACTTGCAGTTGGGACTTGGGAGTGTATTTCTCATCTTCTATGCACTTCACACCCTTTTCCAATACAGTATTATTAACTGCATGCATGCACACCCATCCACAGTGACCGACCTGCGCTCTGCATGGACATGATAGAGCCAGGGACCTGCCACAGCTGCAGGGTACTGTGCTGGTGACCTCAAATGACCCCATCGAGGTCACATCATAAGAACTGGGGAAGGGTGCACATTTTGTGGTGTACCCAGGGACACACAACAGAAGGATGACATGAGGACAGAACATACACATGTACAATGTATAGGTCCTCAATTGGCGAGCTGTGGCAAAAAAAAAGCCATCAGAAAGACAATGGGTTTCCTAATTGTTGTACACAATTAGTGTGCATATCCACATGTACACGTGTAGGTGTACATCTATATATATAAGACAAGCCAGTTGTTTTTAAATACATGAACCTGCAGATTATTTGTTGATTTTTTTTTTTGGGGGGGGGGGGGATTTTCAAATTGGTTGTGGTCTTTCTTTCTTTGTCAAACATTCCACAGGGATAGGGGGTAATGACTGACTGTTTGAATTGTAAAATGTACGTACATGTATTGTGCATAGTTCATGTCATCTTGTGTTGCAAATTAGGTGATGGTTTGTGCAAAAAACATCAGATTTTTATGCCATCTGTTGTGTTGGATGCATGGTGTAGGGTAGAATAAATTGGGCAGGGTACCAAGAAGGTTTAGGCCTGACTTTTATACACACGTACAGTGTATGATGTTTGAATCAAAAACAAAATTGTCCAAGGTTCAGTTCAGTTTGGGTACATACTTTTTATGGATGTCACTTTAAATACACGAATAAACTTATAGGATGAAGATACATGTAAATGTACATACCAGCTGGGTATTTACCCAAAACTTTAAATGAGACCAGATTAAAAAAATGATATATGTACAGTTTGTATATACATTTGTACATGTACATGTATTTACATTTTTTAATAAAGTTTTAACATTGTAGTCAGGTGGCACACTATGTATTTGAGTAATTATAATCCAATAATCCAAATCCACACATACATACATGTGTAGAAAGTTTGAAGCACTCAAAGTGAAATTCCTCAAATTCATATTAATATTATTCAGTCTAGGTAATTTCTGGCTGTATAGGAATTTCCATCATGTGATTGCAGAACTCTTAAAAGCTGCTGCTGAACACAAGTTTGCATTAAACAAGATTTTAAAAGCCATCATTTGATTTTAATAACTTTGAAATCATTTCCTTGGACTCTCACAGTTATGTACTTATAAGTACAGTGTTTGTGTGACAGTATCTAAACTAATTATTAATACATGTCTGTAACAAAAACACATGGTTCAGAACAAAATGTACAGTGAACATGCATGCTCACTCTTTTGTTGTTTGTCTCACAACTAAACCCTAACTCCCTAGGGGGGTGTGCAAAATCGTATTGAATTTGGAGGATTCAGGACTGTTAGGCTTAACAGTGAAAGGTCAAGTCCTACATGCGCGGGTGAAGCTTCTGTCCAACACTACAATGCACATTTATTAGGATGTCCAGTTGCATCCAATTGAAATAAATCCTGGCCTTTGTTTTGCCATCCTTGAATCCCGGTCAAGGTACCGGCAGAGCAATTTTCACATCAAGATCGCTGGGGTTATTGTCAACTCAAAACAAGACAGTGAAGGAATTCATACATTGCACTTGTACTGAAGTACCCGTACACTCGCATAGAGGAGGTACATGTAAATGGGTCATTCCACCGGGTTGGGGAACAAAGTGTGACATATGACCATATTAAGAAAAGAATGAATGCCTTGCCAGCAGTTGCTCTACATAATATTTGTTGTTGGGTGTTTCACTACTGCAGAAAGTTTGAAATCATTTCAATGTATTTTGCCAAAAATATAAGCTAAAAATGTCATTTTGGATGTAACATTGACACCGTGTCAGTGTTACGTCCAAATATGACATTTGTTATCTTTTTTTTTAAATTTCTGCGAAATATTACCCAAATTTACTTTGCGTACTTCTTACTATAGATGCAACACAATAAGAAAAGCTTTTGTTATGGTACTCAGACATCAAATGGAGCAGAAATGATAGCTTGTTTGTGTGGATGTAACATTTACACGGTGTAAACCCCAAATGTCACACTTCCATTGAGTGATTTTTACACCGTTACATCCACACTTGAGGTATTGTTTCTGCCATACTTGAACCCTGACTATACCAAAACAAAAGTTTTTCTTGGTGCTTAGGTGTCCAGTTGTAAATATATGCAATGTCACTTTGGGTAACATTTTACGTGTAAAATATGGCAAAAAAAGAATTGTTGGATGTAACATCGGGTGTCAATGTTACATCCGAATTAATACATTTTTGCTCATATTTTTGTCACAAAGTACTTTCAAATGATTTCAAACTTTCTCAAATATTGAAACACCCTAAGACAAATATTATGTTAAGCAATTGTTTAGAATGCATTGATACTTTCAATAATATAACCAAATATATGGATGTAACATGCACTGCTTCCCAACCCAGTGGAATGACCCAAATACCCCTGACACATCACTTTGATTGTCCTCAAGATTATCCTCCTAGCTTCTTTGTACAGCAGTGTTAGAATAGCAGCACAAGACCTTGGTTTTGTACTGCTGTGGTATAGATTTGTACAAATGTGTTCAGACATGGCTGTAGTGTCGATGTAAATTTATAAAAGCGTAAATTTATGCTTTTCATACTCTGTAAAAAAAAAACAGGGCGTTTAAGTAATGGGAGTTTGTGAAATCACAACAAGATTTTGCACTGCAAATTCGCTAAATTTGAACTCATTTCAGCTTGGATGATTTTCGCTTCAATTTTGATGAAGGTTGAGTTACAAATCTGAGTAGGCCTTGGTAATAATGACGATCTGAACCTGTTTGTTTTGAGACTAAATTAAGTTGTCGTACGCTGCCAGATCAATTACAAAATAAACCAAGTATTGAGAGGATGAGCTGTATCTCAATAAAGAATGCCGTTGAATTTGGTGATAATGTGTTTCTCTGCTCTTCTCTGGTTTATACAGGTCCCCGTCAACCTATTCCTTGACCAAACCCGCTCAAAGCTGTTTTCATTTAAACAGAAAATACAACATTTGCAAACATCAAAAACGAAATGATCAAATTATCACGAAATACCTTACTGAATTGTTAGGGACTGACAGTCTAAAGCATCCTTTAAAATCGTGGCTCCTGATGGGCTGACATTTTCAAGAAAAACTGCATTTTTCCAATGCTGGTCGGCCGACCAGCATTGGAGAAAACTGGCTTTTTTTCAAAAACTGTTCTTAATTTTTCACCTTTAGTTATTCTGACTTTTCTTTGCAATTGATCACACACCTGTGAAGGGATACAAGCCTGCCAGACTGATTCTCTGACCTTACAATTCCCCAAAGTGTATTAATTGCTTCGTTTCATCTTAAGTGGGGTCAGGGAACCAGACTACAAGAACAGGTTTTCTTGGTTTTTCCAGCATCTACAAGCCCAAAACACGAAACAAGTCAGTTTAACAATATTTTATATAACATACTAATCCTCCAAATCCATTTATTTCTGAAAATTGCAGCAAAAGCAAATGTTGTACATGCGCATTCCCTTTAATGTGAAATTGACTATACACGTGTAGTAGTCTCAATTCGTTTCTTTTCTTTTTCCTTCTAATATTCAGCAAATCTGACAAATCATGCAGAAAAAGTCGGACGGAAAAGCTTTGAGCTACTAAAAGTGTTGGGCACAGGAGGTGAGTACTGTATACAAATTTCAGCTAGTAGAAAATTCTTAAAATTTGATTTGAAAAGGATGTGCCACACAGGACAAAATGTTTTAGCAATTCAGCAAAATTTTGCTTCATTGAGAGAACCCCATCCAATGCTCCCCAAAAACTGTACATGTATGACCTTACTTATCTTTAACCATGACTACGTGGACATCTAATATTTTACAGAAAGGGTGTTTAGGTTTTAGTTGGGATTTGGGAAACTTTTATGGGTATCCAAATTTGTTAAAAGGTGAAAAAAAACTTGATGTCCAAGTTTAATTACATACATACATATTCAACATGAACTTGCATAATATATGACACAGGGATAATTCAAAGTGGTAGCTGTGTAAATATGATAGACATAATACATCCAGCAGCAAAAACAAAATAATCATATTCGAGTCTCTGAAAGCCCATCCCAAGTCTTTCAGTGAGTTTCAGTCTCAGGTCAAGTCACTAGCTATCCAAATGAACTGTTGTTGTTCTTCCAGTATTTGTGACTGGCTTTAACGAAAGGACTTGTGAGTGGACTTATGATGGACTCGAATACAACACTGAATAATAATAATTTCAGACATAATTGTCCAAGATATTACAGAGGGTGATCTTCGTTTGCAGCATCAATTTTAGGTGCAACATGCAGGCATGCAACTTGTCCTCGGATCCGCTGATTTCCTCGTTTTTTACTTCTCACAAATGCCATTACAAATTGAAAAACACTGTACAAAGTCTTGTATGGTTTGGAATTTCCTCGTTTTTTTCTGAATTCCCAGTTGCATGCCTGAACATGTGCTTAGAGTGCACTCACAGAGCCAAATTTGTTGGGACAAGTAATGCAAATGGTCGATAACAGTCAGAAGTCCAACATTGATTTCATCTACCGATTTAACCACATCTTAATTGCAAAAAGTGACTCACTGATGTGTGCATGTGAATCCTGTTTGGTAGCATATGGCAAGGTGTTCCTGGTTCGGAAGCACAGCGGAAATGACCAAGGCAAGCTGTTTGCCATGAAGGTCCTGAAGAAGGCCACCATTGTCCAGAAGGCCAAGACGGCCGAGCATACCATGACAGAGAGACAGGTCCTAGAAGCCGTCCGACGCTGCCCTTTCCTGGTCACGTTACACTATGCCTTCCAGACGGATTCCAAGCTTCACCTCATCCTGGGTAAGATAATGTTCACTTTTGTCTTCCCATAAACACCTTGCGAAACTAGTCTTTGAATGGAAACTATGACAACTGTTGACTGCTTTAATACCGGAATGTCACATACGCTACATAAGGCCAAACAAAAATAATAGTTCTGCTTCCGGTTACCTAGCTACCCTATTTTGACAGCCCCTACCCTTATTTTTTTTGGGGGGGGGGGGGAATGAGGAAAAAACCCAGAAAATCATCAATTAGTACTACCTGTTACCCTTGACTAAACGTAGACACCTTCATATTATCGTACACAAAAAAGTTTGCCAAAAAATATAAAAATGTCCCTACCTACATACTATGTACAAATGTACCTACCGTATTTTCAAATGCCAAGTAATCGAAAGCAGAACTAATTTTTTGTCCCTAATTTATAATGGATTTTTTTTGTTTTCTATTTAAACGTAATGGTGTACGCGTACATGTATTGCCAACATTTATATTCTTGTTGGACATGTTGGATACACACAAAACAATCATGATGGGCAGCAGCGTTTGTGTAAGTTTATTTCCCCCCCCCCCCCCCCCCAATCTAAAATCAATAAAATTACTGGGAAAAACTGGTACATGTACTAAACATTGTAGTTGATGAAACCAGCTACATGTATTCTATAGGAAATGCCATAACATAAAAACTGTGTGCAATGATGAACACCTGGGGGAGCTGCATTCAATCATAATGACAGTTCATTTTGTCAAAAACGTTTAAATTTGTCACATCTTTTTAACGTTATTATTTAATCTATAAAGCATGAAGTTTTTCTTTTAAATAGAGCTGGTTAGGAATAGGGTATTGTTTCAGGGCAAGGCTTACTTTTGGTTCCATTAAATGCATTAATGAAATTTAATTTTGAAATTTAAGTTTATTCCTTTATGAACCTCTTTTCACCATTTTTTTTGTCTTGAAATGAAACATACTGATTAGTACTGAAAATAAATGAAGCTATGTGAAGTCACGGTAAAGTACTTGATTATGTACTTGAGCTTGTCTTACTATTGTGCTGAGAACAAAATACTGAAGGACATTTCAGTCTAGACGATGTACGAGAATAAAATGGTATTTGGAGTCGCAAGGGAATAATTCCTGCGAGCAAATTAGGGAACTCGACGCCTGCTTCACAGCATATGGTGAATGTGCCATGCATTTGTTTGAAAGATAAAAAAATTATTAACTGACCATCTAGACCACTAATGTGCACGTAGATTATTCACATGGGCTGGCACTAGAAATGTGTTTTCTGTCTTAATTATGGGTCACCATAAAAGTCATGTAGGGACACGTTCAGTAGCTCCCCCCCCCCCCCCCCCCCCCCCAGCGATATAATCTTCACTCTGGTTTTTGCTGTCCCTCGGGGATTTTTTCTCTTTCTCACAGATTATGTGAGCGGCGGTGAGTTATTCACCCATCTTTACCAGCGAGAGAGCTTCAAGGAATCCGAGGTGCGCATCTACATAGGCGAGATCATACTGGCCTTGGAACATCTGCACAAGGTACTACTTCTAGTGATTATTAAATCAAAGGAAAAAAGGTTATTCACCGCACAGAACACAAAGTTTTATGTATCTGTTCATTTTTGGTGACCGGTGTTGTTTTTTTTGGTTTTTTTAAGACGCTGAATTGCTGACCTGAAAACACCTTACTGTAAAACCGACAAAACTTAATTTTTGTGGCCCTTTTTCATACATGAAGTCTAGTCACTTAATTTCAAGGGATCTTCTGTGAGAAAAATCCACCCTCAATGCTTTGACTTTATAAATAACAGCACAGAGATGACGAAAGATACCCTTCAAATGTTACGTGAGTTACCACGGAATTGCCCATATCAGTGCTGTACATTTTTCAAATAGTATTTCATTATTCCAGCTTGGACTTGATTGAATATTCAAATATTGAAAATGCGCTTATAAATCAGCTTTTACTTGTGCCAGCCTAAACTGGTGGTGGTGGCCACCAATTATTTTTTCTGCACATGTCGAAAATTGACAGAGAAAAAAAATAATATAAAAGAACATTTGTATCAGAATTTGTTGGTTTTTGTTTTGTTGTTGAGGTACATGTACATGTAGCAGAATGGCTGGTATTTGACAAATTTGAAAGAAGAAATTAGAGCGAATGTTCCTCATGAAAGCTCTCAAATCACGCCTGGCTTTAAACATTAAAGTGCTTTAGATAAAAGTGTCATTTGAAAAAACATTAACTTACCGTACAAGATCAAAATAACATAGTAGACTTTTTCACCATCTCCTTGAGACCACTCACATTTTTGAAATATTTGAATTGAAAAAAAAAAAGTTATTTGGATATTCGGTGGTTGATTGAATATATTCCATTATTTAGAACAGCCCCACAACATATCAGCTTCACTGTAAGCTGTCACTCATCAATTAGACTGGAGTACACTTCCTGGGTTTTCCCCTGTTTTTTTTTTGTGTGGTAAACTTATTATAAACCCTAACTCCCAAGCATGATTTATTAGGAACCATATACCCATCCTGGCATGTTCAAACACCATATGGGAAACTGCACACACATATTTCTGACTTTGATTCTGGAGGTGTGCCAACCCAATAAAAGACTGTCAGTCTAGGGGTACTGTACCCATCCTGACAGATTCCAACAAAACATGCCATTGGGATTTGATGGGTTGAGTTCTGTTAGGGTTAATACAGTACCATTGTACAGCGTACATAGTGAGGGTCTGCTTTCTTTCCTCTTTAATGTTTTGAATTGAACCTTCACACATGCACAAGTATGTAAAGTTGTTTCAGATCATAATACATGTACATGTCGGAAGTCAATTCCTTCAGTTTCCTGGACTTTGCCCTATCAGCTATTAAATTAAACTTCCATGTACCAATTTGGCCAAGGGTAATATTGCATGCATTGCAAAAAAAATCAAGGCCAGTGCTTTTACATGTAGGCCATGTAAAACAATGCCAGTGCCCGCCCACTTCCATTTTTGAGGCTGCATCAATTTTTAATTTTTTTTAAATTTTAGGCATTACATTTACAAAAAAATATGTTTCAGAAGTTCAGATGCTTCTAATAGAAATACTAAGGTTCAATAAACACTTTAAGAAGGTTTTGTGGTCATCAACTAGTAGACAACTACCCCGAGCTATCAATTAAAAAGGGCCTACTCCTTCTTAAGGTAGTCGGTGTGATGGGATCAAGCTAATTGAGTCGTATGTCAGGAACTTTCATTTGGAGATACAGGCCAAAATGGGCCACTTCATCACATCACTTCATTACATCTCTTGGTGTTCCGACTTCCATAATTTTTGAACTAAAGATGGTACCAGCATGCGGTTTTCACAGCAGTAATGCTGAGATTGTGCACTTTTCAAATCTGTAAAAAAAAAATGACCAGGGTTGACAAATGACTCATTTAGCTTGATTGCATCACATATCGTGTAAGCTTAATCATATATGCCTATCTTAGCCTATTTTTTTAATAAGAAAATAAAAAGACCCTCATCCTCCTTACGAAAAAAACCTGGACGATCAGCTTTTTTTTACTTGGCCTTACAAACTTTGTGTACATGTGCATTTATCGACACATCTATAATATAAATTGTCCGTGTGTACTTTCGAGGTACATGTACCAGTAACGGTACAGCATGCTGGTACATCGCTTGTGCATTCATGAATATTAGTTATGAGGCAGGTTGAATGACCTCTGTGTCTAGCACTTCCAGTAGCAACATTGGGTACATCCAATTGTCCACAAAACAATGTGCACAGGATGTACATGTACATGTACATGTATGTACATGTACCGGTACATGTATGTTCACATGCTGATGCATGCTGTATCTTCCCAACAGACATGAAAGGTTCTGTGCTTAATTACATGCAGTTGCTACAAATGTATGGTTAGTACAAAAATATGTGTAAACAAATATGAGCTTTAGAGCCTTAAAAAATGTACAAAAAAATGTACATGTACCGGTACCGTAGCATTTAGTAACCTGTTTTTGCTATTGAAGCAAATGATACACTGTACATGTAGCTCTTCTTAGCAAATTTCTATGCTTAGAGCTCCATTAAATTGGCCCCTGGATTCAGACAGGCAACTTAAGCACCTGTACTACATTGTATTACATTGTGTTTATTCACTGAAGAATCAATATAACCATAGAGCGCTCCACAGGTTTCGGGTGCTACAGCAGCAGGGTGGGTTCAGCCTGCCATACAGTAAAAGGGTTAAATTTAAACATGAGCTGATGAGCATGTATTGTGCAACATTTTCTCTGATTAAAAAACAAAATAAGTAACAAGTCCATATGTGTACATTGTTGCCAAATTTTTGATTTTTGGAAGGGAATGCATGGCTTTAATTATTGATCGTTTAGGATTCAAATTCAATAAGTTGGTTTGTTTTGTTCAGAGACAAAGCCTGGGAATTGTATGTACGGGACCTTTAACAATTTTGTTTTTATTAGCTCTGCCATTCAACAATGGCTCTGTAGAAATTTGTTGTGCTTTCTACTATTGACAGGCTATAATGATGATGTCAATTAAGATCTGATGATGTCATAATAAACACAAGTAAATGAGATCTGTCTTTGGGTACTTAAAAATAAACTTGTTTGCCCTTAATTGCAAAGTAAATTTTAATGTTACGTAAGACACATCTAACTTCAGTATCTCCAGACTCAGGACATACTGTATGATGTCAATTAAGATCTGATGATGTCATTATAAACACTGTCTTTGGGTACTTAAAAATAAACTTGTTTGCCCTTTATTGCAAAGTAAATTTCAATGTTACGTGAGACACATCTAACTTCAGTATCTCCAGACTCAAGTCATTGTTACTTGTATGATTCTGGGCAAGCTCTTGCATACAAGTACCGGTACATATGTGAGCATGCAGAGTTCAAATTTGTATAAGAAATAAACCTTAGAATACCGGACACTAATCAAATCTAACTTGCGTTTTGGCAAATGTTGATCATCCTTTTAATACATGGATGCATTTCATTGTTGGTAAATGTGTTTGTTGTCTGTTTTGTTTACATTAGTTGGGGATAATCTACAGAGACATAAAATTGGAAAACATCCTGCTTGATCAGGACGGCCACATAGTACTGACAGACTTCGGGCTCAGTAAGGAATTCCTCCCAAATACGGTAAGTCAGAGCTCACCAAAAATAAATTAGCTTCTGAGAAAAATTTATCAAGAATTTTTTTTTTTTACCAAAACTGATAATTGAGATTTGCAATTTCCTCGTGACTACTCCTTGATTAGAGATTATCAACGTTTGGACTTTTTTTTTTGATACAAATTTTACATTATCGCTTGAGCATAAGGCATGCACCTTGAAAGGGGGAAAAATCAATTTCACACATGACACCACACGGTAAGCCCTCTGTAAATCCTGTTGGCTATCACAGCAGGAGTCGGATGTACAATTCCAAGCCGAGTAATTTCTGCAATTTCCAGCAGAAGAGGTTTCGCATAATGTGACAAATCCGCCGTCACGCCGTCAGAGTCAAATGCGGTCACTGCTCCAAACATGGTTCATGTTTGTGGCACAGTACGTATGGCTGCTTTTGATAAATCTACATTTTGGAGTCATTTGAAATTCATGGCTTGTGTTTTTCTTCTCAGTGATGCATAAGTCTCCAGTTCCAAACAGGCCCGTCCGCAACCACTCACTTTCCTAGCGTGTCCCTCATGATCACTGAGGTTGTTATGCATTTGAGCTATAAATACCCTACCAGGCTCCTGTGGGAAAATCTAAAATAAGAAGAGTCAGAGGATGTTATTTATATATCTTGTGCTCTAGGCTAACTCAGGCTCCATCCATGGAGACCCTCGGTCTTACTGCAGTGCATGTAAACATCTTTGTACACTCTCACAGCTCAAGATATGAAGCTATATGTGCAACTTGATGGAAAAGATGTCATGCTGTGTACACATCTGACATTTTTTCAAGTATTCAGGATTTGTCTAATGACTGATACAAAATGTAATTTTGTACATATTGTGTAATTATGCAAAATTACTAAATGAGAATAAAGATGGCTCGCGTAATTAAACTACATGTACCGGTACATGAATAATTTAGAGTTTTTAACAAAAACAATTGTTTTATCGTAGGTTTTAGCACATTAACCCTGCTGCTATTTAAACAGTCACAGACAGTCAAAATTCACTTCCACTTCCCCTGCTATACTTTTAACAAAGGCCAGTCACCAGCAGTCAGATCATGTTAAACAAGCACTATGACTAGTCAAACTGGGTCAACAGACAAAGCAGGCAAGTTGTGGTCACAGCTGTTTTAGCACTTACCCGGAGTCGAAGCATAGCTGAATAAAGTTACTTAAAACAGTCCCAGGGAGTCAATCCTGCTTTTTGTAGGCTGGGAATTCTTAACTGTTGAAAACAGTCCCTTGTTTGATTCTGACTGAAAGGACTACTAGGCACAGAATGTACCATTATGTTTGCACAGGAGGGTTACAATTGGATAATTAAGAAATATTGTGGGGATTTAGTTTGTAACATACTGAGACTGGTCACATTTTCACGTTAAATTTGAAAGTTGTGTTTGCATTCCTGCCATGCCATTTTCCTGGGATCAGCTGATTTCCTCTTGTTGTTTCTTCCCAGATTTATCAGTGATAGTAGAACTGAAACTGAAAAACAAAGGGGAGTGTCTAGTGTGTCTTGGAATTGTCTTGTTGATTTCTGACTACTGTACCGGTACTTACATGTACACATGTAGTTGCATGTGTGATTACATACATGTGTGATTACGTACCGGTACATGTATGTAGAGTTCCCATATGATTTCATGGATTTCTCGGAACCGTATACATTGTACATTTCCTTGGTTTCTGTATGGGACTGCCTGCAGTTGTGACCTTAAAGGGCCAATGATTTAATTAAACATGTTAAAGGAAAATTGAGTCAAATTTAGGGGATTTAAGGTTTTTTTCCAGGATCCTCTAGGTTTTACTGTGAATACGGTACATATGTCCATATTCTTTAGCAAAATGTGAAGTAATTTCTAAAAGGTAGAAGCTTCAGTATTATTGCTGTGTTTCAGCATCAAAAGTTGCCAGAATGTTGTTTTCTGTGTTAACTTACTGCTATTTCACCATCAAAGGTGTGGAGTGTTGTGGCTTCGTTGCCTGGACCATTGAATTTGTGGTCTGCAGGTAATTCTGCAGGTTGTGGGTTCGAGTCCAGCCTGCCGGCTATGGCGCCTGTGCCCTTATAGGCAATTAGCACTTTGTCACTCGTTGCTACCGTACTCCCCATCCAAAAGTAAATGGGTACCGGTACCTGTCAGGGCCGAGATGGTTATTGTGGTTGATTTTACAAATGTATCGTACATCTTGTAGCTGCATTTGCGCCGAAATGACAGCATCAAGCTGTTTACTCCTCAGTCAGCTGAGATTGTCTTTGGAATGTGTCATTGGCCCAATGAGCAAGGTAATAATGATGTAGTGCCAAAACTGCTGGGTACGTGCGCATGATAAAATCATATTATTATTATTGTGAACTTTCTGTTTTGGTGTTCCATTGATGATTTAGTTATGATAATAAGCTGATAAGCAACCATTATACATGTACATATTAAACTCCTGATTCGTACAGAGAACTCCTAGACCATGTAGACTGTAGAGTTTATGCTTCAAGTGATATCTTACCGTAGCAACAGCATCCTTCAAAATAGCACAAAATTGCACTTTAAACAAACTGTAACCAGAAAGATGCTTTTCCCTATTTCCCGTTTTTTTAAGGGGAATGGGTATCACCACAAAATACCGTTATGTTTCAGTGTAAAATTCATCTTCACCTGTAACATGTGTAATGGAACCTTTTTATTGTTTGCCTATGACAAGCTACCGCTACATAATACCAGCTTGGAATCATGCATTCACTGAAGAAGGAGACTAAATTTATTGGCTCTATTTAAAAAAAAACCTTTTCCATCACATGAAGACTGCCATGTACATGGAAGTAATGAAGGAGTTGAGATGAGTTCCATTGTATTTTCTTCAAAATTTTAGGCCATATCCACATCAAATGGCCCCTGTTGGCTCCGTGCACAAGTACCCCTTCAGTGGCCACAAAAGGAGAGTTGGGGGAGACCTAGACTGGTTCCCAGTCCATCCATTGCGTATTGCGAATGATCCAAAGCTTTTGGGGGCGGGGATTAGTCTGGGAGACCGTGGCAAGTTAAGTTTGAATGTATTCGCGCGCCGATGACGCCTGACGCTCACACGCGAAGACGCTATGGCTTAGCTTTGTGCACATTCAGGATAAATAAGTTGTGCGTACATGTACTTCGCACGCGACCCATTACAGTAAGCACATGCGGTGTCCCATCCAAGGGGCTCTCAAAAGTGGGAAAATGCGCCCTTTTTTGTTGGCGCACGGAGCCCATGCATATATGTACATGTAGGTGCGTGTGCTATTTCCGGCTGTAGCGATGTGATTTGGACAGCCTTAGACTTCAGGGCATGTCAGATACTGAGCTGTGTCTTGATTTTCCCCTAACTGCCACTTAAAAACTTTTGTAACATTGTAACAACATGAAAATAGTTGCATCAACAAGTCTTTTATCCATCCCAATCCTGTATTTCCCAAATGTTTATGTTGTGTTGTCTTAACTGGATGCATTTTGTTTGTTGTTTCCTCGCACAGGACTCCAGAACCTACTCCTTCTGTGGGACTATTGAATACATGGCCCCTGAAGTGGTGCGGGGTGGAACAACCGGTCATGACAAGGCTGTTGATTGGTGGTCGCTAGGTGTTCTGACCTATGAACTCCTCACTGGGGCTTCACCATTTACAGTGGAGGGGGAAAAGAATACTCAGTCAGAAATCTCGAAGTAAGATATCAATTTTATTTGTATTTTTCTTTCTTTTTCTTCTATTTTGTTTGTTTTGATTTTATACAAAACATGTACCTGTACATGTAGATGTGTTGGCATGTTTAATGTGCTTACGTAGATACATGTACACGTACATTGTAGTTGGTTTTGAAGTTTGGTTTATTTCAGTTCAGTAGGTTGTCTCTAAGTCTGGGCACACACAAAATAGCAGAGATGTATGACTCATGACTTGGACTCGTGACTCAAGTCTCATTTTGCGTGACTCGAGTCACGATGTCAAATGACTCAGACTCGGACTCGACCCTGCGGAATCAGACTCGGACTCAATCTGCGTGACTCGGGACTTGACCATATTTACCGCAAATCACTTACTTTTTCAACAATATACCAGTACTTACAGACTACTTTGAAGAGGATCCTTTCTTGAGCTAAATGATTGTAGTGATTCAGTCAGTGCTGTGCGCAATCGCATCTAAGTACTCTACATACACAGCGTGTGCGGCTGGCTTGTTTCCGATATACTGATTTGGGAAATCAATGTATCGAAGCATGTTCATGTATCCTAGCGTCCTCTCTTGATATTGCATAAATGCAAGCTTCGTAGATTATCCTTTCCAGACACTGGTGCCTTGCCTGGCACTGGCAGTACCTTCCAATGTAGTACGTACATGTAAACTCAGACTCGGGCTCGACCTTTGTGACTCATGACTCAGACTCGGTCTTGACCTACATGACTCAGGACTTTGGACTCGGGAGAGGTGACTCGGACTCAGACTCGATGATTGGTGACTCAAATTCAAGTCTGGAAAATAGTTATAGACAAAGCTCTAGAAATGTGTTACAGATACAATGTACGTTCTTGCCACATGTACATGTCTTGTATGCATGATAGTGTGCAGTAATCTGTGGTTAGGTATTGGTCTGGTTTGTGAGTTGGGTATTGGTCTGGCTTGTTTGAAGTCGGGATTGAAGTTTGAATACATTGAATACGGTTTATTGCTGTATAGAAGAGAGATTTTGTTACAACTTGCTTAAATTTGTAAGGGGAGGAGGGAATAAATGCGAACCACCCTCCTTCTTACGGTCACCCTTGCCACACCCCTGTGGATGGCAGACAGTACAAATGTAGCTTTCTATTATCAATTATTTTGGCTCCATTCAAGCTAGTGCATATCCCTTATCGACCTATTTTTTCAAAATATCTGTGAATCAATTTTACTGAGAGTGAGCTTTTCATTGACCGTTAATTCTTCGAACTTCATTTGTACCGTTGAACTTTTTGTAAATCAGACGCATCCTGAATAGCTACCCCGGCATGCCCAACAGCTTCTCTTCCACCATGAAAGATTTCATCAATCGTCTTCTAGTCAAGGATCCCAAGAAGAGACTGGGCTCTGGACCCAACGGTGTGCAGGAAATCCAACAACATCCTCTCTTCAAGGTCAGACAAGTTTGCATAACCCTAAACCTCTCGAATTCTTCATAATCCAGCATGAGGATCTTGAGGATTTCACAGGATATACATGTAGGAAGATTGGGCCGCTCACTGTTGCTTTATACACCAATCAAATTTTTACTTTACGGTTGTGATTACCATTATATCCAGCGGATATGTGACAAAATATTAATGAATTGTGCACTTTTGCATAAAAGCGTGAAATTTGGCATGTTCATATTTATGCGAGAAGATGATTTAGATGTGGAGCCATCGCAAATTTACCCTTTTAGGGGCATGGCATCCATTTAAAAAAATGGGCCAGGACTCATCATGCCCGCAGTAAAAACGGTTGTTCCCACTTTTTTCCAACGGTGTGCAGCGGGAAATCCAAGAACATCCTCTCTTCAAGGTCAGACAAGTTTGCATAACCCTAAACCTCTCGGATTCTTCAAAATCCAGCTTGAGGATCTTGAGGATTTAGGAAGATTGGGCCGCTCACTGTTGCTTTATACACCAATCAAAGTTTTACTTTAAGGTTGTGATTACCATTACTGGAACACTTCCATGACTGAAAACCCATTGCACGTGGGTTTTTAAAAGCTCTAAGCACGTCACTAAAGGTGAGTGCATTAAGCAAAATACCAAGATGACCTTTGGAGCGTCCCAGCATGGTAGAAAGCAGCCCCAGTGATTACAAAAAATGGGCAACTGAGATTGGTCTACATGTATATTGTGCGTCATGGCCTAAGTTCCTACGCAATGATAGATTTTGATGGATTCAGGATGTGTCCTTTCAAAATGTCTAAGGGAGTTACATTGTACCTTCTTAATTTTCTTGGCATGGGCATGTTCATTTGACATGTTTTGAAAGGTAAAGCGTGTTTGTTCTCAGTGATATTCGAAACCAACCTTTTAAAAGAAATGAAGCCTTCCATTTTTTTTTGTGACACAAGCTAAAGAAAATCTCTGGAAACATCCACCAATTTGCTCCATGGTCTCTGATTGTAACCGCATTCACTGGCTAGTGGTCTGCTTGGTTCATAAACAGCCTGCCTATTCGAGTGACCTGAGAGTTCCCAACCATTTTATTCATCATTTCAGCTCTGGAATATTTTTGTAAGGGCCTAATGTACATTGAATCCCGCAAACTATACCCAATCAGGTGGAGGAGGACATTGCATGTGGAACCTCACTCTTCACTTTTTGTTGGCATGACTGTGAGCTGAATGGGAACTTCCAGTGAAATCATATAAACCGTTACTCGGTTCCAAAAATTAGGATAACCAGATTTTGAAATCTTCGATATCTCCCACCACTATTACTTACCCTTTTGTCTATAAACATAACTTTGAGCTGTTCATTGGAAGTACAAAACCGGATGTTTCTCACCTGAAAACCTTTTTGGACTGTACCTGAATCCATCAAAATCCACACCCCTGTTTTGGAGGATTTCGGCAGATTCAGGGTACCTCCATATTGAAAAAGTTGGGGGATTTTGATGGATTCAGGACAGTAAGCCTAGCGACACCGCAGGATTTGATGGATGCAGGATACCTCCATATTGAGCAGTTGGGGGACTTTGATGGATTTAGGATACTTTCTATTAAAAGTGTTAAGGGGTTAGGGTTACAATTGATGTTATTTGCTCTCCAGAATCTGAATTGGGAAGACCTAGCAGACAAGAAGGTTCCTCCTCCCTTCAGGCCTCACATCAGCGGTGAGCTAGACACCAGTAACTTTGCTGACGAGTTCACCAATCTCCCTCCTGCTGAGTCCCCGGCCGCTGTGCCCAAGACGGCTGATGCCAGAGTGTTCAGGGTAAGGGTTTCATAACCTCAACTCCTAAATAATGTTAGCTTACCAGGAAAAGCAAAATAATACGCTGATTTGTCACATGAAAAATGCATGCGACTACTTTTATCTGTTACATCATGATTTTTAATAAAATTTAAAGCAAGTATTTTGTCTTTTAACAAAAACCTCTTTTTAAAAAAACTTTTTAAATAAAATCTGCAGTAAATATGAACCAGGCTGTATTCTGTTTGCAAATCCACAGAAAAGGCAGGTCACTTACTGTCATTTTTAAAAAATTGAGTAAATACAGTGCTTTTAAAATTGCCTACGTAGACATGGTAGATGGCAAAGCTCCTTTTAACACTTTGCTTGATTGATCAATAGCCACATTGAAAAAAACCACATTTACTGTCATTGAAATGCAGTCTTGCTCAATGCTGAAAAGCAAGCAATAAAGTGGTGATTGTACATAAGAAAGAGGACAGCAAAAAGAGGAAAATGCTTGATGAACTTGTTTTTTGGTCCACTGAACCTGTTGTGCATTGGAGTGACTTTTTGTTATTCAGAGGTCAGACCAAAAGTACCATGCACAAGGTCTTTGGTTCTTTATAAAGAACAAATAAATTATCCTTTTTTTCACATTGATACATATCGCTGGTCTCATTATGAACAGGGATAATAAATGTAAAGCGCTTTGGAACCTTATGTTCAAATTGCTATATGTATTTATTTAACTATTTATTTATCCATCCCGATATTTCGTTGCTAACATCTCAAGAATTATTCTTCTCTTTTGCACAGGGCTACTCCTTCATTGCGCCATCAGTACTGTACAGTGACAATGCAATCACAGCCAACCTACTACACCCAGAACCAGATAAGAACAAGCCTTCCCTGGAACAGATATCACACTCATCCCAAATCAAGGTACTGGAGGATATCTTAAAACTCTGTCAACATCAAGCTCTTGTTCGCAGTGTTTCCATGGATTCAAGATTAAACAGCCAATCGCCTATTATTAAGATGATATTAGTTGTTCTAAGGGACACTTTCATCCGGTACATGCCTTTTTGGCCCCTAAGCTTACGGTTTCCATGTAGTGACTGCGCAAACATTTCTAGCACCAGTCATCCTTCATTCTACATATATTTTCAAGAAGTTGCTTCAAATGCTTGTGCCTTAGAATTGTCATGTGAGTACAATGTCATTCTAAAACAGTGAAATGTCACATATGTGATATGCGTGCGTTGTCAGTCTTGTGTTTATGCCAGCCAGCAACTGGGGAAGATAATCAAAAGACAGTTAACCTACTGCAGCATTTTGACTACAGAACTTTGATTTGTTACAAAAGGGAACCCTGGTTAATTTTGTCGTTTATTTTCGTCATCATTATTTGTTAGTTTTTTTTTTTTATTCAATTTGTTTGTTTCTTCCAAGGATTCTGCATTTCACAAGACTTATGAGATTGATCTGAAGTCTGAACCGTTAGGTGATGGCAGCTTCTCAATATGCAGGTAAAGAATGCGACTGATTCATTAACCAGTTTGCGCCGGAGGCCGTGTATACACGCAAATGTTCTGCGGTATTCGAAACAGATGATAGATAAGCACGCAGGGAACGAGGCCGGAAATATCTGTGAGCAACCCGCTCACAGTGAGCGAGGCTGGAAATATGAGTGTGCTGCCCGAGGGTGATGGTTTCAACCCGCCTGGCATGAGGTTGAGTGAAAAGTAATCCTGCGCTTCGTTCCGTTCTTGACAAAATAATCCTGGCGCGAACTGGTTAATCAATCGTCAGAAAAACAGATTTCCAAATGTCTGTTGCTCTGATTCAGGAACAGCTTTTTTACCCAGTCCTCAATTTGCCAGAAAAATAACCTAGTAGTTTGTCCATGTAGTTTAAGTGTCCTTAAAAATCTTTAAATTGAACAAAGAAATTGACTGGAGTTGGGTTTGAACCATGACCTCAGGAATACCATACCCATGCTCTTCCAACTGAGCTATCCTGCCCTATGTTGATGATTTCCCGATTTGGTCAATCTTTGGTCAAGGGACGCTAGCCAGAAGCCATAAACTATGTCATGTATCATAAACAGGTTTAGTTAACAATTTTAGATGGAATTCATCTGCAAACTTCTCACCATTCTTTCCTACTTCAGGCCCTGTTAAGGTTTTGTTTTCCTCTGGTTTTCCTTTAGAAAATGTACTCACAGAAAGACTGGCCAGGCTCACGCTGTGAAGATCATCAGTCGAAGGAAGAACTGCAACCAAGAAACAAAGTCACTACAGCTGTGCCAGGGCCATCCCAACATTGTGCAACTGCATGGAGAGTTTAAGGATGAGGTCAGTCACCTTTGACCCAGACCTATCCCAAATAAAGTAAACTCCGGCTAAGACGGCACTCTCGGGACCAAAGAATTTGTGACGACTTACGCGAATGTCGGCTTCTGCTGCAAGTCGTCATTTTGCCGACTTACACAAATACACAAATTGAATCACGGAGTGAAAAAAATCGATTGAATTAATGGCCAATGCGCATCTGTATCTGGATCATGCAAACAAGATTCATGGCTAAAATTCAAAGGCTTCGATTTACCCTGGTTTGTTTCTACATCCATGGTTGATTCCAGCAAATATATCCTCAATGTTTATCATCACAAACAGGCTGTGATATTGATCACAGAAAGTCATGCATGTACATGTACATGTACGTACGTACGAAGCAAGGACGGTGTGGCCGGCAAGCGTTAACAGTGGTACGATATACAGATCGCTTGCATACTGTACGTCCATGTACATGTAGTGTACATTGTGCACGTATGTACGTGTACAGTCACAAATTAAATGTGTGCATGGTACTGGTACAATAAGGGTACCCCCAAAGTGAACAGAGCGCATGCGTGAAGTCGAGAGGGAGTACTGGTATTGATGTGCTATCGGGAAAACCCCTTTTTGATCGCGCATGTGTAAGCGAACGATGCACACAATGTACAGACTGTGCATGAAACAGTGTACACGTGCGATAAGTGTACACGTGGCTGGCCGATGCATCAATCACGGGCCGTGCCATTGATAAACAGATGTCAGTTAGCAGTGTGTGGGACTTTTCACTCGACACTTCTTGCAAACCGCAGAGCACGATGCCGACTTATACAGAGGAATTTTTGTGGTTTTGAGGAAATGGGACTGAAAGTAACACACCGACATAGGCGACATGGCAGCTTACAAAGGCCGACTTAGAAATGAAAATGTCAATGGAAATGCATTAGAGACAATCGGGACAATGTTGGGCCCTCTTAATTATTTTTAAATGAAAGTTCAACGGGTTAGTTGTTAAGCACCCGTCTTCGGATACTGAGTAATTTTGTTGCTTTGAATGGGAAAAAAAAATCACCAAAAGCACGTGATCCTTCTTTTGTTTGAGGAGAATTAATGGAAAGGTTCTGCTATATTGCTGTGTTTTTGCAATTGGAATTAGCTTTGCATCCTGGACATGCTGGAAGAAGAAGACAAAAAATATGTCTAGAAATTGAAAAAAAGTGTGTGAAGAGATGCATTCACCCTATTTCAAGTTCAACCTTTTGAACACGATTGTCTGTGATCTTAACTTGCAGTTACATACGTACATTGTGATGGAGTTGTGTCGAGGAGGGGAACTACTGAACAGAATCCGCAAGAAAAAGCACTTTGATGAGTCCGAGGCTAGTGCCATCATGAGGAAGCTGGTTTCAGCCGTCGACTTCATACACAACCGGGGAATAGTACACAGAGATCTCAAACCAGAGGTGACCTGAAAACAATTCAAATCCTACTCTATCCACAAATTTGGTCATTCCCAGATTACCCTGACTCTTAGGCATTCTTGCTAGAAAAAAATTCTGAAAACCTTACTGTCAAAAGTGCCTTGTTTCATCAGAAAACATTGATGAAGAAGTGTGCTCAGTTGATGTACCGGTAGAATGACCCAAATGTTTATTGTACACAGGGACGTAACTCCTACTTCAGTATACAAATATAACATGGTTTGAGGGTGGACAGTCGATATTCGCTCCTTGAGGTATTGGAACTAGTTTGTCAACTTCCAATACCGAGGGGAGATAATATCGACTATCCACCCGAAATAAACCATGTTATATTTGTTTTACTATACCTCATACATATTCTGTTGCCGAATTTTCCCGTTGCAGTATGCACCTCGCGGGCAAAAAATCTTCAGAGAAACTTGTCCAGCTCACTAGAAGGAATTCGAAAAGTCCAGTTCATTTGCAATACAGTAACTACGGTTGTAAATACAATTTGTGGACAACTGTATTTATTACAGGAGGCAACTTTATTTTCCACAATATTCTTCATTTCGGCATTATTGAGCTCGGGAAAACACTAATTACATTTACATGTGCAACCATCTCTTCATGTGTACCGGTAGCTAGGGCGATGTTCCACGATTGCGACAGTCTACTATGATGTAAAAGCACCCTTTGCGTGAATACTCGCGCGCGCGAGTGCTTGGTAAACAGCAAAAATAGTATCTGGCATGTGATGGTGAATGAACCAGTTAGAATTCAGTTTTCAGTCATGAATATCTATGAGGTATAGTAATATTTCATGTATACAAGCAGGTTATTGTTCAAAACAAGATCAGGCAAGCCTAGTAAAGCTGGGACCAGAGTGCACAAAATTCTGTGGATTCAGAATGGATATTCACTTGAAAGTCTGTTCATGCATCTGGGGCGGGTTGACCAGACCAAACCGACCCAAAACACTATAGATGTGAACCGAATCTGAAACAAAACCAATCTGAACTCCCCAAATCCGACCCGACCCGACCGAACAAAAAGTCAAGCAAAAACTTACCTGCACCGACCCGAAACTGACCAGACTCGGAAAAAAACTGAATATCTGGCTTTGGCAACTACATTTATGTCCGCTTTTTGTGTCTGAAATTACAAGCGTCGCGTGAAATTTGTCGTCTTTCAGTAAAAAACTAATGGCGTACAGTACGGTGAAGACTCATTACATGACCTACTGGTGTGCCTACACGTTATAAACTGTGCGTGATAGACCACAAATCACATGCACATTCACGCCGTGGGTGGACGTCGGTCGTACAAGGCACAGTAATGGTCAATTTCCAAACTGTTTCGGTTTTTTTTCTGGTTTATTTCGGGTTGTTAACAAGATTGCTTAACCGACCCGTCCCAACCCGAAAAATCGATAACGCAAACCGACCCGAGGGAAATGATGTAAAAGCGACCTGACCCGAAGTCTACACAACGGGCCGTATTTAGCCCATTCATTGGCATTGTGGGGTAATTCTACATTACAGCTCTGCCTCACAAGTCAGTGTCAGTGAGTTGGTCAGTCAGTGAAATAGATGCAAAGAGGACGCTAGTCTGGCACCCTTGGACCACCACAAAATTGACCACTTACAAATCCCATGGCTTTCTCACACACCAGAATCTGCTGTTTACCGATGAAACTGAAGATGCAGAATTGAAGATCGTTGACTTTGGCTTTGCTCACATCACCAACGCCAACCAGCCACTCAAGACACCGTGCTTCACCCTGCACTTTGCCGCCCCTGAGGTCCTGGGCCAAACAACCAATAAAGATGGCGGTTACGATGCATCTTGCGATATCTGGAGCCTGGGAGTCATTTTGGTGAGTGTTGGCAATAGTGCTGTAGGTCAACCATCAAGTTAGGATTTGGGTTAGGTTCTGTAAGGTGCAGAAATGTGCGTTCGAACAGCGGTTCAGGTCGGGTTCAGCAACAAATAGACTGGTACATTAGTGGTCAATGAATTTTTTTAAACTATACCCATTCATTGTGGAGGGCAATGAATGTAGCACCTTATTTGTTACTTTTTGTTGGCATTACTGTGAGCTAAAAAAGGAAGTTCTGGTGAAATCCAATAACCGTTTTTCAGTTTGAAAAAAAAATTAGGATAACCAGTTTCAGAAATCTCTGATTTCTCCAAACATTAGTAAGAATTATTTATTTTCCTTTAGTACACCATGCTGTCTGGCCACGTGCCTTTCCAAGCGTCCCGTCGTAGCGGAGACAACAGTGCATCAGAGATTATGCGCAGGATCAAAGATGGAAACGTCTCCTTCACCGGACAGCATTGGAGCTCTGTGAGCGAGGCTGCCAAAGATCTTATCCAAGGTAAGTAACTGAGCTTTGGAAACGATGCACCTGCTTCCCATGGCAAAGTGTTTAATTAAGGGAATAAATGTGTGCTCCGGAGGTTTTTATCACTCTGTTTAAGACCACTTAGAGTCTGGGTGCTGGTAATTATCAGCACCCAGACTCTAAGTGGTCTTAAACAGAGTGATAAATACCGACGGAGCACATATTTATTCCCATTCATAAATACCTTTTCGGTAAAAAAAAAATCATATAATTCGTTCAAAACATCCCGATTTTGTTCAACAAATTCACTTTATGCTTTTTGAAACATCCCTCTTGCAAAATAATGGAGTGTTCAGCTGGCGAGTAAGATCGATGTAAACAACCCTTTTATGGAGATTGACGCGCGCGTATCATGTTCTAAGCGATGTCTCGCAGAATGCACCTGGCGCGTTGCGTTTTGAATTTAGAACTATAAAATTCTGACTCCCTGGTAGTGTTGCGCATGCCTACGTGAGGATTGTGAATGTTCAACCAATGAAACGATAAGAGGCACTGGATTTTTAGGAGTCCACATTTTATTGTGACACTGGAAAAGTGTTTAAGACCAGCTAGCCATGTCTTTATCATCCGTTTAAGACCGGCCACGTGACGGGCTCTCGACCAATAGGAATGCGTAAACTGTCTTAGGTATTTATGAATGAAGGCTTACACCTGGGCAATTCCACACTAATGGGCCAATTAGATAAGTTTATGGATGTTTCATATAAAGGGTAAAAGATGCGCTAGTGTTTTCTTTAGTTTTTTTCCTATACCTTAGTTGAACTAGGACAAGAAACTACAAGTGACTAGGACAAGAAAATACAAGAGATGATGTCTTATTTATTTGAGAAAATAACAGGTCTTTTTTTCTGTGTTATATGTACGTAGCATTGACAGACACACTGGAAGGAAAAGGGTGCTTAGGACAAAATTCAGTTTCTAATAGGCACTTTTATTGGACATTATCAACCCATTTACATTGCTATCAAACAAAAACTAACAGTTTTTGCACTGGCTTCAAAGCTATGATGTGATTAGGGTTATGTAAGTACAGGGACAGACATTTTGTGACAAATGTCCAGTCTGTTCGTACATACATGTATAAATCCTGATTATAAAATATCTAATAATTCTTCACATTGACTCTGAGCTTTCTAGGATTTGTCTGATGGCATTCCTCCTGGGTACATCTTCTTAAATCAGACAACATTAGGCGATCATTAAATGTTGTACTAACTTTGTGACTTATCTAAAATGTCTGTCCTTCATTACGTACGTAACACTAAAAACAATATCCACCGTATTTTCTAAAATACAAAACCAGTAGTATCCTTTGCAGGTGATGATATTTGTTAAAAGCTTGCAATGTTTACAGCAAAAATTGAGAGACCAAGATCCTAGTTTTATATCGAAATTCAAAAGGTCTTCTCAAATGTCACACTTTTGGACCCATTAGTGTGGAATTGCCCACCTGCTTTCCATAGTAACCTGATGTCAGTAGTAAAGTTGTCAACGGAAGGCTTACACCTGTTGCCCGTAGTAAAGTGTTCCATGGAAAGCTTTCACCTGCTTTCCATAATGAAGTGTTCAAAGGAAGGCTTTGGTAATCCAATGAAATTGTGGAATCAAGCAATTAGAAGTTCTCATAAGAGTTCCTGCTCTTAAGAGAACATGAGAGCTTCTCGTATTATGAGAAGAAATCGTGCTGTTCATTTTGGCATAACTTAAGTATGATTTGTGGTATGGTAGTAGCATTGTTGCTTACCATATACATTTCTTTGTAAGAGTCTTGTAAATGGCTGTACTTGTTTGTCTTGACAGGTCTTCTAACTGTCAACCCCAGCCATCGTCTGACCCTTGAAGACCTACTGATTAACGAGTGGATACAAGGCCAGCAAGCCACCAGCTCTACCCCTCTCATGACCCCTAACATCCTCCTGTCCGCCAGTGCCTCCTCCGTCCAGACCAAAGTCAAGGCGACCATGTTTGCCTTCCACAAGGCCCAGCGAGAGGGCTTCCGGCTCTTGGACGTGTCCAACGCGCCCCTGGCCAAGCGGCGCAAGCTCAAGAAGGACTCCTCCACGGAGACCCGCAGCAGCTCGAGTGAGAGCACCCACTCTCAGGGGTCCTCGCAGGGCGGGCCCACCTCACCCGCACACAATCTGAACCAAACTGCCAAGGGTGCTAATCCATGCCCAGTCCGGGCAGACGCTCCTCCTACGAGGCAACACACTCAGGCAGCAGAAGGCCCAAGAGGGTTTCCTCCTGCAGTACACCTCCCTGATCCATCCGGTACGAAGAACTCCCCACAGGATCAGATTGTTCCTGTTCTATCCATGGGAGCTGAATCAATAACTTCAGCATCATCCACTTACTCGGCGGCATCCTCGGCACAGCCTCAGAGACACTACGTGCCGGCGTCGCTTCAAATGACCAATCCGGTTTTCCAGCACATGCAGAGCAATGCAAATCCTCACTCCAATCCTGTCATCTTTGTTCCCAACATTCCCAGTCACCCATCCCATCCTCACCATCACCACCATCAGATGTTGGCCTTCACCACAGTCCCCCCAAGCCTCTCTCAGGGTCCACTCCTGACAACACAGGGTCAGCATCCAGCACAGTACTCCACAGTCGGTTTCCATCACCTGCCTACGATACAGGAGAACCTAAGCCAGTGGCAGGCAGTCCTAGGACCTGGCGGCAATGTGGCCACCACGATAGCCCCCGTGCTCCCTGATTCCAAGTAACACGAGTACTCTTTGTTTAGGGAGAATATTTCAAAATCTTCAGAAGTACACAAGGGGCACCAGCCTTCAGGAGTAACTTTGAATGTTTTGCTCAAATCTTGAATGATCATGTAACTAGCACTAACTTTTTTAACTCAACTATTTCACCCTTAATTTTGTAATCTCACCAAATTTTGTAATCTAACCAGAAAAAAACTAACATGTTTTGTGGAAGTCTCAACCTGGGTCTGAGAGCAAAACTGGGGGGTGATCCTTTCTGTTTACGGTGACAGTTTGGGTGATGGGTTTAACACAGATGGAAACAACTTTTTTTCCCCAAGATTGTGCAACATTTTGCTAAGGATTCCAGGACAAGCAGTATTGCCTTGGTCAGTACGTTCCTTTCCTTCCTTTTTTTTTTATTAAAAAGGTCTGATTAGCAGTGATGTCATTTGTTTCTCACCATGTAGAGAAACTAAATTCATTACATTATTCGCCCTTGAAATTAAGACCCAGTAATCTTGTGTCTTTTTAAGAGCAAGAGGAACTTCAAATATAAAAACAAAACGATATAGGTTTGTTAGTAACACATACTAAAAGTAATATTTTTGTACAAGAAATTTTGAGTAGATGTCATTGTTGGACATATTTTATCGTTGTTATATCTAAATTTTTCTCCAACATGTACGGGAATATGAATTTACCTTGAGTGTTGGGATTTGTAAAACCAACAGACTGGTCCAAACATCACGCAGAAAGGAGGAAGTTGAAGATATTTGTGAATTCGGTAAAATTGATATAGCTTTGGATGGGCGAGCCTGAATCTTTTGCTCCCTAAAAAGGCTTTTGGCTTTCTTTGCCATGAAAAAATTGGAATAATTGTCAACTTGGTCATACTTGAACATTTTGTTGACATCGAATTTGACCCAATCCCTTGGACTCCTACAGAAATCTTCTGTAAACACACTGTCTGATCCTGGTTGATTTTGAAAGGATTACGGTTACGGTTTAAATTGGATGTTGTAGAGAGCCAAGATGTTTGACTTGTGTGGATTAACCCTAACTCCCTGGGTCTTGTTGCTAGGATGTAGCCTCAACCCTGCAAAATCCTCCAATTGGCCTCGTGGGAAAATAGCATGTAGCCTCAATCCTGCAAATTCCGCCATTATTTCTTGAATATGGTCTGTGGAGGGGCGACCACTGCCTGAATCCTGCAAAATCGTGCAGCAGTGACTGTCAATAGGTTGAGGCTTGGCCAGTGACATCCTGGAGCAGTACGGAGGAGCAAAAACAACACAAAACATTGACAAAGTGCATCCTACAAAATCACTACACACTTTTGCCATGTAACCTCAATCCTCCAAATTCCTCCACTTTGGCAAAGAGGATTTTGAAGGATTCAGGGCGATTAGGGTTAACATAAATGTGGAAAAGAAGGCGCGTTTATATTTTGAGCACATTTGGAGGCATCTGGAACATTTGCAAAATGTGAGCCGCTATTCTGCACATGAATACCACATGTGGAATCAACACTTGGCTGATCCTTGATTTATTGAATTGAAAAAAAAAAATCTTAGAATGACTGTTTATATAGTATATTTATATTGCAAAAAAAACAACCAATTATTGATTTTTAGGAATTGAATTTTAGAGCTGATGTTTGTATTGAAAGCATTACTATCTACTTTTCCAATTTGGCTATATAAATACATTTATTATTATTATATGTATATATTTGTAACATGTACATTTAATGTATTCTTCAATATCTTTAAAAAGCCCATTAGATGGAATGATATATTTGACACTTGCAAGCTGATACAGTCATAAGGTGTCCCTAATCAGTTTGCGTGTTGTCGCTTTTATAAGACAGAGAGTGAATATCGTAATTGGCACATTTACAGATGTTTCTGTGCTATTTTTGGGTTTCACCCTAAAAGAAAGATGAATTTTTTAAATCGTTATTTTTCTAGCAATACAGAAAGTCGTTTACTTTTGATTGAGACATTGAACCCCAAAAAATTGGCCCATAATATGGAATAATATTTTTACAAGTTTCAAATTGTCAAATTCATCCAAACCATAATAAGGCAAGACCCCGTCTCTTGACCTCCTAGATTTTGACCAATCAGCGGGCGCTTTCTATATCGGGTCTACGGTCATTCATCCGTTGCGCGTCATAGACAATGGATTACACACAAAAATGAGTCACGCGAATTGTATCATGTTACGCGATATCGCACCTGGCTGTTGTTGTATTACAAAGCACTGCATTTGAATTGACCAATCAAACCATTTAGTCCCGATTTAGAATGAAATGACGTCACGATTAGTAAAGTCGACTCGGATTGGCTGGTGCGCGGCTTGCATATATCTGCAGGACTAGACATATCAGACGTTATACAGGACTTGGCTCCGTGGATAACAGGTGATACTCAGACTAGGGGTTCCAATGAACACATTTAGCTGCCAACTCCAAGTCATTAGCGAGATATGACACCCTGAAAAAAATATTGTCCCACCCATTTGTTCATTTTCTCTGTGTTATTTTTTTTTCATTTTTCAATTTTGAAGGATTATATCTCGAAATGTGCATGATTCTTCTGTCAGAAGTCAGCTTTCTTGTTTGCTTTTTGACATGCAGGCCTGCAAAATATCATTTTTATGACGACATGTAATTAAGTTGACAGCAGAAGTAGTGGCATTCAACTATTGGCCAGCTATTTTCAAACTACAGTGTTAGTCCAGTGGGATTAAAAATATATAAAAGCCTTGATTGATTGACAATTTAGTATCTGTTATAAATCAATGTTACAGGCCCCCTATGAATCTTTCGAAATGCATTTCTGTGTACAGTCTCATCCTAAACATAATCACAAAGTGATATTTTTGGGGTCAATGAAGAAAGAAATGAAGTTACGAATGTTTTAACAGAAAGTCATTTGAAAATTATCAAAATTATTCAAGGAGTCAACATTTGATTTAATGTGTGTCCCTCCTCTGGTGTACATGTAGGCTTTGTACTCGGTCATAATGAGCTTCTCTCAAGTTTTATATCAACCAGTTACAGGTAGTCAGATTCAAATGATGACCAGTTGAGTTACATGTATGTTACCATGTGTGGAGCGCTGTGGCCTTGTGGTATGGAGCATGGAACTCATAGTCTGCGGGTAATTCTGCAGGTTGTGGGTTCGAGTCCAGCCTGCCGGCTATGGTGCGTGTGCCCTTATGGGCAATTAGCACTGTGTCACTCATTGCTTCTCCCCACCCAGGAGTAAATGGGTACCTGTGAGGGCAGAGAATGTTGTGATTGATTTGCACCAAAATGGAAGCATCGAGCTGTACAGGGCGAGTAAAAAAAAACGAAACCCAAATGTCGGGACCATTGATTAAGTGAAATTCTGCATGTAGCACTTTCACAATCTAGGATATGAAAGCCCTATTCATAAGCTTTCTTTTAGTACAAGAATCATTCAAATCACTCATGTACTTTTCAAGTTACAGAGTTGTAAACACAACCACCGTTTTTAAGTTCAGTCCACGGATCGCAAAAAAGGTGTGCATTCTTTCAGCAAAACAAAAACAATTCACACACATCCTTATTACCGTACATGTATGTGATTTGTTTTCGTTTTGCTGAAAGAACGCTGAACTTTTTTTGTGATCCGTGGACAAAACCTTAAAATGGCAGTTGTGTTTAAAATTCTGTAATTTGAAAAGGAAATGAGTGATTTGAATGATTCTTATACTAAAAGAAAGCTTATGAATTGGGTTTTCATATCCTAGAGTTTGAAAGTGCTACATGTACATGCAGAACTTCACCAAAGTAATGGTCCGGACATTTGGGGTTGTTTTTTTTTGGACTCGCCCTGTACATGTATACTCCCCAGGGAGCTGAGATTGTTTTTGGAATGTTTCATTGGACCTACATTGTATGAGTAGGGGTAACAGAAATGTAGCACGTTGATCTCCAACAATGATGGATATGTGGGCTTTATCAAGCTATATACTCCCAGGAAACTGCGGTTGTCTTTTGAATGTTTCATTGGCCCAGTGACCACGGGTAATAATGATGTCATCCTAATTGAGCACCACTAACACGTTTTTTTTAATAATTATTATCAGTGGAGTTGTGAGATTTTGTGAAGTCCTTTTGGTCAGACATGTAAAAATTACTACTCTTTGAGCAAGCTGGAATTTAAATTACACTGGCATCAAAAATCTGCAACCATCTTGGTTTTCCCAGTTACTGGACCAGCAGATCGAAGAAAGTTCCATAGTGTAACACACACCATTTGTGGAACACACACACCATTTGTGGAAATTGAGATGACGCTAGGTTTGTTAAATACAAAAAATGTAAAGGTTTTTGGAAAAAGGTTCCTTTTTCCTGAGTTCTTTCATGCACACCAACTTCTACAATGAACCTTTTTAAGCAAAGGTATCTACACACAATAAAATTCAGTATAAACATGGCATAATAATCTGCCCACATACATTTGTGTAGTTTCGCTAAGATTTTGCTAAAAGTAATTGTGAAGTTTGCATTCTTTAGCTGAGGTTCATGTGCATAACAATGACAAGTTGTTAACTTCCTATTTGTTAAAGGGCCAAATATTGCCTGTGCATGATCATGGAGCCACATCAATGTCCTCTTATTGTGGCCGCTATATGTAGATCCTAAGTACCGGTTCGGCAACTACATTGTATGGATTTACATTTCTGATGGAATAAATCTGGGGAGTGATCCCAATTTTTGTATAATACTTTTTTGTCATGCTGAAAATGAAAGGAAGGCTAATGCATTCAAGTTTGTGGGTTATTACGTGAGATAAGAGTTTTGTTGAAGGGTGTTCAAACAAAAGCTGTGGCCTTGTCATGCCTAGGAGTGCTTAAGAACAGCTCTTACAAACAGCAAGTTTACAAGTTTAAATTGTGGACCAAAGTGGATTGTGTTTCTTGAGTGACAAAGTATGCATTTTTTAAAATCCGGTATCCGGTATTTGATAAGCACAGTGGCGATGTGTGTACAGCAGGGGTGAGATTTGTCGGGATTTTTCCCAGATTTCAGGATATTTTTCTCAATTTCAGGAATTTTTAAAGAATCCCTTTTGAAATCTGCAGTTTCTGTAAAGGTATTATCAGGTGACCTGAAAAATGTTTATAGAACATAATAAATTAGTGTTATTAAGGGGTACCTTTACTAGGCAAATACAGACACACACCTTAGAGTTAGACCCTACTTTGCGTGCTTGGCTCTCCGAGACCCTTAATTTAAAACCCTCTGCGAATTCTCTTGCGGATTTTTCCTTTTTCACCCATCTCACCCCTGATAGCTGTGTACATGCACATGCAATATCAACTGCCTTCATTTCAAGACTGTTTCTTGAATATGTAAATGTTACCCGACCCATGGAGGAATAAAAACACAGAGAGTACTTGAGGCAATTTTATAAAAAATTAAAAAATCTGGCATTTATAACAATAATTGTTACACATATGCACAAGCAAAAATTTGCTTTGCATATTGATCGAAATTTGCTCTGAAGTTCTTCAAATTGATTTATTTATATTAACATCTTTTTAAGTCACAGTATATTTAAAGTGAGACAATAAATTTTATATCCCACAAGCAGATATTGAGTGAAGTCCTTGTTTTATCCCTGTTTGTATTTTCTGCAGTTGAAGCCTTTTGATTTACTTGAGGAAATCCATAACCTACATAAACAAGCCCATACTATATTATCTAGATCCTAAATGATATTTGTAAACACTTTTGTTTAAACCTTCTGTGCATCATATAATGCTTTGAAAATTTTCGGAAGCAAAATGCTGATCCCATGTCATAGCTCATTGTCTGCCAGAAGAGCACCAAGTCTTTTTGCATGTACATGTATGTCCAAGATGGCCGGCCTAGTGCCCTCTCCGTACCCATGTCACTGGCTGACGAACCGATTGGCTGACTGACTGAATTGAAGGCTGTTGAATAAACAAGGCCAGGCAGTGAGCATTATCTTCTAGGATTTACATCAATGGATGTGATAACCTTGCCAATTGTGTAAACCAGATGCATGAAAAGACTTGAGTGAATGGCCATTCTAGATCAATTGACTAAAATTCCATTTGCTCTGGAAGCAGCTTTGAAACACTTGTCTAGCGTAGTTCTTTTTCGTGTGCATGTTTTGGGTTTTTGTCAATGCCGTTTTTGCTGTTATTTTCCCGATCTACAATTAAACAATTTAACCCTCCTATGCAAACGCACACTCCATGCAAAGTTGTCCTCCAAGTCAAAATCAGTCAAGTGACTGTTTTTAACAGTTAAGAGCACCCAGCCTACGTAAAGCAGGATTGACTGTGTGATCTGGTATACGTACCCTGTGGAGACATGCATAATAGAGAACAAAAGATTATACGTCTCCACAGAGCAAAATTAGTAGGTTAATATGTCTCCACAAGGTTATCATGAAATACGGATTTTACTCAAAATAGGAATTTCCAAGGTGTGTTAACTTTGTCGCAAATTGAAGTACATTTTTTGTGCATTTTATGTAAGGGATATTAAGTCAGAATTTCAGCCAAGGAAATAAGTTCTGGTTAAAATATGATCATTTTGAAATTACACTTTCAAACTCCACTCCACAAGGATACGAATTCCAGTCTGTGTGCGTTTGTTTAGCTACATGAAGGTGATTGATAGGCCAGCTGTGTCTGCTTTTCTCTGTTGACTGAATTTGACTTGTCACAGTGCTTGCTTGAAATATGATCTGACTGTTGGTGACTAGCCTGTGTAAAAGGCATGGCAGGGAAGATTCATTTTTCGACTGTCTGTGACTGTTCAGACAGCAAGAGCATAAATATGACCCTTATGTTAAAGCCCTTTTATTAATCAGAAGTTTTCAAAAACATTTCACAGCACTGTAATTCAGATGTCAATGTGATATTATTTTTGTTTTCCTGCATATGTGTAACTAGGGCTGTGCATCGGAACCAGGTACCAGAGTACCTGACCACTGATGTCAGAAACTGGTTCCAGATTATGGGATCAGGTACCCGAAACCAACTTTGCAAATTACTTCTCAGTCAATGAAAACGAAATGTTTCAAATGTCAGTGGGAAAATGTCAAAATGAAAAACAGGATAAACATGGAAAACCAAAACCAATTTCACGTTTTATGATGCTTGCGAAAGTTGCAGTTTTCACCACATAGCTAAAGAGCTCACTGTAGCTAGGCTTATTGCCACAACGATGTGGTTGTATTATCGTGCGGACCTTTATGATCAATCTGAACAGCAACTTCCCAGATTTACATTTTTGGCTTGGGTTTCTTTAACGGGTACCCAGGTACCCGTATTTTTTTTCAATAGGGTACCCTGTTCCTGTACTACCCGTAAATGCACACCCCTTTGTGTAACTGCCGCCAAACTTTGTTCTACAATTTTTGGACACATGTATTCCGAGGATACTGTGCACAGAATTGGTAACAAGGCTTTTCAACTATTTCAAATCATATTGTATGAGTCACTACAATGATACTTTTTAAGTACTCTGTAATTTGAATAATAACACACAAATCTTGGATACTCACATTTTCAGTTCTTATATTTATAAATATAAAGAATTCTGGACGATTGTTAAAACACCTTTTAGTTACATGTGCATGACATCAATTATTAACACCGCAATTAAAAAAGCTTGAAATATTTTACCCAACCAAAAAATACATCAGACACCCTACTATGTTTGCTGAATCGTTAACTCACAGATTTCAAATCTGAACTAACGTGATGAGGAGTATGATTGCGAATACATGCGCCTGCTGGAAAAATGTGGTTTTTTCATAATTTTTGGAGGGCTCCATCCATCATGAATCAATGCAGCTAGTGTCATCTGACGGAATACCCAGTATCATTCCATTGCATCAAAGTTCACCATGATGGGCTCGTGCCCCGTTTCCTTCAGGAATGTCACAAAGTCTTCGGGAGCCATACCCATGGTCTCCGAGTTGGTCATAGGGTGGAAGAACACACGCTGGTGGCCCCCTTCCGTAAAATCACTATCCAGCAAGAACGTCACATCACCACTCTTGTCATTGAGCAAGGCTAGCGGAGTCACGCAGCCCTGACTCACGCCCAGTTTTTCCTGCAGGATGCTCTCTTCAGCGAGTCGCAGCCCACGCGCTCCCACTGTCTTGGCTAGCTTGGCCAGGTTGACTGCACGGTCGTGCCGGGCGCTCAGAAGCCACAGTCTCTTCTTTTTGTCCTTCATGAAGAGGTTTTTGCCCACGGCTCCACTGATATCTTTCATGTAAGGCATCATGGCTTCCATTGTGAACACCTGCAGATTTTTGATTGTAACAGACACTTATTGTAATTGTTCTTGTGAGGATGCAAGTGTAAAAATGGTAGAGAGACTGGAACAGAGCCAGTTTAGTCCAACATTCAAATTGAAATTAAGGTTTCATGCACGTACTGGAGTAAACATATACTATACTGTGTAAATGCAAAATGCACTACTGACCCAATGGCTGTTGCATGTCGTATTCTGCACAAATAATCAAGGAATATTCTGATTGGCTGATCGGTACAAACACACAGCACAGCCATGAGCCAGCCATGACAGTGTGGCACTGCACAGGCGTAGCCAGCGGGAGGGTATTTACCCCCTCGATATTTTGTAAAGACTGCCTTTTCCCCATTCAAATGCCCTTTTTTCAACGGGCTTACCCCCCCCCAACAATTTGTAAATAGTGCCCTTTTTTTTTTTAACGAAGTGCCCTTTTTTTTCTGATCAAGTGCCCTTTTCAAAAAAGAAGTGGTGCCCTTTTTTGTGGCATCTGCCATTTTTGGTGCCTTTTTCAGAATTTCGCACATGTATCGGCCTGAAAAGCACCATATATTGTCCCTTTGTGTGCATAATTGTTGGTTTTGAACAGCGCCCCCATGATGGTACCAGCCCCCCCCCCCCCCCCCCATGCACTGGACGGTTTTCTGAAGAAGCCACCAAAATCGTCAACATTTTTTACATTTTACTTTTTTTTTTCTGTTTCAAGTCGATCATTAGCTTCGTGAATGACTGTTGAATGGTAATATGAGGTATGTAAATGGAATCTGGGGTGGGATAATAGAGGTGAGAAAGGAACATTTTGGGGAGGCCATTTTGAAAGAGTCTCTTAAGACCACACTTTCACGCCGTACTTATGTCTCCAGCGTTACATGTGAATTCCTGATGAGCATGGTAAGCTGGAGTTACTCAATTAGCTAAAAAAAAGAATTAATTTTTAGATACCTCTGGATGCTGAATTGTTTCCGTCTCGATACCGAGTCTTTTCAGCTCTGCTACAAGTTCTTCTTTGCTTCCATGATTGCCACTCGCTGCCATGATGGCCTAGAAACCTGTGGAGATAAAAAAAAGAAATAATTGAAAACAAGTTGATTCTGCCGTGTTTTAAACCAAGTCAGCAGCAGCTTTGATTTCTTGTCCATTTTGGCCCTTAGGGGGACAAGGGACCAGCACAGCAGCTTTTTGAAATTCGTGGGGGGGGGGGGGAGGGGGGGTGCTGGACACCACGCATGTACATTATTTACGTCCATTATTTGCATAATTGCCCCCCTCGGGTCCAAAAAGGGTCCAAAATAAAGCTTTTTTTCTGCAATCAAGTAAGTTAAGTTAAAATTAAGACTGCCACGAAAACATCAATGAGATTTAAATTTTGTCTTAACGGTGAATTCAAAAGAGAAAACCCCCAAACTCGCCTGCAAATAAAGGGATTCCCTGGTGGCTTTACTGAACATGGACAGTGGTTTTCGCGATTCAACTGCACAGTACCCTGGGTTCGCAATTAAAAGAAGTAGGCCTACCACGCCTACGCGTGATTGGCCTACTATTGGAATTATTGGATTTGTGCACAAATGGCGCCGTTTGTTTACATTCAGTGTATGTATTTAATAGCTACGTATGTGGCTCCATCGAGGTTTTCGCTCTAAAGTCCTCCACAGTAATATTCTCCTTTCATTAGTATTTCCAATTAACTTACCCAGATGACGAAAAAATCCCACGAAACATGAACATTATTTTCCTTCCAATTGAGACATTTCACTTCAATATCTTATTCACTTCAATATCCTCGTACCATCCCTCTCAACATTCACCCAGCCAAACCCATTCCCTGGTCAGCTCCCCATACCTCCTCCCCCACACACTTCCTTAATATATTTTAAAGTACATTTTCTAGTGTTTTTATGTGCATTTATTTATTTACCAGTCTGATTTTAGCTTTTTGAATCATTGTTCGTTGTCGATTTTATTTTAACTTTAATTTAATGTTTTTAACTATTGTAAAATGACCATAATTCAGCCTTCGGGCTGCCATGTGTCTTTTAAATGAAATAAATATATCATGAATAATAATAATAATTTATTATAAATATCACAATCAAAGGTAATTTTTCGGAATCGGAGGTGTTTTCTAATCGGGGGTGGTATCAAAAGTCCGACGCCTCATAGGTCCGACGCCTCATAAGTCCGAAATTTCGGACTTATGAGGCGCGTCAGACTTATGAGGCATAAAATTTATTTATTCCGCCTCATAGGTCCGACGCCTCATAAGTCTGACACCTCATTAGTCCGACATCAGAATAACAAGACGTTTAAATGTGTCGGACTTACGAGGCGTCGGAGCTATGAGGCGTCGGAACTATGAGGCGTCGGAGCTATGAGGCGTCGGACTTATGAGGCGTCGGACCTAGTACGAGGCGTCGGACTTATGGGCCTTTATTTGGTTAGGGGATGCGATTTTGTCGGACTTTAATATGAGGCATCAGACCTACCCCTAGATCTATGGGTATTACTTGTAATACCCATAGATAGGCATATCAATGCAAACCATAGAGCTATATTAAATTACTAGAGCGCGAACTCGTCATTCTGCGCGCAGAGACGCTTTGAAGCCGTCCTGGGCGCAGACATTTTGAGTTCATGTGCGTGTTTGTAGAACATGATGAAACTAGATGGATTGAATTTTGACAGTGTATTCTACATGCAACGCGCAAGTTGAACATACGCAAACAACTTAAGTTTTAAAGCGCGTCATTGATGGTTAAAAAAACGTGACGGCAAAAAGCATCTGCAGCGAGTACGCGCGCGTATTGCGCTGTTTGCGTAGAAAAAAATGACAACGCTCATTTGCTGATCGTGCGTTTCGGTTTTGGGCGTATCGGCTTCGATGACGCACCGGTATGGAATACAAACGCAGATATGCAAATAGCCGTACAAAAGCCGTACAAAATGTCTAGGTCTCCATAATAGGTTTGTGCACAAACATGGATGCGCCCAGTAGGCATTTACTACTTTGTACACGAAGTTAGCGCTCTAGTTACAGTAATTTAATATACGAAGTGGCTATCGTTACAGCAGCCGTTGTTTGGCGCCCTCTACGATACTTTATTGATACGCACGCAGGTATATAATTATTTGTTTCCCCACGTTTTAGCGAGCAGTGTGACAGCTCAGTCGATAGAGGGTAGGATTTTGCACCGCGAGGTTGGGGGTTCGCATCTCAATTTTGCACTCGAATTTTTTTCCTTTTCTAACCTGAGGCTTTGGAGGATTTTTTTAAAAGGGAAATAAAGTCCGAATTTCATAACGTTCAAATTCACTTTATTCCTTCTATTTTTATATTTTCTTCTCAGACTCATGTTTTTATAAAAGTTGCAGTCTACCGTAACGATAGAAAATGGGAAATGCGTTACGGCTGCCGTAACAATAGCCACCGCGTTTAACATAGCTAGTATGATGCAAACATGCTGTACTAGGTCTAGACCCGTGAACGTGGCTTGTAAACAACGCCACGTTCACGGGTCTATACTATTACTAGTACATGTACTACTACTAGGTCTAGCGCCAGGCCCGGCCCCTACACGAATATTAATATTCAATCAACCTGCCAGCATGTTGTCCTGTGAGTTTTGGAGCGACCGCAGTATATTTGTACCCCAAGACCTATGCCCAGTACTTCTTGACATACTCACGTTCAAAACGCTAAAAAAGTGAAAGGGTTGAATCGATCCCGATGGTGCAAAAAAAATGATGAAAACGGTCCCCGTTCCGCACTGTCAAGCGCAATTTGCAAGGTGACCGTAAGGTCATGGCCAAATTCTGCTAAATGCACTTCCAAACTCTGTCAGATTTATCAAAAATCTGCCAAATTCCCCAGAATTACTCAAAATACACTATAAACACTTAAAATCACGTGCATATGTTGTAGTATTGTCTTAATTAAGGTTCAAATTAAATTATATAAACAATCTTTAGTCACATAAAGATGTTATGAAACTGTGTAAATTTGTGGCAAAAATAGTTGCGTCACACGCACGATGGAGTCCAGTTCCTTTGCCCAACTTCACCAGCCAACCTGTCCCACATTAAGCAAGGGTTTGTTTGAAAAGATTGAAGCTTCTTTTTAAAAAACAAGTGACTTTTAATACAAGATTGCAACGCCATTTTTTTTTTACCTCCCTAGGGCAGTGTGTCCCTTCATGACCACCGTACATATATCTCTTGTTACGGTGCAAAACATTATAGTGTTGCGTAACCGACCAATGATGACTAGGCAATTCCTCAGCATGATAGACTGTGCTGTGATGAGTGATCAATATGCATTATTCCTGATGGACATTGTACTTGTGAAACAATAAGTGCCGCTGAAATCGCAAGTTCGTCTTTCATCAAAAACAGAGGAGCGTTACTGTACGGTGCACCTTGTCATGCCTAGCAAGCACGGATCCGATTGGATGTTTTTGTGAGGTAGGTCTATATCATTGTCTATACAGTGATTAAAAATTTGCCAGCTGGCCAACATTAACACCAACACTGTCTGTTTATATTACACACGTATGTCGGACAAAAGAATGTTATATTTCCAAGCCGGCTTCACTAGGCTCTGGGTCTGGAAGTGGAGAACAATATACTCACACACCCGGGATTTATGAAGATGTTCATTGTTGTTGTGGGTTTGATTGTTGTTTTTTCTATTTCATGTCTTTTCTTTTAATACTGAACCATCATCATGCGGCTATGGCGCTTTGTGACAAAAAAATTACACTGGCATATTTATTTCAACTTGCACGTATAGTCATGGAGGAAGGAATTCCTCTATGGTACAGTCGACTCTTTATTAGGCCACACCATGACCATATGGCCATACATAGAGAATGATATGCATGGCCTATAGAATTCATGAAATTATCTGACATTGTATGAACACAGTATGAAGTTGTATAAAACCTATTATACAACACCTGAATAAATCCCCGTCATCTGATTGGTGAATTGTAGATCACGTGACATATTATTATTCGGTATAATGCACGGTGCAACCATGCGTTATACCCATGCGTTATACCGTTTCACTTTGCGCTTGTTCCAAGACGCGGTATTTGCGTGCAAAATGCATGCTGGTGTGCGCGTTCAGCGTAGCGCGTATTGTTCCAAAGAGCCAGCGCTACAGCGTTGGGTTCAAACATTTTCGTGAAGGGGTAGTTCAACATCTTTAAAATCAAAATAAATTGTAGTTTATAATTTACCAATCAAATAACGAGAATGTATTCAGGTGTTGTATAAAACAAATAACGAATGTTTTACGTTCGTGCGATGGAAAGAATAATTTCATTCGGTGACAGATTGAATGTTCTATTCCACTCGGCTTCGCCTCGTGGAATAGAACATTCAATCTGTCACCTCATGAAATTATTCTTACCATCGCACTCACAAACATTCGTTATTTGTATACTATCTTATATATCAAGCACCTAGACGGACATAATTATTGTGATAATGGCTGTGTTTGTCGATCACGGCAGTGGTGGTTATTTGGGCTTGATTTTTAATGTCAATATTGGTAAGTTTGCAGGGGTAAAAGGCAGTACATATCCTGAGGCCATGCACGTACTAGCTTTTTCGGTTTCTCAACCGTTGTAATTTTGTTGGAGAAATGGAAAACATGAATAAATCTGGGACTGAGAAACATTTCACTGTTATGACTTTGGGGAAGTCCTGCCTGGCACTTAAACCACGGGCGACGTCGCCACACCAATTTGAAGGGTGGGAGGGGGGAACAAATTGGCCGACGTCCACTCTGTGGAGGAAGGTACATAATGTATGTAGGCCCCCTAGTCAGGATTTGTTTCCGGTTAAAACAAAAAAGGGGGAGGGGTGGGCTGGACACAATCTGACTTAGATAGGCGCTGTTCAAAGCTAACGATAGTTGCGGCATTTTGGCGACGGACGCACAATTTTGCCGACGATCAATTTTGACCCCCCTCCCCCCCCAAAAAAAAAATGGATGTCGAACCCTCTGCCTGCATTGAAGTCCTCCTTGAACTTTTTGATTTGTTTTATAAACGTTCAAGTTATCAATTCCCAAGTCACTAACCCGGACAACTTCCCCCACAGGACTCATGATAATCTCCCCAGAGAGGAGCGCCTGGCTCTCAACTCCTTGCGCTCTCGCACCGACATCATCATCAAGCCAGCAGATAAAGGTTCAGCTGTGGTCATCATGGATCGTCAGCAGTACATTGATGAGGCCCACCGCCAGTTGGATAATCGCACTAACTATACCCGCCTTGACTCTGACCCCACAGGCACTTTCTGTCGAGATATACAACAGGTACTTGACGATATGCGATCACGTGACCAGTTGTCCAAGAAAGCTCACAAATTTCTTTCTCCCTGTGATTGTAGGACTGCCAGATTTTACCTTCTACCCAAGATTCACAAGGCTGGCAACCCCGGTAGACCCATCATCTCCGGTAATGGCTCACCCACGGAACGCATCTCCCTGTTCATTGACAGTTTTCTCAAACCCCTTGTCCCACAGATTTCGTCATACATTCACGACACCCCAGACTTCCTACGCAAGCTTGAAGGAATCAAGGACCAGATTCCCAGCACAGCCATCATTGGGACTTTCGACGTCTCATCTCTGTACACCAACATCCCACATGAGGAGGGTGTTCGTGCTTGCTCCTTGGCTCTGGCCAAGGCAGGACACACGACTCCTCCCATCAGTGATGTTGGCACCCTCATGAGACTTATACTAACGAAGAACAATTTTTCCTTCCTTGGTGAACACTATCTACAGGTACACGGCACTGCAATGGGCACTCGCATGGCCCCGTCGATGGCTTGCCTCTTCATGGGCGACCTCGAAGAACGCATTCTTGCCTCGGCCCCATGTCGCCCTTGGATCTGGTGGAGATATATTGATGATGTTTTTTTCATCTGGACCAGTGATGAGGACAGTCTCTTGACCTTCACTAACCACATCAATTCCTTCCACAGAACCATCAAATTCACATCGGAGTTCTCGGCTCACCAAACCCACTTTCTGGATGTCACCGTCCGCAGGCAAGGCAACTCACTAACCACTGACCTGTATTCCAAACCCACAGACACCCACCAGTACCTCCACTCCTCCAGCTGTCACCCCAGGCACTGCAAAACTGGCATAGCGTTTAGCCAGGCACTCAGACTCAGAAGAATTTGTTCTAATGATTCCGATTTCTCCCGCCATACACAGATACTGAGGAACAACTTGGTGGCCAGGGGTCACAGCTCTCGCCAAGTTCATCGTGCCATTGCCAGAGCTAAAGCTATCCCCAGAAATCTAGCTCTCACGGGAAAGGCCCCTGATGCCATGGCCAAACCCATGATTCCCTTGGTTACCACGTTTCACCCCAATCTCCCTCCCCTTCGCAAAATCACTAATGACAATCATCATATCCTCCATACTTCAGATCGCCTTGCCCGCGCAATCCCCAACGGCCCCACATTGGCTTACAGGCGTCCTCGAAATCTACGGGACTTGATTGTTCGAGCTGAAGTCCCTTCCTTAGATGCATCCCCTCCCACCCAGCATGGTACTTTCAAGTGCAGTTCCAGATGTGTTGTCTGCCAGATTCATATCCAGGAGTCTGACTCCTTTTCTGGCCACTCTTCTGTCACTACCCACAGAACCATTGGTAACATCACTTGTAACACCTCTAATGTCATATATCTCATTTCTTGCAGGGTCTGTGGAGTGCAGTATGTAGGTGAGACTAAGAATACGCTCAAGAAGCGTTTCTATGCCCACCGGTCAACGGTCAACACCAAGAAACTAGACACCCCTGTTGGTCATCACTTCAACCTGCCTAACCACTCCATTTCTGATATGATTTTGCAGGGCGTTGAATCTCTTGGCCATCGTAAGGACTCAGTTCGCCTCAGCAGAGAGAAAGTGTGGATGAATCGTCTTCGAACTATTCAACCACATGGTCTCAACATCCAACTTGGAAATGATTAATCCTTTTCTTCCTCCATTGTCTTCTGTTACAGATAATCCATTTGGTCTTCCTTGTTTGTGTTTACCCATCTTCCCCCATCTTTCATCCCTTTCCACCTCAATACTGTTCCCCCCCCCCTCATCATCCCTTCACTCTCACACTCTTTTGTCTGTTCCCACTCCCTGTGACCTTTGATCCTTCCCCTTTCTGGTCCCTCCCCTGTTTACACAAGACCCCTTGTGGTTTGCCATCTCCCTTTGTTTCTTTGTTCTCTCATCCACCCTCCCCTGCATCTTTCCACACCTTTCACACCTAATCCTCCTTTTGTGTTTCTTCTTTCAGCCCTGCATGTTTGTGTGCACCCCCATGTTAATGTATGTACCTCTGTCATTTCTGTTTTAGCCTCTGAAGAAGAACTTGCTAAGTTCGCAACGTCAGGCCACATTAATTTTAAGATTGTTTTATAAAAGGTCAATTCTGTTCCAGTTTTACCCTTTGAGAAAGGTCTTGCTAGGATCAAATCGTCAAGCTTCCCAATTGTCTTGGGAAAGGAAGAAAAGTATATACCGTAGGCATGAGAGCTTCCAAATTATACATTGTACTTTCCGTTAGCCTTCCTGGAGTAATCCTCCTATAAACAGTGGTGAAATGGTTGTCTCAAAATAGCATGAAATGATAACATCGTTTCCAAACACAGACAGAAGTTGTCAACATTTACCTTTTTATTTTTCAGGTAAAACTTTCAGCCACAGCAGGAATGGCCGGACACGAAGACGCGCAATCTTCGATTAGCGGAGAAAACTCGCTGAGCTCCCCCGTTGCTTTACCGGCTACCCAGGGCAAGCCTTCGGGTCTCGAGCGTGCACAATCCAGATGGATAACCGTAGAACCTGTCATCGTTCTTGGAATGATGGGATACACTTGCATCGCTCTCGTCAAGCCGTTCTTCATCAAAGATAGAATCAGCCATTTGTACAACTACACCGAGTCGAACGATACCCAGTGCGGAGGCCTGCACCCAGGCAATGATACTCTGGGCGACAAGATACAGTCGGAGTCCTCCATGTGGCTACTGTATCTGAGCGCGGCCTCTGGTATCCCTGCCATGCTTAGCACCATCGTCTTCTGTACCATGAGTGACAGACTCGGCAGGAAAATAGCCATGGCACTACCGGCCCTCGGCTTCGCCATCCAAGCCGCTGTGTATGGTTTCACGATTCACTTCAAGCTTCCCCTGGCAGTTCTGTTTGTAGGCGATGCCATCCAGGGCCTGACGGGAGGGTTCGGCTTGCTGTTCGCTGGCTGCATCTCGTACCTGACTGATGCCACGTCGAAGGAACAGAGAACCATGAGAATCGTGATCGCTGAGATGTTGACCTTTCTTGTTGGAGGGACGAATCAACTGGGACAAGGTTATCTCATAACATTCGGTTATCTCCCTTCTCTGGCGATTGCGTTTGGCTGTAATGCCGCCGCACTTCTGTACCTGGGCATTCCGTGGTTTGTGATAGAAACAATCGAGGGCAGTAGGTCAGACCGTAAGGAGTTCCTTGAAGTTTGGAGGAGAATGAAGAGGCTCTTGGAGTTCAATGAGAATGGCCGGCGTTGGCAGATGCTCCTCCTGGATTTCTTCATCTTCTTTGTTGTGGGTCAAACTATTGGTTTCTCATCCATACTTGTGTTGTACGGCACGGCCAAACCTTTTTGCTGGACCCCTGCCACGGCAGGCATCGCGTCGGCGCTTGGGTTCATTTTGTTGTCTTTTGGTGAGTAGTCCCTACATCTCAACCCCCACAAACTTCGGTGGAATTTGTTGCGTGTGTATAAGCCTACTCCACTAAAGCACCAATTGTCCAACCCTTGAAGTATGGGTGTTTAAAATTCTTCAGAGTAATCAACGATCGATTAGGCCTACCTCTTTTAGATTGAGAAACATTAGATCAAACTTGCAATCTTTACCCAATATTGCGTATAAATTATGTGATCGGTTGCGGTGAAAACCAATGAGCATGTATTTACATGTAAATAAATGCGAAAAAAATGAACTTGTATTAGTTAAGTCTTTCTAAGTATTATTCTAAGGCACGAAAATGATGGGTCAAAGCAGCACACACACGACTTGAATTTTTGAAACTGTAGGGAGCATGTTTAGACTAGTCCTGGCACACTATTCTGTCACGATCAGGCCTTCTTCAATGGTAAAAGGATGTTCAGTCACAGGGCAGATAATCAGTTAGGGGGCATGCAGTTGCTTTGTACACTGACGGGCACAATTATTTCTCCATTGAAGGGACCTCGAGTTTGTACCAGTGATCACAAGCAATGTGCTACACCACTATTTATGCAGAAATAGTATTTGCGGCATGTGGAAATCTCTTTTCGGAAGGTTATGTGGCTCTGGTTGTAAAACTCGATGTCTTCAGCAGTTGGCTGCACTGGTGAATGGGGCTGCAATATGGAGCTGGGTGGTCACTGATGCGTGTAGCAGTCGATGCCTATAAATGGTGATCGCTGGGGAGTGGAGATGAAGATGTTGGCTGCTCACTGGGCGTGGCAGTGAGAATGCTGGAGGCCGATTACAGAGGTGTGGCGAGGAACTTTGAGTTTTACAACCAACCGGTTCTTTTCAGAACCACTCATCTTTCCAAAAGAAATTTGCACTTGATGTTACCGCAAACCTTTGCAAAGTTTCAAATTTTAAAAGTATCCAGATTTGTTGCCACATAATTATGTTTCTTCTGTTTTCTCCAGGGATGTTGATCGGTACCAAAGTCTTCTCGCTTTGTCTTGGAGACTACTGGCTGATGCAAATCAGCAGTCTGAGTTTGTTGGCCACTTTAATCACCACTGCTCTGGCACAGACGACATTGGTTATCAACATTGGTAAAGATTTCCTTAGGGCGTATCTTACAATGGTTTTCCTATATTCAGGGTGAGTCAAAAAGAAAGTGACACAGATTAAAGATCTCCCCTTAAAAAGCAATTAAACATGAACACCAAAGAAGTACATGTACGTCTTGAGAGAGTATGTTCTTCCACTCATCTGAAAAAAACCCTAAAATATATCCATGGCATCGGAAAATATACACGTTTATAAAGTAATCAATTTTTATAGCTGTCCATGCAATGCCATTAGAAGCTTTATTGAGCTTAGTGAGATTTAGGCCTACGGATTACACAGGAGCATTCAACTACAAATGAGTTTTAATGATTGAAGTCAAGCTTAAAACATTTTTGTTGTTGTCAGATTTTGTGTTTTGAATATGAGAAACAAGTCCAAATTACAGTGTGCAAATTACGTGAAATCATCACAGTTCAAAGGCAATAAGATGTACATTATCCCTGTTTCTTTTAATGAAATAGACGAAGCCAAATATTTTTCAAAATATTTTGTTTAAAATTCGGTCACTTTCTTTTGACTCACCCTGCAGTTAGCAAAGAGGCAACCAATAAGTCTTATTCATCCATTCATCGCCGAAAGCATCTGAATACAATTCGTAAAGGGTCCTCTTGTCGAACGAAAAGAAGTAGTGCGTTTCGTGCATTCACTGAAGTTAAAAGAGTTGTTTTTCAATGGAAAATCTATCATGTTTGTCGCACAACATTTTGAATTTGTTGTTTCCATGATAAATGGAACTCCTGGATTGGTATCCGCTCCGTTCACAAGTACCCCTCACCGGCAAAGAAAGTACAGTTGGGGGTGACCGACCGACGCCATCTTGCCTGCCAATTTGCCGCCAAGTGCGGCTCCAGCGGATATGTGACAAAATATCGATGAATTGTGCACTTTTGCATAAAAGCGTGAAACTTGGCACAGATGTTTATATTCATGCGAGAAAATGTTTTAGATGTGGAGCCATCGCAAATTTACCCTTTTAGGGGCGTGGCATCCATTTAAAAAAAGGGGGGCGGGACTTGTCGTGCCCGCAGTAAAAATGGTTTTTCCCACTTGTTACAAAAGCAGGAAACTTCACAAAGACATAACTATATAGATTATTAGTGTTTTCCAGATTCGGAGCCACCACAAAAGTACCTTTTTAGGGGCGTGGCAGCCATTAAAAGAAAAGGGGGGGTTTAATTATTATGCCCACTTTGGAAAACATTGTGCCCATATTTCATGAACGAATAAAACGTCCCACAGACGTTTATATTCATGAGAAAAAAAATTCCAGATGTGGAGCCATCTCGAACACACCCTTTTAGGGGCGTGGTAACCATATAGGAAAAAAAAGGGGGCGGGGTTTTCATTATGCCCACCCTGGAAATATTGTTCCCACACTCATAGAGAAATGGAACTTTCCACAAACATTGACATTTATGAGAAAACAAATTCCAGATGTGGAGCCATCTCGAACACACCCTTTTAGGGGCGTGGCAACCATATCAGAAAAAGGGGGGGCGGGGTTTTCATTATGCCCACCCTGGAAATATTGTTCCCACATTCATAGAGAAATGGAACTATTCACAGACATTGACATTCATGATAAAAAACAATTCCAGATGTAGAGCCATCGCGAACACACCCTTTTAGGGGCGTGGCAGCCATATTGAAAAAAGGGGGGCGGGGTTCTCATTATGCCCAACATGGGAAAAATGTGCCCACATCTCATAAACGAATGAAGCTAATTTCCACAGACATTAATACTCACAAGATAAAAATCACACGTGGAGCCATTGTAAACACACCCTTTTAGGGGCGTGGCAGCCATAATAAAATGGGGGGGGGGGTAGTCATGATGCCCCTATAAAAGAAAGTTGTGCCTACCTTTCATAAATGGATTAAATTCCACTCGGACAATACATTCATAAAAATCTTTTCTTTTTTAATGTGAGGCCATCACAAACCTACCCTTTTAGAGGTGCGGCATCCATTTTTAAAAGGGGGGGGGGTACTCAATATGCACAACGTGGAAAATTTTGACAGCGTTTCATATAATAAAATCCACCTTAGATAGCTGTTTAATGTGTTGGAGTAGGGCCGCCTTTATAGTTGGAAGTTACTGTTGGCAAACCCTTCGTTTTCTTTCACTATGCATTCTTGCCTCATCTATATTAACCCAGTTACTGGTTCTTTCATCTGTAGAATTATTGATAACCTTTCAACTGCATCAATATCTGAATTAGGGGTATAAACTGGGGTACCTCAGTTAGTCCAGGAAAGACTAGTGTTACTTCTTCAAATACATTGTTTCCCCTGCCTTTTTTTCTGAAAGACCAAAAGGCATATGCAGTGTCGCACCTGTATAACATAACATTTTTTTTAATGGATTTGGTCGGGGTAAAAAAAAACACTCATAAGAGCTTGATATACCATTTTTAAGAGAACAGAGGTGTTGTGTGGTGGGGGTACACAGATTCATTGAATGTGAAGTCATAGTGGACGTGTCTACCACTTTGTGAGGCGAGTACATCGTGTTGTTACCCAATCTGCTGTAAATGCGGCGCAACGGGTAAGGGGTAGGGGGATTTACCCCCCCCCCCCCTGCCATTGTGTGCTGTGTATTTGTAATTATGAAATCACTCTGGAATTTAGATGTGCATGATAATATAGGTGCAAGTACACACATTGAACAATATAACACGGGTTAGCCTACCGGTACTTACCCATGCTCTTTGGGGTAAGTCATTGTATTACCAAATAATATAGGTTATGGGCCAATCAACATTATAAGAAATCAACAACAAAATATAAAAATTGCAATTGTGGGCACAGTGAGTAGGCCCCTCACACCTCTGAAAGGATGAGTTTGCTGTGGCTCTACATAAGAACTTTCTTTTATAGCGGCATCATGACTACCCCCCCCCCCATTTTACTATAGCTGCCACGCCCCTAAAAGGGTGTGTTTACGATGGCTTCACGTGTGACTTTTTTTTTCTCTTGAATATTAATATCTGTGGGAATTAGCTTTATTCGTTTATGAGATGTGGGCACATTTTTTTCCCATGTTGGGCATAATGAGAACCCCGCCCCCCTTTTTTCAATATGGCTGCCACGCCCCTAAAAGGGTGTGGTCGCGATGGCTCCACATCTGGAATTGCTTTTCTCATGAATGTCAATGTCTGTGGAAAGTTCCATTTCTCTATGAATGTGGGAACAATATTTCCAGGGTGGGCATAATGAAAACCCCGCCCCCCTTTATTTCCTTATATGGTTGCCACGCCCCTAAAAGGGTGTGTTCGAGATGGCTCCACATCTGGAATTTGTTTTCTCATGAATGTCAATGTTTGTGGAAAGTTCCATTTCTCTATGAGTGTGGGAACAATATTTCCAGGGTGGGCATAATGAAAACCCCGCCCCCTTTTTTTTCCTATATGGTTGCCACGCCCCTAAAAGGGTGTGTTCGAGATGGCTCCACATCTGGAATTTTTTTTCTCATGAATATAAACGTCTGTGGGACGTTTTATTCGTTCATGAAATATGGGCACAATGTTTTCCAAAGTGGGCATAATAATTAAACCCCCCCTTTTCTTTTAATGGCTGCCACGCCCCTAAAAAGGTACTTTTGTGGTGGCCCCGAATCTGGAAAACACTAATAATCTATATAATTATGTCTTTGTGAAGTTTCCTGCTTTTGTAACAAGTGGGAAAAACCACTTTTACTGTGGGCACGACAAGTCCCGCCCCCTTTTTTTTAAATGGATGCCACGCCCCTAAAAGGGTAAATTTGCGATGGCTCCACATCTAAAACATTTTCTCGCATGAATATAAACATCTGTGCCAAGTTTCACGCTTTTATGCAAAAGTGCACAATTTTTTCACATATCCGCTGGACTACACTGCGTGTGTACATAGTAAACATCCCCTGGTGTACGTGCGTCTGGTAAAGGGCGACTTCTTTGTCGGCGCACGGAGCCCATAGGCTATAGGCTTCTCTGAAGTTTTAGTCGTTGACATCATGAGGGCCATAATTATGTTTGTCGGATTGTTGTAACCTGATAATTTGCTTTGAATTTACATAATTTACTTTCATTTTGCAGGTTCTGTTCTTGGTTCGCTTCGTGGGATTTCTGTTCCCGTTGCACGAACAGTCCTCTCCACAATTACACATCCAAATGAAATCGGTAAGATTTGAAACCAGTATTTACATGTAGGTTGGCTTGTTGATCCTGTCTGTGTAACATTGATTGAAGGTGATACTGGGAGGCGGAACCTTTATCTCCCGATTTTTGTTTATACATGTACTCGGGTTAGTCAATAAAACTGTAATGATGCAAAGGTGTCATCTTTTTTTTCAAAATCAACTTCTTTTTAAAACTTTGTGGGAACGACATATTCGTTTAGGCCTAGGTTATCTTCTGTGAAAAATATTGCATTTACTGTTTGTCTTTTACTAATGCGCCTATCAATCAAGACGTGGGGATTGTCACTTTTGAAGTGACAAAATCCCCACCCCTCGGGCAAAATTTAAGTGACAATCCCCGACCATGCCCCGACGGGAGAGCGACTTGTCACGTGTAAGAAATTAACCAATTAAAGGGAAAAGGAGTCAGATTTTATAGGAGTGGATTTTCATATGACACCCGGCCAGCACGTAAATTGTAAGCTTGACCTATGACGTATAGGCCGTCAACATGGGGTGCCGGTGAGTGCGTTAATCGTGACGCATGAGTGTGCAGGGGAAGTAGGCCTCTCAAATTCAAACTAAAAGGGGATGCGGCAGAGCAACGACGCATAACCCCCAATAAATAAGATATCAGAAGCAAGAGGCCGTTACCTTTCCTCATATCCACGTGTGTTGTGAAGTAGGTCTTAGTGATCAAGATGTGGTTCTATACAGATTCAACATATAGAGCTCCATGGTACGGTTTCATCAAACCTAATTTCAAAATGCTGCAGCTGAACAGATATACACCATTCCACATCAACGCATTATTGATTTACTTCTGTTCTTAGCCCTGGTGGACTCCCTTTCCTCCCTACGTTACGGAGGGAGTCCTGAGTACACATGTGGTCACAACCGAACGAAAACATTTCTTACCAATAATTTCAATATTTTTACCTTGTTGGAGAAGCTAATTTTACGTCGTAGTATTCTATGTGTCCTTATCTGTTAGTACGCTGGGTTCAGGAATTCCATATGCGATGCTGACTGACGTCAATCAGGAAAATAAACTCGAAAGCATCGTTAAACTTGTACGTGTTTAGTCTCTTTTCATCAGTTTCTCACCGCTGAGTCTATTCTAGTCGTACATCATACCATGAACGTCTGTGCAGCGTGTAGTCTGGTTCCCTAGACCGGACAATTATTCTCGACGCTCATATCACATCTGGTCCGAGGGACAGACTATGCTGCATGAATATGCAGTGCGCACGCGCGATTTGCTTAGTAACCACCCTCATACGCACGCGCACTTACTTGAAGGCGCGGTCGCTAATCCAATGACCGAGCGTGTTTTCGCGCCAGTTACCAGAAACACGTTTCGGCTTTGGTCATTGGTTGAGCGTTTTCGTGACATCGGTTGGCTGGAGTGACGTCACGGTTCCAACCAAAACTAAACAAATGAGGGCGCTAGCGTGCGTGCGCGCTTTCTGATCGTACGCACGTACATCATGTACATGTACATTGTACATGATGCATGCGTACGACGCTGGGAATAAACTGATGAAAAGAGACTACAAACACGTACAAGTTTAACGTTGCTTTGGAGGTTATTTTCCTGATTAACGTCAGTCAGCATCGCATATGGAATTCCTGAACCCAGTGGCCAATAGATAAGGATACATAGAGTATGTAGGCGTGAAATAATCTTCTATAACGAGGTAAAACATAACAAAACTGTGGTAAAAATGTTGGGATGGTTTCATGTAGAAAAGTCTTGTCCTGGACGTTAGTCGTATTGCAATGAAGACGTCGTCCAACCTGGGCTACTTCTGTTCTTTGCTTTGCAGGTGCCGTGTTTTCCATAGTCGGGTGCCTGGAAAGTTTATCCTTGTTTGTATTTAGTCTGGCGGCTACCAGTCTATACGCATCAACGATAATGTTTCTGCCTCCCTTGACATTCTACGTGTTTTCCGGTGTTACCGTGATTCCGATTGGAATGACTTTGTAAGTATGTCTCGTTGTGCAGCTCTTTTTGTGAAGGCTCAGTGTAAATGTAATTACAAATGTAAAAGTTTCAGTCTGTTATACCTTTCAAACAAAAAGTCGCTGGCCAGATTTGAACCGGAATGCGTGTTACATGGGCTAATGCTTTTTCAGGGTCCTATTCAATTTGTCAAAATGACAGTTTTGCCGAGATTTCTTTGGTCAAAATGACCCAAAAAATTATCCAGACAAGAGTAATTTTGACCCGGAAAAGTGTCATTTGTACTCAAATTTATCAAGCCAAACAGAACACGGATTACGGGTTAATATGGACTTTTTAGAGTACATGTATAAATAAAGCACTGATCCAGGCTGATCGATGGTTTACATGCTTGAGTCACACCTTTTCCCAAGCGTTACGCCTCCAGCCTTTCTTTCCATTTAAACAGATGACAGCCTATGAACACGTTTCAGTCGCCTCAGTCTGCTTCTGTATACAATGTACATTCACGAGACAGGATATACAAGACCCAGTCTTTGCCTTCACGATTGTAACGCTGCCACGCTATATAGTGGAAAACTATCCAAGAATTACTTGCAGCCGTCACAAGACTGACTAATTCTCAATCCACTCATTGTCACCCCATTCAATATGGGAATTATGGGTCCCTAGAACCAGCAACACAATCACTGTCAGTGAAAGGCTGTAAATGTTACTTCCGCCACTCTCGCCTGCGATGTATCGCCAACTTCAATGCATATTTAATGGGGACCCAAATGGGATGGGGGAAAAGGAGTGATTTAATTGGCATACATGACAGTAGTCAGGCTTTAATGTAATATACGTGTATAATATCATTAAAGATCGAAAAAAACAACAGATTTTAATTATTTGCTTTTTGAATGTTGCACTTTTGTGCACTGTAACAAATTTCAGCAGAGTACCGGTTACAGCCGGCTATCCACCATAAATATGAAGCTTGCTGCTAAGCATTATTGCTTAGCAACAAGAGGTCATGAAAATGAATGCCTCTTGTAATAAATGTGTTTTTTTTCATGGAGTAACGAAGTCCTTGTTTTTCCACTCGATTTCAGGCTTCTTCAGCTTTACTGGCCGCGACAGAAAAAGTACACCAAGATTGAGGTTAACGTCAATGAGAACTAAAAAATATATATCCGTCTACGCTCAACTTTAATGAAGAACTAACTCACTTCGGGAATCTGTCGGTATTTCTGTACAGGAATTGCTCGCGGTATTTTCCAAGAATGGAATGATGCTTGATAAATTAAAGATTTTTTTGAAAATTAATACATTATGTTTCTTATAGGCCTAAAGCTAGGCAAATAAGCACCTATATCGGAATTCCATTTTTACCACGCTGGTGAAATGAATCAAGTGTTTCATAAGTCTTCAAATGCTCTATCTGTGAATTTACACTATCAAATGTGGAAATCAACATATTTTTGTTGTCATTGTTGATTAGTTTTAATAAGTGGCATCCATCACGATGATGCCCCTCTTGGTTTATGGTTTATGTTTTTCATATCATATCACAAAACATAATGAACAACAGAATGACAGAAATGATACGAGGGATTACTATCAATAACTACACCTAGAAATTTACATGTTTTAACTTGTTTTATTTGTGACAATAAGTGACAAGCAATCTGTGGCCATTGAAAGTGTTCATAAGCGTGCTGTTCGAATCATCACAGGTCAAAGGTATGATTTATATCTCCCAACACTGGAATCTAGGAGAAGAGAGCTACAATCCCGGCAAAAATGGTTGGGAGTCTTCCTGAGCCTGCCACGGTCACCCACTCCCCCGCTCCCCCGGTCAATGTTGTTCTCTCCAGCTGATGGAGCACACACCGCGGAATGAGAGACAACACTGAACGGGGGCCGGGGGGTTGGGGCCCAGCGAGATTTGGCCAGGATTGTAGCTCAATTAAGTTTGTGGACAAATTTAATACTGGGATAGATTCAGTGGCATGCTCCCACCTGGCAGAGTCAGTGTTTGCAGTAGGAATATGAGAAGTACCACCACTGCTGGTCTCCAATTAACAAAGTGGCGTACCACCAGGTACAGCAGATCCACAATTCCTGCACCTATACGTATATTTTAATAATATATCAGTATTTGGATTGGTTTATCATACTAGTTTTTTTAAGGTTAAGCATTGAAACTGATTTATACTGCGATTTTTTGTTGCACGTTTGATGAAAACGATCTGTTTGTTTTCCTTTTGTATGTCTGTCTGTGTCTGTTTGTCGGGATGGTTGTGTCTTTGTTTGTGTCGGTCAGATGGTCAGATCTTTCTGTGTGTATATTTTGTCGGTCGGTCAGTTTATTTGTCTTTCCGCCTGTTTGTTGGTTTGTCTGTCCATCGTTATCTATGCGTTTGTCAATATCGGTTGTCCGATTGCTTTTGCTTTTAAATAACGGGCAAATAGTTTTTTTCAGTTCATTCACTAAAGTCTTGTGTGTCTAATGTAACTTTAAATATGTATTTGTCGTTTTTTAATGAATGGGTTCAATTGGTAGAATTTATCCTTTTCACTCCATGTTATTGTGCAATGTCATCCTTGTGGCTGTCTGTTTCGAATGTTTAATAAACTCGAGTAATAATAATAAAAATGACATTATATTTATCTATAAAGTTATACATTTGATTTGCTGCAACGGTCTTTCTTATATTTTTTAAAAAAAAGTATATGGTAAAATAGAAATAGGACGGTAGTTACTTAATGGATCGTCACTTTTGTATATCAGAATAACTTTTAGCTATTTTCAAATCAGTAGGTAATTTTCCTGATTCGAAAGAGGTGTAACAATTGTTGTCAAAGGATTTAGGATGTACGTTATATCTTTAATAGCGTGATGATCGATCTCATCATGTTTACAAGTTTATTTATACAATAACGAAGTTCTTCGCGTTGGTATTGGGGTCACGTCAGGAACAAGGAATTAGGAAAACATCACCAATACACTCAACCAAAAAAAGAAAGTCCCCCCCCCCTCCAATACTTTTTTGTCTAACTCAAAAACTACTGAGCAGTCTCGCTCAGATAACGACTAATCAGTACAGAAATTCTTTAGCAATCCAGCCATACACTTTATTTTGTCCAGATGCATTTTGGGGTTAAACCAAGACTGCCCAGCGCAGGGCTTTTGTGGCCCTAAATTAATGAGAACCTGTGCAGAAGTTTGCATTGAAAGAAACGGGGGCATGTTGAAGGACACTGGGGTTAGGTTAGGACAGGGATAGGCAGAAGCCTCCAACTGTTAATCATTGAAAAAAATGATTTTGGTCTTTACGTATATGGTCTTTGTTCTTATTTTGTAGACATGCACACTGTGCGAATAGACCGGTGGTGCAAATCCATTTCTGACATGGTCCGTTGTACAACTGTGTGCTCAGTCAATCATCCGTGACGGTAGCATGGACAATTCACTCTCCCATATTATGATCCAAAAATACAAAAGTAGCATATCATCGTACTCTCGCATGCGCAATAATACCAGTGAGTCCATATTTCATGGCGTGGGATATTCACGCTACACCAGCTCCGCGAAGGCATTATTGTGCTACAATGACAACCTCGTCCCCAGGGTATCGAGCAGTACGCGGCCACTACTACCTGCTCTCTCACCCTGGTATTGGATCATTTGCATGTGCAAGGTTTTTGCACGTATGCAAATGCGGAATAGTCTGGTGCCTGCTGTGCATTAGGCCTACACTTGTTTTTGCATGCGGTGTCTGGGGTAAAAACAGATCAGTTCGTAACAGCGCGAGTATGGCGTGACTTTATACGAAAACACGATTTTACTTCAATTAAACTGTTACTCTTAACGAGACAACATGCAGTATCACATTTCATATTAATATGAACAAATTGGAAAGGAAATGAATATTTTGAGAAGGCGTGGACGAATGATCGCGAAAACACGTACTGCACGTTGTAAATAACAACACCAAGTACACGATATAAATCCGTTTGTAGCCAATTGCGGTATCGAATCAGGATACAGGAAGAAAGTTTGCTATCCAGGGCTTACTATTGGAAACGAGGTTGGAAATAAAGTAAGCATTGGGGACGAGGTTGCTGCAATGGCGTTTGGCCCTCGTTTATAGTGCAAGCGCAGCAGCAGTGCGTCGGATAAAATTGAAAGGGTAATCTCTGCGCCATCAGGCAAGGAAACAGTGTACATGTACACAATGTATTGTGTTCTTGTTTGGATTCATTGAATACTGCAGCAACTCGTACATGTATATCATTTCCCAAAGCACTCAACATAATTATATGACATCACACAGGTAAGACTATCTGTATCGTTTTCCTCGGCTGCAGGGCGTTAAAGTGGTTACGTCATACACCGCTGATGTCACGCCTTGCCCAGGTCACGCGTTCCACACAAACCTGGCCTTAGTAGCTATATAGCACGGTGCCCACTTTTTCATCATTTTTTTTATCCGTTGGAAAACAAACAAAATAACGGCATCCGTTACCTAAATGATGCCGTTATTTGGTGGGCACCGCTACAAGGTTTGTGTGGAACGTACGCGTGACCTCGGCAAGGCGCATCAGCAGTGTATGACGTAACCGTATTGTCGATGTATCCTAACATGGCACGGCCCCTAACATGGCACAGTTTTATTTTCGCTCCCAGTACCTTGCTATATAGCATTTTTTTCCCCAGCAAGTTGATGTGGGACCAAGTTGACAAGGGACCGAGTTGACATGTGACCAAGTTGACCTGGGACCGAATTAAGCTGGTACCGAGTTGACTTGGGACTGAGTTTACTCGAACTGACTTGCTTTGGGACCGAGTTGACTCGAAGCCAGCTCGTCGGGGTCAACTCGGTCCCAAGTCAACTCGGTTTCAGGTGCCAAAACAAATAGAGACCCAAAATACACAATACTACATGTTTTCTGCGACCCCCACTCAATCCCGCAATGCACTGCGGTAAACATTGTGTGACGTCATCAGTACACAGGGTTATTCATGGCATTATATACCCGCGTATACGTATAATAAAAGTATCGGAGAGGGCGCTCAAAAACCATCCATACGATGTTTTTTTGTTGGGGGGGGGGAATATTTCGCGTCCCGTATACGCTGAATTCGGGCGCAATTCAAAACATGACTCGGCAACTTTTGACTTGAAATCGAGATCCGAGAATAATTGTTTTCTCGGAATATACAGCATTCACTGAGCTAATAAAACTTCATCAGGTTAGTTGTTCTGTACCCTTCTTCTGACCTCCTTCTGACCATTACAAAATGATGTACTCTATCTACCTTTAAGCGTGACGCATGAGTGTGCAGGAGAAGTAGGCAATTCAAAGTAATTAGGACGCGGCACAGCGACGCATATAGCAAACATTATACAACACCTGAATAAATCATCGTCATCTGATTAGTGGATCGTTGATCACATGTCATTGAATTATTCGTCCCAACGCGCGGCGCGCAGCGCACAGTGCAATGGAAGTGTTATTGCACGGTGAATAGAACTTCCATTGCACGGTTTGCTGCTGCCGGTGGTGGCACTGTGGAACAGCCTTCAACTTGCATATAAAAGTTCTGAACTTGTAACAGTAACACTGTTTGAGTTCTGAACTTGTGGAACAGCTTTTAAGCGGCCTTGCATAAATTGGTAATAAAAGTTCTAAACTTGTTGAACTGTTTGAGTTCTAAACTTGTGGAACAGTTTTAAATCGAGATAAAATGAATATGATAGTTCTCAACCTGTTGAGCAGTTTGCATACATTAAATATGATAGCTCTGAACTTGTCGAACTTTTAAACAGTTTTTAACTTGAATAAATTGGCTATTAAAAGTCACCCAATCAGATGACGAGGGTTTATTCAGGTGTTATATAAAATAAATAATGAATGTTTACGTTCGTGCAATGGAAAAAATAATTTCATTCGGTGACAGATAAAATATTCCATTCCACTCGGCTTCGCCTCGTGGAATGGAACATTTCATCTGTCACCTCATGAAATTATTCTTACCATTGCACTCACAAACATTCATTATTTGTATAATATAATAAAAAAGCAAAGGGTCCGTTGCATGTCCTCATAATCACACATCACGTGTAATACGAGGTGAGGAATCCAGTCTATTACAGGTCTATTACAGTCTACAGTTTGTCAAAATGATAGTTTTGCCGAGATTTGCGGGTCAAATGACCCGAAAAATAATCCAAACAAGCGGGGCGTAAATCCCGGGGGAGATGGGGGTATATATAACCCCCCCCCCCCGTTTTGGCCGGGGGGGGGGGCTATTGTATCATCCCCCACTTTTCTGTGATGAGAAAAAAAAATGATTTTGAGGTATTTGTCGAACTTCTGAAAAACCAAAATGTATTCAATACAGGGTGAGTAAACAAACATAAAAGGAAATTCAGCCTTCAAAAGATCGGATATGAAAGCACAATAATTGAGCTTTGTTTTAGTAGAAGAATCATTCAAATCACTCATGAACGTTTCAAGTTACGAAATTGTAAACACAACCACCGTTTAAAAAAAAGTAACCACGGATCACAGAAAAAGGTAAGAGTTCTTTCAGCAAAACGAAAACAATTCACATAGATATGTGTGTGAATTGTTTCGTTTTGCTGAAAGAACACACACCCGAAAATCTGCGAGTCGACCCTATTGACAAATATCTTTTTTTCTTTAATGAACAATTCCATCATATTGTGCACCAAACTGCCTGACTAACATTCACAAATCTCAGGGTTGCATTTTTGGGGCCGTTTCACCCTGTATAGCCTTTCTTTTCTTTTGAGTTATTACAATGTAGAGAACAATAATAATATTATTACACCTAGAAATTGAAAATGTGTATTTACCGACTTTTATAGCGAAGACAATGAGAAGAAATTACAGTTGTAGAGGTGGGAGGAAAACCCCAGAAAAAAAATATTCCCGGGAAAACCAGCTGAATAATGTGTGGACTGAAAACCCAATCCACATGTGGCCAGGGCAGCAATCCTACCAGTACCAGGGTCACTAGCGGTGGAAAACGAGGCCAACTTGATTGCGGCCCGACAATTCATTAATTTAGTTCCCGCCCAGCTTGTAAAGGCTAAAATGGTAAGGACCCGAACAGTTTTATTCTCACACGGCATATCAGTTTGAGTGCAAAGGAAACCGACGGGTTGCCGACGCCCAAAATAGGGACTTTTCAGTTAAAGTAAAACACTCATAATAGTACAGGGTGAGTAAAAAAAACCGAAACCCAAATGTCGAGACTATTTTGTTTAACTGAAGTTCTTCATGTAGCACTTTGAAAATCTAGAATATAAAAGCCCAATTCATAAGGTTTTTTTTAGTACAAGAATCATTCAAATCAGACATGTACTTTTCAAGGAATTTTAAACACAACCACCGCTTTAAAGTTCTGTCCACGGATCACAAAAAAGGTGTGCGTTCTTTCAGCAAAACGAAAACGATTCACGCACATCCCTTTGTGATTAGTTTTCGTTTTGCAGAAAGAACACTGAACTTTTTTGGGGGGGGGGAGGGATCCGTGGACAGAACCTTAAAAGGGTGGTTGTGTTTAAATTCCGTAACCTGAAAAGTACATGAGTGATTTGAATGATTCTTGTACTACAACAAAGTTTATGAATTGGGCTTTCATATCCTACATTTTGAAAGTGCTACATGCAGAACTTCACTAAAACAATAGTCCCGACATTTGGGTTTCGTGTTTTTTTAACTCACTTTTTAAATGACTAACCATGATGTCCCTCTTCATTGCATCTGATTAAGTAGTTGAAGATACGAAAGCTTATGCACCCTGTAATCTATAGTTAGTCTTTTAAAGGGCTACCTTATTTTTCCTGTTGATTCTGCCTGACTAACACGGCTGCCCACCAGTGCACTTCTATATCTTTGTTAAAGGAATGTATCATTTTATTCTATTTTTGAAAACATTAATATATAAAAATTACCATCCATTTGTATATTTGGAATGCATTTTAAAATGTACTTTATTATGTGTAAAAATAAATATATGAAGCTTATACGCATACCTGGCCTAAATTGACATCTAACAAACTTACCAAGAACAGCACATTTTTCCTTTTTACTTTATTATTTTAGTTTTCACAAATCAAGTTCGTACCAGTAGCATTTCGGATCCACAGTGAGCGTATTCATCTGTGATTTGACATTATCAATTTCGGGTTTTTTTTTTAATTGTTTTATCATTTACATTTTATTCATTTCCATTTTTTAAATTGTTCTATCAAACTTACTGCCCCCAATTTAGCAAATTTAGTTAGCTCACATTGATTGATATCAGTTACACATCCGCGAACGGGTGGCATTTTTTTACGTCGGAGTATTTGGGGTAATGTCATGCATCATTCAGTATTTCCTTTGAATCATTGCAAGATGCTAAAGTTCTCGTTCTCCGTTTCCCATAAATTAAAATTATCTCACCTATAATTAATTTAGAGATTAAAAACAGTCGATGAAAAGGAGCAGCGACGACGTGGATTCGAACCATGGATCTTTGTATCCATAGCTCAAAATATAATGTTATGTAACTGGTTGACTAAATAACAACAATGCTCTTGGTATTATTTTTCTGTTCTCATGCATAAACATACTGGCCCGATTTAAACTACTGAAATATTCCTGACTTGGCCCTAACCATCCAAGGAATAGAAATGACGTTCCTCGTCGTTTCGTCTGAAGTAGGGTCAGAGAATCAGACTACAATTATAGGAACAACAATTTTGTTTCTTGGTTTTTCCAACATCCATGAACACAATTTTTTTAAACAGGTCAGTGTTACAATGCTTAAATGCGATCCCCCCCTAGGTACTCGACAGAGGTTCCGAGTGAACCAGCCCAACAGAACTCACTAACTGACATATTCTGCATTAACGACGGTCTTAAGAGGCACGTACTCCTTTCTTCGGGGCCAACGAATCTGCAACAACCTGCAAATAAAGAATGACAAAAATCTATATCAGTCAGAAAACACTACTTGCCTTATGCTCAGGGCATTCTCACTTCACTCTCAACATTGCTTCAATAGCCTTGGGATGCATGGACAATATGCCTAAATTTAAGCAGAAACTGAATCTCAAAGTAGGTCGAAAACACATCGGCAAAACATGTGCATAGTTTTGGACAAAAAACCCACACCATTTAGCATATTTTTGGGTCCCTCACTATTGATTAAAAATCGCATTAAATACCATTTCCGTGATGACTAAATAAAACATTGTTTTGATGTTATATTAAAAACCCATTCTGTGTAAAAAATAATCAATGTTCGTTTGCCTCTTTCAGTTTCTATAGTATTGCAACAGAATAGACCTACGTTATGATCAGTTTGGTTCAGTTGCAAAACAAAAATGCTTCACATTGCAGCGAGGAAGTCGGGTTACAAGACTTTCTTACAAAATGATTCCAGCGGGGATGATGGTGGCAGCAGAATACACGTAGAAAGTTAACGGAGGTAGGAACGACACCGAGGCTGCATAGATACTGGTCGCTATCAAACCAGATGCAAATGTTAGGCTTTCAAGGCACCCGACTATTGAAAACATTGCACCTATGGAAGACCAAAAAAAAAACCCAGAATATTATTCAAACATCACACTGATCCGAGCAAACTTTATGACAACCCATTTTGGGGGAAAGTTTCTAATAGTCATATGATTCAGAGAAGAACTATTGATATGACGCCGAATGAAAGGCACAGTTTTTCTGCCTGTGTCACACAATTCGTGGGTTGCATCACAAAACAACAAATCGTGGACACAAGGTCCACAAACGATGTGTCACTAGCACTTCGCGGTGTAGCAAAAACCATCATATTACTCACTTCCTGTTGCACCTGATGACATGGATCTGTGAAATCCGGAATCGTCAATCTTACTTTGCAGATAAATAACTATTAATTTATACGCTTCCATTATAGAACATTATCTGTTGTGGAAATTAAAGTGAATATTTACCTATCTCGTCCGGATGTGTTATTTTCGACAGGACTGATCGTGCTACTGGAATGGACATCCCTCGAAGACAACCGACAGCAGTTCCTGAAGATGGAACCAAAATGTTTTTTTTTTTATAAAACAGATAAATAGTTCCAATGAATGGATCACGCCCAGATGCGTTTGTATCACGCCAAGATGTAATTACACCGGGATTATCATTTCGGGAATGTCCTTCCTGTTTATGAAACTTGTCTAAATGTGCAAAATGTGAACATTGATGGATGGGTGTTAGCTCCAATTGCTCATACGCAGCGGAAGTTTTGTGTCTGCATGTTTATATCCTGTGTCGCAGGTGAAATAAATTATGAAACTACATAAGATGAAATTAGTCCATGACTGGCAAGTTGTCCTCGAGTGGCAATTGTGTATAGGTACATGCAAAGGAAACCCAGAAGTTAATGGGAAGTCCATAAAGTTCATCATACAAACTTATCTTCTCATCATTGCCAATCTCCTTGGACGCAGGTGAAGTGAATTATTAAATTACATGAGATGAAATCAGTCCATGACTGGCAAGTTGTCATCTGGTGGACAGTGGCAACTGCGTGGAGTGTCATGACCTAGCGGTTAAGAGCACCGCACCGGACTCATGCATGCTCTGGAGTTCAAGGCAGCAGGATGTGGGTTCGAACCCGGATCTGGACACTTGTGCCCTTATTAGCAAGGCATTTAACCATTACTGCATCGTCCTTTGGATGGGGTGTAAAGCCGTATGTAGGTCCCATGTTTTTTTTCTCCAGTGTATTGCACGTAAAAGAACCCAGTAAACCTATCGCTTGGAGAAGGGGTTTCTGGCCTCCTGTTAAAACTCCCCTGCGGTGCGAAGTCCTTATGAGAAGAACCAACCTTGCAAGAACCAAGCACCAAGAAATGTCCCGCCCATACTTACCAAGGAAGATGACCAAAGTGGACTTCGCAAATCCAATGATGAGGTATGAGAGCATAATACTGAAACAGCTGATTTGCATCAGCCAGTAGTCTCCAAGACAATATGAGAAGAGTTTGGTGCCGACCAGCATCCCTGTGTATAAAAGGTGAGTGAGAAAAAGAGGGGAAAATGAGTCAATCACGTAGAACTTAGAAAGGATAGGACATTCTGTCTTTCATCCAATGATGTACATTTCCAGAATTTGTCTGCATTTTTATAAAGGGATGAATCCCCACTGAATAATAAAATATCGTACTCTAATTTGCCAGACTAAAAGCTCCAAAGTGAAAAACAAATGTATGGAAAATGAAATAATAATAAATCCATTTCAGCCTTCACTGTGCCTCCCATTGTGCAGTGTATTATATCTAGATAATTAATAAGAATGTTTTTTTCTTTCAAATAAAGTTGAATGATTCTCACCAACGGATGAAGCAACCCAACCGACAGCCAAACCAATTCCAGCAGTGCTGGACAGCCAGCAGAAGGGTTGTGCCGAGCCGTACAAAACATAGATTGCCGAGATGCCTTGGAATTGACCCACGCAGAAGAAGATGAAGAAATCCAGGAGAAGCATCTGCCAACGTCGACCATTCTCATTGAACTCCAAGAGCCTCTTCATTCTCCTCCAAACGTCAATGAACTCCTTACGGTCTGACCTACTGCTCTCAATGGTTTCAATCACAAACCATGGCACTACAATGTACAGAAACGCGGCGGCATTACAGCCAAACGCAATCGCCAGAGAGGGGAGGTAACCGAATGTTATGAGATAACCTTGTCCCAGTTGATTCATCCCTCCAACAAGAAAGGTCAACATCTCAGCGATCACGATTCTTATGGTTCTCTGTTTCTCCGAAGTGGCATCAGCCAGGTAGGAGATGCAGCCAGCGAACAGCAAGCCGAACCCTCCCGTCAGGCCTTGGGTGGCATCGCCTACAAACAGAACTGCCAGGGGAAGCTTGAAGTGAACCGTGAAACCATACACAGCGGCTTGGATGGCGAAGCCGAGGGCCGGTAGTGCCATGGCTATTTTCCTGCCGAGTCTGTCACTCATGGTACAGAAGACGATGGTGCTTAGCATAGCAGGGATACCAGAGGCCGCGGTCAGATACAGTAACCACACGGAGGACTCCGCCTGTATCTTGTCTCCCAAAGTGTCGTTGTCGGAGTGGGCGTCGCTGCATTTATCGGTGTCGTTCTCGGTAAAGTTGTGAAGCTCGCGGATCCTGTCTTTGACGAAGAGCGGCCTGACGAGGGCCAGGCAAGTGTATCCCATCATTCCAAGTATGATCATGGGTTCCACGGTTATCCATCTGGTCTGCGCCCGTTCCCGACCCGTTAGCTTCACCGAGCTAGCTGGTGATTTCATGTTCTCAGAGGGGTGAGCCATTTTGTTTTAGAAAACTCGACTTCTGTGAAGGATCAAAATGGCAGTGAGAGGGATAGCACATTGGGTGGTCAAAATATTGAATTGCTTTTTAATTTAACGTAATGAGCTTCGTGCACATACTGCCTCAGCTAGACATAATTCTTAATTTCGAGTCTATTAGGCGAAAGCGAATTTCCGTAACAACAAACCCCATTCAGTCAAAGAAAATATCAATCATATTTCAAAGTTTCCCAAAATTCCAGCAATAATGCAACCCTGGTTTATCTACAGCTGTAAGTCGAAGAGACGAACGAAAACACCGACATGTATTATACAGGGGCCTCGAAATACATTCAAATTATACACTAAAGTGATGTTGCAGCAGTAAACTTACTGAACAGACTGTATAGGCACATCGACGTAGACTGACCCTCCAAGTTTCACATACTGCTTGGTATTTGGGTTTCGTAGTGTCGGCAATAACAGTAATGGCATTGATTCACACTCAATAAATAATGCAAATACAATATGCCCTTTTATAATATACCTTCAAGTGTTTCAACAATAAAAAAAACATATATATTGTTGATCATTCTGCAAGTTGGTTCCCGTGACAGTGTCCCGTGATGGATCGCGTGTTTGTAGTCGTATTAATTAAACATAGACTACGGACTCCAGTCCATCTTATTAGACCCCGGCTGGTTTGACCTCACCTGACAAAATAGCGACTATCGTGCACAACATCGAATCATGGAAAGACATGGCGAGATGGCATAAAGTACGTATAGCCATGTCATTTTTTTTCAACGTGTGAGTTTGTATTTGCCGTTATTCAGCTGTAAGTCTTTAGCATCGAATGTGCAAGCCGGGTTCAAATTTAATTTGTCCGAAAAGCGATTTATAAGACAATGCTTTCGAACAGACTGAGGCTGTAGACAGTATTCAGTGCTACGTGGTGCATGCATGCAGCAGTGCAAATAATTTACTAAAGGGTTTGGGTATCTGCGCCTACCTCATTTCCTCAAACGCACTCCTCACATCCCCACTGGCTGTACTGAATATAGGCCTACCTGTATGATTGACACCACACTAGAGCCATTCTCGTATCTTGAATCTTGTAGCTGGCCGACATGGCTGGGCACGCGTAGGCCATCGGGGTACGGGTCCCGGTTCGGAATGGGTGCGCATACGAACAACCAGAGCGAACGCGATCAAAGCTATGAGGGGCCATCCATGTCATTGAAGCACCCTCTTTATTCGTCAATAAAAGTGGTTGCGCGCAACCAAACAACCAATCATGATTCAAGAATAGCAGTTGCGCGTAAGTTAAACTGCAGTACCTATTGAGGGCGCGCTGTGTATGAGGGGCCATCCATGTCATTGAAGCACATACAAAGCCCGTGTGCTCTCGATGCAAGCAAGGTTCAGATCATACTGAATGTATTCTTCTGCCCTCAACGTTCACATTGTGCAAATGTTGCCAGAGCTGCTATAACGAAACCAGTCAAGAGTACATTGGAAATCGGTAGGAACTGCCGACGTTAAACCCACCCACCAGTGTACCACAGTGCCCAAAATTCATCGGAATGCATGTGAACAATCAATGAAACAAAACTAGCGAAACTAGTATAGCTGGTCCCAGACAAATAGTGTCCAGTTTATGGGCGAAGGTGAGACTTAATCAAGTCTAATTCATAAGTGTCATCAGTGAGTCAAAAAGAGTCATAGGTGCAAAGAGAACGCTATAGGCTGATGACCCTCTGGGACCAACGGAAATATCATGTAAAACTCGCTACATGAGATCGGTTTAATATTGTTATCTCTCTAAGCTTACCAGGCAATCAGAGACGAAAACTGAAGTATAAGCAAGAGTTAAAATCACCGCATCGAGAAGGGGCCGCAGGGCCGGGGGAGCTAGAAGAATAGGTTTTTTTGTTATGGGCTTGCAATCTGGCTGTCCATACACTCATGTTTTTGATGATCCAGCCGATGCAGGATTCATTCTGTTGTCGCTGAAAACGTCTGGAAATAAGACTATTATGTACTTACAAACAAGCTGTAGGTGCTAGTTAAAATAACACCGATTTCGGTCCATGCTAATTAAAGCAAAATCCCATGAAAACAGCCCTCCCCCGACCGCGTACAACTGTTTAATACCACGACGTCACTTTCGAGCTTTAGATAACAGTTGTTATTTTTAGAAAATAAAATAACAGACATAAAACAAAATCCCCCATTTTCGATCAGTATATCGCTGCAATCAACTGCAGATGAAGTACAAGTGTGCAATATGGGCAATATGGACTGTAGATAGATGGATAGATGTAAACATTATTATCTGTTATAATCAAGGTCATAGCGCATTCTCAGTCACGAGGACATGACAGTCACTGACATGTTGACCCCGAGTACACATCACTTCAAACGCAAAACGACATTGTCATGTGAAATTTGGACTCCCGTGAAATCTGGTCTACACCTAACATGGACTCTAAACCCTCGCACGTGACCATTTCATAATCCAGGCACTGGCAATGCAACCAATGATCCTGTATTTCATATAATCCACATTTCACACCACAGCGGACAAGAACTCATCTGTCGCTTGTTAGGTGAGTATGTTGGCTCTGTCAGTGGATTTTTACTGGAGAATTCCCAAATAAAGCCTAATTTCCATATCGAGGTGAGAAACGAAGAGACCAACGCAAACAAGACACAAACTGGAACGCAGACATATTATACGTGTTTCGTTGCGAAATTGATTCAGTGAGTCCGCTAAGCAACTGTTTTCTGCTTGTTTGCTACGGTCTCACGCCAGTCTGTTTGGTCCTCTGCTTTGAAGTGATATAGCACGGCGCTTTTAATTTGTACTCCTTGCATTGCAGCAGAATCTAAGTTTTTGCACTTTGTTTGGCCACGAACCGTGGTCCAGTGGCAATGTTTGGCAAAACAGAAGACCCTAAATTGTTTTGTTTTTTTGGCTTAATACCCCCAGGCAATAGTAAAGTAGTTTTAAAGTTTGTCACGAGACAATGTGGCCCATCAGGCCGGCGTTTTATCTCCGGTTTTAGTAGCATGACACAACAGAGAATAGTTCCCTCTAGACGAAATGCGATTCGATTGCAGTTGCTCCCCAATTAATGCCGGTATCCTTAAACTCCTGGGTGGAAGAGGCAAGTGAGGGTGAAGTGGCTTGCCCAAGGACACACATGTGGCCAGCAGTTGGATTCGAACCCCTGGCCGGCAATAACTCCAGAAATGCCGCTGGAACAAACTTTTGCCAAGGGGTGCTGGAATTTCTAAAGGACGTACAAAATTAATGCAAAAGCGGAGCGCAAAGCGCTTACGGCGTAGCTTAATTTGGAATGTAGATGCTCTGTGGTGCAATCTGAGGCGCTTCCTGGCCATTTTCATTTGACTTTTGTATCACAAGTTTTTTGAGATTATAAAGACATTTTATTTCATTATTTTGTTTAGAATATACTGTTGCTCTTTAAAACGTTTATTTTTACTGAAAAGTGGAGAACCCTGTATTTTTATCTCCATATTTTGGTTTTATTTAATTCTGGAAAAAGAATTGTATCATTATGCATGACATCGCATGTAAATATTATTGTTGCAAGGCAGCTTTCTTACATTTAGTAAATACCTTCGTGTATGTTTTGTTTTATTTTCCGAGCCCTTATGGCGTGGGCCACAGGGCCAGGGGACCGCCTTGAGGCCCCGGAAAATGTTGGATTCTGGATGCACTGTGATGAAAAATACTGAAGTATACTTCAGTAAGACCCAAAAGGATGTTTTTTGGTTCAAGTTAAAACAAAGGGTTCCACTGGAAGCGGATGAATTTCTGAAGCGGAAAAATATTTACATAGTTCTAACTCTCCAAACGATGTAGCTCTCGATATATTTGCAGTGTTATTTGTTTGTTACAGGGAATGGCATATATAAAAGACTAAAAGACCAAATGCATCTTTATGTTTATGATCGGTAGATGGCAAGTTTGGGGCTAGGCAAGGATTTATCGGTCTACTCAGTTTTTATGAGGAAAAACTTGCATGCAGAGGGTAAAACATGAATAGCTTTTTTATTAAAACGAAAGTACACTGAAATCGGCGTAAAAGCATGACTAGTTTCAATGACAGCCCGTCCGACTCCTATTAGGTTGGGGATGTGTGTGAACCTTGCTATTTGTTGATGTTGAGTACAGAATGCTAGCAACGTCAATGAAACTTTTAAATGAAAAGAAAAACCTTCAGGTGAAAGGTATGAACATTTGCCATATTGAAAGATCGAATGAAACAAATCCTGGCACCAATAATCAACTTTGCCACCATTGTCATGGCCGAGGATATTGCTTTCGGGTCAAAGCTTCCATCGTGGCGGAAATATCATAGGCATGTTATGATTTTAGATACCGTGAGCGAAATATCGATTCTGCACTGCCTGAACATATATTTAGAAATACCTCCTCTTGATATTTTACAGTGTTTGTGCAAGACGTTCGAAGCACCGCGCTTAATTAGCCGCGGCAAAACTAGAAACGAACAAAACGAAGGAGATATTTGTAGAGCAAGCATAATGTATAGCGTCGTAGAACACTGCTGGCTGGACCACATTTTTGCCCGGGTGTAGGGGGTGCTGAAGCATATTCCAGCACCCCAATCCAAAAAGTTGGGGGTGCTGCAGCACCCACAGCATCCCCCGTTCCCGCGGGCTTGGGCCTGAGCGAGCAACGAAGGGTCCGTGATAAGTACATGTAGGACTCTTTCTGCTCTCTCTCCTTTAAATGTGTGCCTTGTGTGGTATTATGAAATATAAAACGCTAAAAGGCACTGGATTTCATAGGAGCCCAAATTTCATGTGACACTGAACATTTGTTTAAGACCATCCAGCCGGTCTTTAACATCCATTTTAAGACCGGTCACGTGACGGGCTCTCGACCAATAGTAAATTGTTTTAGGTATTTATGAATCTATAATAATACCGTTGATTATCTTCGATGTACACAATGGACCAGTCAGTTGCCGTGTCACGCGTAGCTGCTCTATATGATTTTCTCGTCCACACAACTGACAGCAACGCGAGGCCAGCGAACGATGGCCGTAAAAAGGGCTTCAGAAAATTCGCAATTTTCATGGCAAACTGAACCACAACCGATTCAAACAAACAAAGTTGTTTGAGGTAGTTAAAGACCTTCTTCGTACACCCATAAGGGTATTTCTTTCTCCAAAGAGGATTTCGATGCATTTTGACGATATCATTTCACGGACAAATCGACTAAAAATTAGGTCATGAAATTTCTGGGTGTTTTTACTGTTTTTACTGTTTTTCCTCTATCTACTGAGCCTTGCCGTTTCTTTCGGCCCTTTTTAAGAATCGAATGTACACCTAAAAACTATCGGCACGTGTTTCTCATGAAAATGAAGCGTATACTTTCCTCTATCTACTGAGCCTTGCCGTTTCTTTCGGCCCCTTTTAAGAATCGAATGTACACCTAAAAACTATCGGCCCTCGATTTTGATGATTAAAATATGATTTGGTTCGACAGGCCGTAACAACACTATATTTGTCAAAAGCGGTTATTTTTGGTATAAAAAAAAGCACACGACTTCAACTTTTCACTTATTTAGCCATCTTGGCCAAACAGTGCATGGATCCAGGCACTCTTCGTGTTTTCTGTAGTCTCGAATAAATCTCGTAAAATCTCGCGTACCCTTTTGGGCCATGCGTGCTTGACCTCAGGACAAGAAACTGAGGTCAAACAGGGCTGTGTACGTGACACGGCCACTGACTGGGGCCGTCTGAAAAAAAAATGGCTGTCTGAGTGCAAAGGTAGCAAACAGATCTTGTAGAGCGTAAAATGAGATCTCAATCCCTTACGATTATTATTTCATTATGTCACGAGTTAATACAAATTGTTTAAGTCCTATTATATTTTGCAACTTACTAGAATGGCCGATTTTCATGCATCTAAGGACTCCAGCAGTGCGTGGGCTGTAAATGCAACAGGTCGCGAGCGAGCAGCCTCTCGATGGGTAACGGTGGAGCCAGTCATCCTTGCAGCAATGCTAAGCATGACAAGCATCGCTCTAATCAAGCCACTCTACGTGAAGAGCAGAGTCTCTGGATGGTACAACTCCACCAAGGAGGAGAATTACACGTGTGGTGAGCATGAGGAAAATGCTGCCGCTGACCATGTGCAGTCAGAGGCCTCCGTGTGGCTACTGTACATGAGCCTAGCGTCTGGTATTCCTTCGATGGTATCTACCATCATCTTGTGCACCATGAGTGACAGACTCGGCAGGAAAATGGCCATGGTTCTCTCCCTCTTGGGCTTCACCGCCCAAGCGGCTATGACCTTTGTCACAGTGCTCTTCCAACTCCCTCTGGCCGTTCTCCTGGTAGGGGAGTTCTTACAGGGCCTGACCGGTGGGTTTGGACTCCTCTTTGCTGCTTCCATCTCATACCTGGCCGACGCGACATCGCTGAAGCAGAGAACAATGAGGATCGTTATAGCTGAAACGACCTCCCTACTGGTAACTGCAGTCAATGAAATAGTCGAGGGTCTTCTCATCAAGTCATACGGTTTCATTCCCGTGGCATCAGTTGCCCTGGGATCGTGCGTAGTCGGTTTGATCTACGTCACCGTACCGCCCTTTCTTATAGAGACGGTTGACACGAGAAAATTTGAGCGCCAGGAGTTCCTGGAGGTTTGGAAAAACATGAAGAGCTTCCTACAGAGTGGCAAGCGTTGGCATATGCTGCTCCTGTCTTGCGTCATTTTTATATCGATGAGCCAGATCACCGGGTACTTCTCGATCCTTGTGCTGTACGGTACGGGCGAGCCGTTCTGCTGGCAAGGCTTGATGGCTGGGGTCGTGACTGCAGTCGGTTTTTTGTGTGTGGCAATCGGTGAGTATACAACATGAGACTTGGGATTAGGAGCTGTCGATAAAGTGAACTTCTTAGGCCAAAAAAAAGTCTCCGGTTTCTGGTATGGAGCTTGCCCAAAAAGTGGTGCGGCGACGCGGCTTTTTTTTTTTTTTACCTGACTTTTTTGCTTCAAATGTCGGCTGATGACTGCAAACGGTGCCCGACTAAACTTAGCGCAAAATGTACGGGAGTCCAGAGAGTCCACATAAAGCTTATTCTCGATCATACCCCCATCTAAAAACACATTTAAACTGTGCTGCAGCAGAATTCCAGTCAAACCAGTAGTTTGGCGGTTTTGAGACATCATGTTTTATTGAAAAAAAAACTTTTTCATTTTGCCGACGCGCATGGTTACGGCAACGCGCGCGCATACCAGAAACCGGAGACTTTTTTTTTGGCCTTAGCAACCTTCCGCCATTACTCCAGTCCAGCCCATCCCACTCCGGTCCCTGCAAGATTGATTGAGGGGCCGGGGCTGCATGTGGCTGACAAACTTTATCCATTTGGAGTGATTTTTAAGCTGCTTATTTTTACATATAAAGTAACAAGGCGAAAGTCGTTCACTCTTTGTTTTGCATTGTGTGGTTTCACCCTTTTTCCTGTCTGAAGATTCCGCCAAATAGCATTCCGCCAGATACATACTCGTCACAATGTGCATTCAAACCTTACCCCCGGGTTAATCTTATTGTTTTTAGCTGCGGGATAACAGCTCAACAAAATCATCATGTCTCTCCAATAGTTAGTAACAAACGTTGAAATTGTCTATTGCCCCTACATATTTTGACCGATTTCAATCAAACTTCGTCAAAATGACCAAACATCACGAACGTGTCACATGACCAAACCGGGGTCAAAGGTCATCATGGGGTCACTGGGGTCAAAAACCTGATTTTTTTAACACGACTTTGTTGGCCCACAGCATATTTCCGATCGAGCTTGTTTTTGTTTGTATAGCAATTAAGATTATAACGTTCGTTGGGGGTTTCCCCCTTTGGTTTTGACAGGAACTGCAGTCGGCACCAAAGTTTTGTCGCTGTGTATTGGAGAGTATTGGCTGATGCAGATAGGCTCTCTCAGCATGTTCCTTGTGTTTCTCATCACGGGCTTGGCTCAGTCTACTACCATAATCCTTGTTGGTACGTATTGCAGTGCTGGATTTGTTTCTGTTCTGAATTTGCATTCATACCTAACAGCGTTACCTTACATGCAGCCGATAAAGACGATTGATACGCGGCATTTGGTCCTCCGAATACGTTATGCATGTTTAACCCCAAGGGTTTAACGTTGATCATGATTTTACCCCCAACACGGTACGTGTATAAAGCACCGATAATTATGTTAAGCCTTTGCTTGTCTTCCTCGTTTCAGCGGCCGCAATTGGATGTTTGCGAGCGATGCCCGCACCTGTGGCTCGGTCAGTGATCTCGAAAATCACGCTCCCAGATGAAATAGGTAGGCATATGAAGCTGAAACGGGGGTTCGTTGACAGGTGTTAATTGGACGTGAGAAATACGCCTGGAGTTTCAGACTGGCGTTCCAAAATCGTTACCTGCAAAATTCGACGTTTGAAACAATTAAAGGGAATGTACAACAATTGGATTTTGCTGCAAATTTCAGAAATAAATGGATTTGGGGGATTAGTATGTTTTAGCAAATGTCGTTAAACTGAATTGTTTCACGTTTTGGGCTTGTATATGCTGGAAAAACCAAGAACACCAATCATGTTCTTGTAGTCTGGTTCCCTGACCCCACTGACGATGAAATGGAGCAAAATCATAGACTTTGGGAATTGTAAGGTCAGAGTATCAATTTGACTTGCTTGTACCCGTTCACATGTGTGAAATCAATTCGGCAAGGAAAATGTGGAATAAAAACGGAGCAGATTTTGAAAATAGCCAGATTTCTCCAACGCTGGTCATCCGACCAGCGTTAGAAAAAATACAAGGTTTCTTGAAAATGTCAGCACACCAGGAGCCACAATTTTACAGGATGCTTTAGACTGTCAATTCCCTAACAATGCAGTAAGGTATTTCGTGATAATTGAATCATTTCGTTTTTTGATGTTTGCAAATGTTGTATCTTCCCTTTAAGAGCGACTCCATCAACAAATTGACTCTTGCAGTCGGTTTGGAAGAACGACTTCCGAGCATCATGATTTCAGAGTATTGATAACCCAATGCAAATTGTTCATAAAAATGTCACTTTTGCCTCGCCCCATTTTTCTAGGTATCTTCCCAATTTGATAGCCATCTGGCACATCGTATCACTTTTTGCAGTAGTCTACAATGCATGATGCATTAGGGATGTAGATGATGACTTTCTTTGCCATCCCGTGGTTGGCACTTTTTGCTAACCACGGGTTGGCAAACTATGAAAGGTCAACTTTGCAAAAATCAAAAATAGTCATTGTTTCAAAACATTATCATTGGATTGTTAAAAATGAAAAGAACAAAAAAAAAAACAGTGCCAAACAAGGGTACCAAATACTTAACTTGCCTAGGCCTATTCCTTTACATAATGATGGTGTTAATACGCATTCTTTGGCAAAATTTGTTACCAACCACGTCTTTATATTCTACCCACTTGGCAGCCCATACAAAATGGCGCTCAATGTTTACAAACGAAAGAAAGGTCTATTGACGATCCATTATGGCTGTCATTTTAGGAGCGGCATTTGCGATAGTCGGATGCTTGGAGAGTCTTTCCACCTTCGTGTCAGGCCTGTTGGCGCATGGACTGTACTCAGCTACGGTGACCGTGATGCCGGCCCTTACCTTCTACATCTACGCTGGCGTCACCATAGTTCCGGCTGGGCTTGTGATGTAAGAACTGGCCATTAAATTTAGGAGTCCAGATTTGTTTTCCCCACAGGTGACATCAAGAAAAGAGAACATTATTATACAGACGGGAAGTGTATAACCAACGTATAATTACTTGGGACGCTGGCAGATCTTCCTTCTTTGACAACATCCCTCAGAGAACCAGTGTTCTGAAGTTTCGATAGAATCACTACATGACACTTAGGTCCTCGGACTCTTTCTTGGACTTTCCCTTAACTTAAAATATCACGATAAACTTGGAGAAGACAAAATAGTCGATGAGAAATGCGCGTATACATGTAGGTGGATTTTAAACCAGCGATCTTGCGATCCACAGTTCATCCTTCTATCCACTAGGCTATACTTTGACATGCTTGACGTCAGATGTTCTTTAAAATGTTGACTTGTTGACACATAATAACAAACGTCATTGTTCTTTCCTCGTGAATAAACATAAGTTTTCAATCGAGAATACTGAACGCTGGTTCTCTGAGAGACATTCTCAAAGAAGAAGGAAATAATGACGGGCGGGGAGCAGAGAAGTAAAGTCCTCAAAAGGACGGGGCTGAAACTAGGCGGCGCTGATCATAGCAGAACATTTCTTTTTGGTGATTTCTTTCCCCTATTAGTATGAGAGAGAAAGGGTATATTGTCGGGGTGGTTGGGTTAAACCCCTCAAACCCTTCATATTGTTGTATGTAACTCTTCAACTCTCTCCTTTTTTTAAATACTGTACATAAAGCATAAAAATCACTGCTAATCATCACTGCATATAGAAGGATATCTGTATGTATTTACATGCCACAAAATACACCAAGAGAAATAAGAAGAAACATCAACTTAATGCTTCACATAAGTATTTGAGTGTGTTAATTGTGTTCTTTCGCATCATCAACAGGGCAATGCAGATAGTCTGGCCACAGAAGAAAAAGTACACCCAACTTGAAGGGGATGTTCAGACAAGCATCAATGCAGATACGGAGGCTGTGTCCTAAAGGAGCATCGTTGTCTATGGCTATGCTTTGTAGCCAGCCGATGGCAAAACAAAAGCCGTAGCCACAAAATATATCGGAAAAGACCTAAGGCCAAAACAAAAAGTCTCCGGTTTCTGGTATGCGCGCGTGTCGCCGTTGCCATGCGCGTCGGCAAAATGAAAAAAAAAATTTAAATGAAATATGATGTCTCAAAACCGCCAAACTCACTGGTTTGACTGGAATTCTGCTGCTGCACAATAATATTTTAACGTGTTTTTAGATTGGGTTAGTCGAGATTCGAGAATAAGCTTTATGTGGCCTCTCTGTACTCCCATATATTTGCACTAAGTTTAGTCGGGGACCATTTACAGTCATCAGCCGACATTTGAAGCAAAAAAATCAGGTAAAAAAAAAAAGCACTTTTTGGGCACTCTCCATACCAGAAACCGGAGACTTATTTTTTTTGGCCTAATGTGATATTGCACACACAAAAATGATCAGGACTTAATTAGGCTATCACAACGCATTTCCCCCACGGCGGTGTGAAACACGCCATGGGCTTGAGCTGCTTATGTGGGTGGATGGGTGGTTAGGTGGATGGGTGGGTAGGTGGATGGGTGGGCAGGTGGGTGGGTGGGTTGGTTGGGGTACATTTTACGGTTCCGTGCCACGCCTGTACAAAAGCCAGTGAGTTTCTATGGAATACCTGCAGCTGTGCGACACAGATGCGCATGCGTCTAAGATCACGCCCCATCGCATGGCAAAATTCGCAGGTTGTACGGTTCGTGGGTTGTACCACTTGGTAGTTGTTTCTGTAACACTTTTTAACAGTATTATGTCCTTAAATCGTTCGCAATAAACTGTAAATAGATGTATATATTATATGCACTTTTAATTCTCTCACTGAAATGTCCACTTCAAAACTTTAAAATGTGTGCATAAGAGGAAAATAACAGTCGAAGGATTCTTGTGAAATTTCATTTCAAATGAAATGAAATGAAATGAAATGAAATGAAATGAAACTGTTTCGTGTTAATCGCTACCTTTCTATTGACATGCAGCGGTAGACTGCGACCGGTGGTTGCACAAACAAACAGATAGCCTTCATATTTCACCAGGCTATCAAATTTTATAATGATGCCTTTGGCTTTACAAGATAATTTTGATTAAGTTTTACTTATTGGCTATAAAGGTGGACTGGGTTTGACAGTTTTTGCATAATTTTCAACTTACAGGTACATGTATCTACCGGTTTTTCTTTTGGGGAATGGGTTTTACAATTCATACATTTTATTTCTTACAGCGTTCTGTTGTTATATTTTGATTGTGATTAGGCCTATGCAATTACTGCGTGTATTGTAGTGTAAATTTGTAATATCCTTATACATGTAGTGGAGCGGCTAAGGGACAGAATTATTGTCCACTTTTGTGATTAAGGGAATAAATGTGTGCTCCGGAGGTTTTTATCACTCTGTTTAATACCACTTAGAGTCTGGGTGCTGATAATTACCCGAGCCGGAGGCGAGGGTAATTATCAGCACCCAGACTCTAAGTGGTATTAAACAGAGTGATAAATACCGACGGAGTACATATTTATTCCCATTCATAAATACCTTTTCGGTTAAAAAAAATCATATAATTCGTTCAAAACATCCCGATTCTGTTCAACAAATTCACTTTATGCTTTTTGAATCATCCCTCCTGCAAAATAATGGAGTGTTCAGCTGGCGAGTAAGATGAAAACAACCCTTTTATGGAGATTGACGCGCGCGTATCATGTTCTATGCGATGTCGCGCAGAACGCACCTGGCGCGTTGCGTTTTGAATTTAGAACTATAAAATTCTAACTCCCTGGTAGTGTTGCGCATGCCTACGTGAGGATTGTGAACGTTCAACCAATGAAACGATAAGAGGCACTGGATTTAAGGAGTCCACATTTTATTGTGACACTGGAAAAGTGTTTAAGACCAGCTAGCCATGTCTTTATCATCCGTTTAATACCGGCCACGTGACGGGCTCTCGACCAATAGGAATGGCTAAACTGTCTGAGGTATTTATGAATGAAGCATGAAACTTGACATGTCAGGTCTTCACGCCATTACAAAAAAGACATCTGCACTAGAAAGCAAGAGGTCGTGGGTTCAAGTCCCTGGCCACCCGAGTGATTTTGTCCAACTTTCACTCGGGAAGTAACACACCGAGTATACAGGTTTTTTTTTATACATGTACGTTGGTGAAGGACAAAACCAAATTTGATTCATTTATGTCTAGTCAAAACCAACACTACCAAATATGTTATAACCTTGGCAACAGTTGAGCTCAAGGCAATACACCAACTCTTATCATTAAGTATTAATGGAGCTTATTGGTCTTGGATTTAACAAAGAAAATTGTCGCCCAACAGCCAGAAAGTGTTACATATGGAGCCTCCTGTTTATTTTGGGCAATGTTAGTGACTGTACGAAATACATGTACACTTACACCTCATTTATGTTGTGCAACATTTCACACTCGCATTTACATGTACTGACTACTATGATGTATTTAAACTGACTATTCGTGATTGTCAAAAAGCCTCTTATTACCCATTTCATCAAGGTTGATGCCAGAAATTCACAGCTTTGTTTTTGATGTAAAAGAAATGCTACTTTAACGTCATCATAATTTGAGAGTTGCTACCATTATTTCTCTGACCTCTATGAAATCATACGCAAACAGCCGTTGAGCTGTGATTATCCTCGTCCAATTGGTGGCATAATTCCTATGTAAGCTCGAGTTCAGTTTGGCATTGTTTCATAAAATCAGCTGCTTGTCATATCCCACACAGGCTTCGGTTCCTACCCTATTCCCTTCAGACCTTTGAAGGCAACATGCTGATTCTTGAATAATCTTTAAGCAAGAAGCCTTCCATGGTTGACAAAACCCAAAAGCCTCAATAAACTACACTGCTCAGGTCAACAGGGTACAACAGAATTGATTTCCCATTGGATCCTGCAAGGGTTTAAAGACAGTGTTTTTGGTCAGTTTTCACTTTACACCAGGACATAGGAAATCTCTCAGGAACACCACAGGACACAGCTTCATGATAAACTGGTAAGCACATTGAAGAAATGAAAAACCTCATCGTTGTCATACACGGCTACCTCCGTGTTGCATTTACTGCACCGCACTGGATGGAAGTACTCTTTCTGATTGGTCTCTGATAATGACGACGATGCCCCTGCCTCCCCGGTTTCATCAACTCTATCCAGCTGCATCTTGCGTTGTTTCTTCCGCCACTTTTTACGCCCTGCCTTCTGCGGGACGGTGTAGGTCAGACGTTCTGACCGGACGATGCTACAGTTCAGCACAAACATGGCTCGGTACTGGTGCGTGTACAGCTCATGTCGCTGGCAGTCCAGGCAGAGTGTGGTCAGGCAGGCCGGGCAGTTCAAGACCGCATCGCTCTTGGGGATGCCAGCCTCCTTACTTGCACCCTCACCATCCTCCGAACCACCCTGATCACTTGTCTGCGAACCTGATGACCCCTGGGTGGAATGGCTAGGGTAGTAACGCCCTCGCTGCCTGTCGACCCATTCCTGATTCTTGTCATCGATCTCCGGATCGTACAGCAACTCATCGTTCGTGAAGACTCGGTGCTTTCCTGGAGATTGTTTGCCTGTAGAAGAACATGTACTTAGGTTTGATGACTGACAGTAAGTGGTCATGTGTTAATAACATGTACTCTTTAACAAATACAAGGAAACAGCTACAGGTAGCCGATGAGTTTCATCGCCTCAGCTTAAGGAATCATCCGAGTTCCTTTCATTCAAATCTAGTAGACAATGTGCAACGAAGTTGCAAGCCTAATTGAACAGCACAAATATATCATTCTTACTCTTTTGTGATGAACCGGCTTCGGATTCACTTGCTTCAGGAGCCTCTTGAGTCTCATCATCATCAGAATCGAAGTAAATATCGTTGTAGAAGTCATCTGCGATGTGACTCTCAGGATTGGATGGTTTGCCATTTGACGCGGTACTACCTGATGCTTGCTCAGATGCTGCACTGTCAGCTAAGAAACAAGACAAAACTAAGATTTGAAATCCGTAGGAAGAATACACATTTTAATACCTGAGTCACACAAGCTACTTTACATGTAGGCTACATGTATTTAATGGTGGACCAAGCTACAAGATGTAAAACTTCAAGTTCTCTTTGGATAACAGAGGCAAATCAGTTGATGTAGCTTGTCCAAAGTAACAACCTGCATGATACCCTGGGAATTAAAACAAAAATGAAAATCGATTTTTGCCAAAAAGTTAATCAGCAATCCATCCATTGATGCCATAGCAGCAAGGATGACAAGTGATTCAGAACTGTAAATGACACCTTTCAGACTGGCATTCTGGAGCCCTGCTGGACCACATACTATAAGGAGCCACTGAGTTTGACCCAACAAGTTTAGTTTCAGATGTACTTCATGTACCTATTAAGTTATTTTCCTGAGAATGGAGTTTGAAGTAATTCCCAACTGTTTTAAAAGTCAAACTTGTCAAATACTTAGATTGAATCTTCAGAATGATCTGATTAACCCTAACCCTCCTCAATCCTCCAAACTCCTCCCCGCAGATTTGGAGGAGTTTGGAGGATGGAGGATGAATGGTGTTGAAGCACATGAGGATTTTGGAGGATTGAGGATGAGTAGTGTTAGGAGAGGATTTTGGGGGATTGATGAATGCATTTTGAGAGGCAGGACTGTCGGACGATTTTGAAGGATCGAGATGCTGGGTGTCCTTCATTTGAACATAAGTGCATCGTTTTGGAGGATTATGGAGGATTGACGATGGCTTCTAGCAAAAAGGGCCTAGGGGGTTAGGGTTTTTGTATAATCCCAACACTGGAATGCTAATGAGGAAATGGTGTAACCGGACAATTGAGCAATCACAAGCCCAACATGCAGCACAACAAACAAACAGACACACAGAAACTCTAAACAACCAACCAACCTGCTGAGGCAAACTGCTGCTCATGCTGTCTCATTGTCTCCTCTAATTCCTTCTCCATTTCCTTCTCAAATTCATCCTCACTGGAGGACATCTCCAGGCTGCCGCGACTTAGGCTGCGTGTCAGCCGCCGCTTCTGCTGCTGTGTGCCATGTAAGAGAATGTCCAGCTCATCATCAGAACTTAACACACAAAAAAATTAACAAATATGCAGTACATAAAAACAAGAACACAATAAGAAAGCACATTTTAAAACACACTTTTTTGTGCCTATTTTACTCTTAAACTTTCTCGAAACAAATTGTTTATCGGTTTTAGATGGGTGCAGGGTTAATTTCTCATATCTTGCAGTTCCTGTCCAATTATTATGGGATGTCAAAGTTTGGATGCACCGAACTAGTTGGCGTTAATATCAAACAGGGTTGTGTCATGGAAAGATTGGCATTAATTTCCATGTTCCCACACAGGAGATGAATGCACACAATCCTATGGGGGACATGGTAACCGAATCTGCATTTTGAAATTTGTTTTTCTAATCAAAAAGAAGATGGGAACTTTTGTTTGCACAAAAGTTGGAACTTTTGTTTGCACAAAAGTTGGAGCATACAAAATATCTGAACCATCTTGACCATGATGCGTTAACAAACTCCAAAAGTCTATGGGGAGTCAAGAAAATCACCATTTCACGAAAAAATATTTCCTAACAAAATTGGAAAAGTTTCTCAGTCCCAGACTCATGCCTTTTCAACATGTTTGCAATGACTGACCTTTATTGAGATGATGCAAAAGAAAGTGGTGTCAGGTTGCAACATTCTTTCCAATCCAAATTTTGCATTTACAGGATTTACCTCAAAACTTTCTTTGATTTCGTTGGTACCGGTGTCACATGAAAATCGGACCCGTATGAAAATCGGACTCTTTTTCCCTTTTATTGGTTAAACCCTCTCACATGACCGGTCCCTCTCTTAATTATCTATGCATGAGCATGTGCAATACCAACAATGAGTCCGTATTTCATAAAAACCTAAATTCATGCTACATGTACACCGGCTATGATTTTGCATGTGTAGCAAACTATTTATCTCTCATAAATTAAATCAGGAATCATGATGTGCACACGGGCAGTTGAAATATTGGAAAATCGGTACAGAAATTGCAATTTCTACCGCAAAACACCGCTTTAAATTTATAACAACAAAAATAGGACTAATAAAGCGGGGCTGTAGCTTCTCAATCACCTCGCATTGATTACTAGTACTACGGCGATCGTGTAGTTACAGGACCGGTTCCTGAAGAGAACAAAATCCACTTTTAATTTATTTGATTTTAATACCAAACTACAAATGTAGTTGACGACATTAAGAACTTGCAGGTATGTCACAGATTAGTCCGAGTAACTTGGACCCAACTTATCCATTCCCTTTTTAACATTCGAACATGGTCTGGCGATAGTAGGGTCCAAGTAGATCCGCATATGCTGAGCAACATAATGCTCACATTGACCCCAAAACCCGACATTGCCCAACAAAAACATCAGATTTCACCCTGAAAACGGCCTCCAAATTACTAGATACGCCACCTGAGGTACAAGTAGACATCGATGATTAAGATGGTTGTACTGACAGACTGAAGTTTACTTACGATCCGGATGAAAAGTTAAATTTCCCGTTCAATTCTGAGAGCTCCCCTCGCGATCGTGAACACGTTAAATTTCCGACTGGTGTTTGAACAATGCGATGTGGCGTGCCCAGCATTCCTTCAATGGTCCAGGTATCCCGATTCCGATTCCGTTACCAAGCGTGATGCATCGATTATGATAATGAGTAGACCGGATCTCGTTTGTAAACACACGTGCTTTTCGAACGATGATAGGCAGTCAGGAACTGGGACAGCTATCAGCGGAAACCAGTTCAAGCTAGTTCCCAACTCCCTATCATCGTTCGAAATTGCGAGGGGAGCTCTCGGAATTGAACGGAAATTTCACTTTTCATCCGGATCGTAAGTAAACTTCAGTACAACCATCTTAATCATCGATGTCCAAATTACTACATACGCCACCTGAGGTGGCGTATCTAGTAGTTTGGAGGCTGTTTTCAGGGTGAAATCTGATGTTTTTGTTGGGCAATGTCGGGTTTTTGGGTCAATGTTAGCGTTGTGTCGCTCGGAAATATGCGGATCTTCTTGGACCCTACTATCACTAGACCATGTCCGAATGTTAAAAAGGCGATAAGTTGGGTCCAAGCTACTCGGACTAGTCATAGAGGGCAGGGTTTCTAATTTTTGAGGGAAATTTGGGTGTAAAATGACGATGACAACAACAAAACGCAGCACATAAATAAGTATGGAGAACAAGTGATGTACTATGAACACCAAAGGCACTCTGAATTGTACGGCATGCACCAACCATTAACTGTGTACAAAATCGTCTACCCCAAGCCCAACATGCCCAAGAAACTGTTCGAAATTACCAAACTGGTGTCATTACTCATTAGAATTGAGAGAGAAGTCTGCTTTAGGTTGAAAAGGTACTTTTTTAATGATAAAAAAATACCTCTACTCTTTAATATTTGATCGAAACCACAGAGGAGACGGCAAACCTTTAGCAAATGTTAACTTGCCAGATATGCACTGAACATGTACAGTTACTGTTTTTTTGTACTTAAAGACATTTTCCGGTGACAAATTTTTAGTCTGGCTCCATGCCAACATTATCGTTGTAACTTCGTATTCACAAGATGGGAATCAGACCATTTTACAATTTCAGACTTTATTTCCCATTAAAAAAAATCCTCCAGAACCACAAATCTGAAAAAGAAAATGTAGGCCTAATCTCTGCAATAAAATGTTTGAGACATGTTAAAATAATAGGCCTAAAAGATAAATATTCTTATTTTTGGGATGGGGGAAAAAACCTTCAAAAAATTTGCCAGCATGCAGCGGGGATCGAACCCGGATCTGGAGCAACTATAGAATGCAGGGCCACGCCGAAGCAAGGTTTTTTATTTTGCCTGGAGGCGTGGATGGAATAGGAGTAATAGATATGCAAACCTGCAAAAAAGTGCTAAGTACAGCGAAGGAATGCACTGCACTTGTCTTCAAAGCTTCTCATGAAGGATCGGAAGGGAGGGCGTGCTTGTAAATGTGTTGGGGGCACTGTCTGGAGCGGCGGAGGCGCGGAGTCTTGGAGTCGCAGAATCGCGGAGACGCGGGGCACTGGAGTGGCGGAGGCGCGGAGTCGCGGAGTCGCGTACCGATAGAGGGCGCAATTCTCGGCGGAATCTTTTTGAGAACGAAGCATCCATATCCATTTTAATTGGGCGGGCCAATTAGGAAGGGGGGGGGAGGGCGACGGGGCACTGTCTGGAGTCGCGGAGGCGCGGAGTCGGGGAGTCGCAGAGTCACTTTAATTGGGCGGGCCAATTAGGAAGGGGGGGGGCGACGGGGCACTGTCTGGAGTCGCGGAGGCGCGGAGTCGGGGAGTCGCAGAGTCACTTTAATCGGGCGGGCCAATTAGGAAGGGGGGAGGGCGACGGGGCACTGTCTGGAGTCGCGGAGGCGCGGAGTCGCAGAGTCGCTTTAATTGGGCGCGCAAATTAGGAAGGGGGGGGGAGGGCGACGGGGCACTGTCTCTCAGTGGTGGAGGCGCGGAGTCGCGGAGTCGCAGAGACGCGCACCGATAGAGGGCGCAATTTTCTGCGGCTCCACGACTCCACGATCGATTTTCAGAGGTAGGTCGACTGCGGTTCCACGCCTCCACGCAGCCGTACGGAGGCGCGGATGTAGAGTAAAGTGGCCCTGCATTCTATAGTTGTACCCCGGATCTTCCCGCTCATGAGATCCGTTGCTTATCCACTAGGCCACAGGTGCTACACAACCGTTGGTGGTAATTTAATATATCTTATAATTCAGCCCTATCTTAGAGAGTACAGCGCCCTCTGTTGATAGGATTGCCGCCGGCAATATATCCAGTACACGATCGCCAGTTCAGTACACAGATTGACAATTGACTAATTGAGCTGTGCACACTTCATTGATTTCGAGTTGTACTTTGTACAACGTCAACAAGCTGAACTTGCAGAATAAATGCCTACCTGTCTCTTCCATGCATTTCTTGGTCACTGTCCTCTTCGATGTAGTCATACTGACAGAAACCTTTGGGTTGTTCAGTGAACACACTCATTTTGAAACGAGTTTCAACTCCAAAAACTATGAAGTATGATGAACACGTTAGTGACGTTACATGCACGTACGTAGCAATGTTACTGTTCGCGATGTGGCACCACTCTCCCGTTATTTCACTGCATGTCGACGTCAGGGATCAATGCCTTTGGTTGTAAAACATTAGACTGGTTTCCTGTCCAAATTATTTTCCATTTTAATTTTTGTGTACTGCATGAAAAAAAACCTGAATAATGTGAGTGAAATAATAAAGTAAAACACTTTCCACTATCCAGTATCATTTCGTTAAAATGTAGCGCCACCCTTTTAAAGTGCGGGGGATAAGTTAACTTATTACAAGCCTACCTACACATCCATGTCCGGCCCGATGCAGGTAAAGTAGTAAAACGTACAACAAAAGATATAAAACTATATTTAAAGTTATCGCCCAATATGTTAATACAGTTGACCGGGCGCGGTTCTAGAGCCAATATTTTTTGGGGGCTAGCAAGGTGAATCCAGATTTTTTTCAGGGAGGCGTGCTGAAATGTAGACCGGTTATTTTGTCCGGACATAAGGCCTCTGAAAATCAAAACGTGCGGGGGGGGGGGGGGGGGGGGGGGGGCTCGTGTCATATTTTCAATGGGGAGCGCTGATTAACTCCTACAATCAGGCACACTATATTAACTAAAAGTGTACGAATGCACCCTTCTCATTTAGGGGGAGACAGTTCTCATGTACGTGAAAGTCTTACATTTTGATAGTGCATTTTTTTAATGGTTTTTTTTGTTGCGGGGGGGGGGGGAGCTAGACAATTCTTTTTTTTGGGGGGGGGGGAAGGGGGCTAAAGCCGCACAAAATTCGCACAAAATCGCGGAAATTAGGGAGTTCTTCCAGCTAACTTGGAAACTCATACGGCTGTGCTTTTCTCCGGATGCCAAATTTCCAGGGGGGGGGGGCGATGGGTGGGGGGGGGAGGCGTGCACCCCTAGCTACGCGGCCGTTGGTGGCGGATCTAGCGTGTTTTAGGGGTTGCAAGCCCGGAACTCCCCCTCCCGCTGAACTGAATAATGCTATGATAATGATATACCAGTAAAAAGAGGCAATATTTAATGGAATGCTAATGCAGGAGAAAGCATCGTAGATTTCAAAACATTTCCCGAGCCATTCCCGCGAACCCCCTTAATAGAAGGGCCTATCTTCGGCTTGCTTTCGCTCCGCCCCCCCCCCCCCCGCGTTTATACTGAAAGCTAGATCCGCCCCCTGTACATGTAAAGTTAACCAGCCACTAAGCCTTGGGATCTTTAAAAGCATTCATTGTTTATTTATTAAATAGAGTACTCTTGCCTTTTAAAGGAAGGATAACCTACATTAAGCCGTTATTTATTGATGACTTACGAACTGATCCGTAAACGCACCGTCTTTTTTTTCTAAATTGATAGCTTTATGTAACATTAAAACCATAAAAGCAAATTGCTGGCTCAAAGCGTTTACAGAATCATAAAAGTTTCAAACATAAAGGGCATAATAACCATATTACCCGGATACGTCAGTTCGTTCAGAAAGAGACCGCACACGTATAGGTACGTACAGGTAGGACTCATAAAACTGCGTTCAGAGAAAACTAAACTCGTATGAGAACACAACGACTTTCTACCGAATGAGGCAAGTACACAACTGTAGTGTTGTAAGGGAGCTTTAAAATTAATTAAATTAGAGCCTGCGAAATTGTTTTGAAGACACTGATTGGATGGGTCTCCGCAGGTAATTTCCATGGGCTTTGTTTTGTTTGCGAAGGACGCGGCTACAATGTGGTCGAGCAGCAGGCATGAAAAAGCCGCCATATTACAAGGGCAGATCCTTAACACATTTTTTTTGGGGGGGGGGCGAACATTTATGACCACTTTAACTCTTTTTATGGTGGTGTACGCAGTAGCTGCCTTTTTTGCGACGTCATTAAACAAAATGGATTCGTGTTTTTGCTGTTGTTGTTGTTGTTATTGTTGTTGTTGTTTTGTTTGGGGGGGGGGGGGGGGCATGGCCCGCAGCTTTCCCCCGGATCCGCTGTTGCCCATGTATGACCACGGAGCACAGCCAGAGATCGTTCAAATGCCCCCCCCCCCCCTCCACCAGCGTCGCCACTGTGCATAAATTCAAAAGGGTGGGCCAACTTTTGGATTTAGTATTTATCTTTGCTTTTTTTTCATGTTGCACAGATGGAAAAGTGTACCAGTAGATATCCATCTTTGTTCCTCGTGATTGCGGCCATGGTGTGCACAGCTACTATTCTCTCAGGTAGGGACTCTCAATTTGTGCTTGCCCACCAAACTAATTTGGAAGGCAGTAGACTTTGAGTCCCAAGCTTTGGAGCTGTAATTACGGATTTCTAGGTACTAAACCGCTACAGAGTTTGGAGCAGAGAAGGACATGGCTTGTTCGTCTTCCCTGATTTTTAAATAGGGGAGGGTGTTTTTCCCCCGGACGACCATATTATTAGAAGAGACATTACACGAATAAAAACATTTCCAAGAAGCACCTAAATGGAGAAAATCACCAAAACTTGAGAAACACGACCTATTGTCAAAGGCATTTTCTTGACACTAGATCCTCAGACATGTGGCAGTGCGTGCTTTACAATAGATAATTGACACTACGAGTGAGATACAGTTGCGAAGAAAATGGCAGTTTGGTTCAGATAATTATAGGAGCGTCCTTTTAAGTCCTTTGAGGACTAATACCCCACCCCATCAAGCTGAACATACATAACAGACTGAACTTTAATCAGTTGTTTCATATGAACGGTGCACAGGTGTAATGACCCAGCCCGATGCGACTGAGTCAGCTATACCAAGCGATGCTTGCATCATGATGAGCATTGCAGGACAGAATGTCCGTCTGGTTCCTAAGCTCATCTCATTCCACATCTCGGGTATCAACGAATCGGCCCTGGCCGCCATACGAAATGCCAAGCACTATATCTGCGCCCTCCCAGGTGTGTTTTGTATTTCTTTTTTTTTAATTGAGAAGGTTTGTCAGCGATGGTTGGGTCGTTTCATACTTATGACAAGTGTAACAGATTCTGTGAGAGAGGTTCTTTTGAACCTCGCAAACTCACAAAAGAAAAGAGATAATTTTGTTACATGGTGTGCAACCATAAACTTCATATCTCACCGATATCCTGATGATCACCATGCAAACTTTTAAATCTTATCTTTCAATGTGTCATGACCAATCGGAGTTGTTCGGCCATTACGGTGCTCCACCGGCCAAATAGCCTAGTAATCCCGATTACGTCATAATTATTTGCATTGTCACGGCTATACCTCCACTGCCCGGCCATGACATCACTGTACCGGCTATTCCATCGTGGTCCCTGCTATATAAGTTTCAGAACCCTTCAAATGATGAAACTTTTTATCGTTGTGAAATTGATAATTTTTTGAATTGGTGTAGTCAGAATTTTCTAGTTCTAAATGTAGAAAAGACCAAAGAAGTTGTATTTGATTTTCGGAAGACTGAGAGTAACATCGAACCAATTTTTATCCATGGCCAAGAAATTGAGAGAGTGACAGAATACAAATACCTTGGAACGATTATAGACAACCAATTAAACTGGAATGGAAACACTCACAAAATAGTCTCTAAAGCTAATCAGCGGATGTTTTTTATCAGAAAGCTCAAATCCTTTAAGGTGTGCAGAGAACTACTTCATCTGTTTTACCAGAGTGTGATTCAATCTGTAATGACATTTTGTATATGTGTGTGGCATGGCTCTCTAACCCCAGCAGGCATTTTTGGTCGATTTAACGTCTTTCTGACGTCAGATTCCGACCAACTCCGACGTTGTTTTTTGGTTGCCGTAGTGGTTGTAAGTGTAAGTTTTTTAGACGTTGAAAACCTGACCAAATTCTAACGTCGATATGTGGTCGAAATTGTGACGTCGGTCTGACCATGATTAACTGCTAATCATGACCGAAAACTAACGTCCGATTATAGTCAAATTATGACGTCAGTCTGACCATGATTAATTAGTTACATGGACGTCTACAGGACGTCAGATTGTTGGTTGAATTTAGGTCAGAATATGGTTGAAAAAGTAGGTTATTTAGACGTCGAAAACCTGACCGAAATCTAACGTCCATATATAGTCAAATTATGACGTCAGTCTGACCATGATTTGTCTGGTTGAATGGACGTCGACAGGACGTCGCGGTTGAAGTTATTTAGACGTCGAAAAATGACCAAATTATAACGTCTGTGTGAGGTCAAAATTGACGTCTATCTGACCGTCGTAATAACGTCCTTTCAATGTCTGAATTCCATGATTGAAGTTAGGTCAGTACATGGTTGCAAATGTTATTTTTGTAGACATTGAATACTGTTATTTCGGTTGTGTAAAAATCAAACGGTTGTGTAATATATGAAGCTAGCAACCTGTTGTGTAAACCGTTGTTTACACAACTTGTGTATAATATTACACAACTTGTTCATTTTTTTTAATAAACTGGTTGGCTAGGTTCTTATAGTACACAACCGAAATAACAGTGAAAAAAGTAAGTTTTCTAACGTTAGTCAATATTCAAAATAGTGGCGTCAGTCTGACAGGCTTAAATAATGTCAATTAGACGCTTCAAATGTTCAATGTCAATAGGCCGATCAATTTTGGCATCAGATTTCATTACCACGCGGAATCACAACCAACACAGACATGATCTCTAATCTCTTTTGTGAATATTTGTGCAGGTATAGAAGACATCAGGCGGTTGATGTTGATCCTGATGGTGCATGGGGCCACGTAAAGTAGGGCTTGGGTAGTGTATTCGTCTCCCTCAACTGACCAAAGCAGAGAGCTGGAAAAGGGGAAAAAATGAACAACATTGTTAATTTTCTTGAATACCAACACATTTTTCAAATAATGGTGACTCGTAAATAATTAAAACAAAACAGATTCTTTGAACTTACAGCAGCAATTTAATTTTTAGAAATCCAAAAAAAGTATTAAAAATAATTCTTACATGTATGAAGAAGACAAGTCGAAGCATAGGCCTATTTTAATTCTAATGGGCGATGATGCGATTCCAAGAAACGAATTTTACTGAAATTAATTAATGAAGAATTT